GGGACACCTAGATGCCAACCATAACAAAGTCCCAAAGATGCACCCCAAGTCCCCTGTTGCTACACCTCCCACACTCTGCTGAATTGCAGGTCACACCATGCCACCCTGGGTCGTGGGACAAGGACCCAAGTTATCAACCACTGGCTCCTCCGACTACTTCAGGCTCCTCTTCCTCACAATCTCAAAGAGAAAAGGACAGCACTCAGGTGTCTATAGTGGCGACCAGCATCTTTAGCAATGACCTCTCACAAGCTCCAGATCCACAGATTCAACTAACAACAATACATGTTTGCCAGAAGCTTAAAGAGTTCAGTGTGTTCAGCCAGATGCGGTGGTGCAGGCCTGTGACCTTCACTCTGGAGTCTCCTATGTCCAGACACCAAGATCCTAGAATGCTTCCGTCAGATAGTTTGTAGAGGTTTCAGTCCATAATCTGCTGGCTCCAAGGCAGGGATAGAAACAGGCATCACAGAGGAAAAACATGGCACACACAAAGCAGCAAAGGCAACAAGAAAGCAAGCATCTGCTTTTATGTCTAGAGGAAAAGAAAGGTCCCAAAGTCCCAAACCGTATCCGGAATCTTTCTACTTCCTCTCCTTTGCCCTTTCTCTTCCCTCTGCTGGAGAACTCCTACTCATCCTTCGAAGTTCAGAACTAAACCAGGCTTGGTGGCTCAACATCTGTAATCCCAGCACTTGGGAGGCTGAGGCAGGAGAATTGCCTCAAGTTCAAGGTCAACCTTGGCTATATAATAAATTCAAGGCCTGCCTGGACTACACAGTAAGACCCTGACTCAAAAAAACAAAAAATAAAACAAAACAAAAGTTCAGAACTAACACCCCACTTTCTATGAGAGTTTTGAAGACTCATCCTCAGGGAGAGTTCACAGTACCCACCTCTGAGCTCCCCAGCCTGGGAGGCACCCCTCAATCCCACAGCTTAGCAAAAATGGGTGGGAAGGGTTCTGGTGATGTCAGCCCCATCAAGTTGGTAGCTCTCCTAGCCCAGAGCCCCCAGTTCCAAGATGAGCTGTGGGCTCATTGGAACTGATTTTTAAAATAAAGAATAAAGAAAATGGACTTCACTGATATTCAGGGATATTTGCTCCACTCCAAAATAACAGAATACACATACTTCTCATCAGCATATGGAACTTTCCCCAAATAGACCATGTACTAGCCCATAAAGCAAGCTTAAGCAAATGTAAAAGAATTGAAATTATACCATGTATTTATCAGATACGAAACTAGAAATCAACTGCAAAAGAAAACACAGAAATGAGGCAAATGCATCAAACTAAACCATATTCCCTTAAATAAAAAATGGATTAGAGAAAAAAATCAAGGGAGAATTTAGATAGTTTCCAGAACTGAACAATAATGCCAGTACAACATACCAGAACTTATGGGACACAATGAAACCAGTCCTAAGAGAGGAGTTTATAGCCGTGAATGCCCACATCATGAAAACAGAGCAAGCCCAAATAAATAATCTAACAATGTACCCCAAGGTCCTAGAAAAACAAGAACAATCCAAAAATCAAAGCTGGGACAAGGAAGCAAATTATAAAGATTAGAACAGAAATCAATGAAATTGAGACAAAAAAAAAAAAAGAATGAATGAATCAAGGAGTTTGTTCTTTTCGGGTTTGGGGGTTTTGTTTGTTTGTTTGTTTGTTTGTTTGTTTGTTTTTTGGTACCAGGGATTGAACTCGTGTCCTTCTGCTTGTGAGGCAGACTACAGCACCACTGAGCTAAACCCCCAGCCCAGGAGTTTGTTCTTTGAAAAAATAAATAAAATACACAAACAGCCAATCTAACCCCCCCCCCCAAGAAAAGGAGAGAAAAAACCAAATCAATGCAATTAGAAACAAAAAAGGTGAAATCACAACGGGCACTGCTGAAATAGAAAAGATTAACAACTACTGCAAAAACTTGTATACTGATAAATTGACAAATCCAAAAGGATAGATTTCTAGATACATATGAATTACCAAAGAGGCTGAGGATTTAGGTCAGTGGTTCTGCTACCTGCCTCACAAGCACAAAGTCCTCAGTTTGATCCCCAGTACCAAAAAAAAAAAAAAAAAAAAGTGAAGAAATACTTCCAAAGTCATTCCTAGAAGCTGCCATTACCCTGAATTCAAAACCAGACAAGGATCTGACTAAAAGAGAACTATAGACTAATCTCTTTAATGAATACAGATACAAAACAGAAGCAAGGACAAAAATCACAGGATCATCTCAATAGATGCAGAAAAGGCCTTTGACAAAATCCAAAACTGACTCACGGTAGAAACAGTGAAGAAGATAGGTATAGAAGAACCATATCTCAACCTGATAAAAGCCCGACAAACCTACTGCCAAAATCATATTTAATGAGGAAAAATTGAAAGAAAGCTTCCCCTCTAAAATCAGGAGCAAGACATGGATGTCCTCTATTACTACTCCTCTTCAACACAGCACTCGAAACATTAGCCAGAGCAATTAGGGAGGAGAAATAAAAAGGATACATATAGGAAAGGAAGAAGTCAAATTATCGTTCTTTGCAGATGACATGAGCCTCTACATAGAGGACCCAAAAAAATCCACCAAAAGATTTTAGAATTAATAACCAAATTTAGTAATGTAACAGGACACAAAATCCAACACAGAAAAATCAATAGCATTTCTGTACATCAAAAATGAACCCATTGAAAAAAAATCAGGTGAATAAACCATTCACAATAGCACCAAGAAAAATTAAATACTTAGGAATTAATCTAACTAAGAAAGTGAAAGACCTCTACAACAAAAACTACAGTATTCTAAAAAAGGAAATCAAAGAAGACATTATAAAATGGAAAGATGCCCCCTGTTCCTGTATTGGCAGAACCAATATAGTCAAAATGACCATATTTCTAAAATTGATATACCTATTTGACCCAGTCCCAATCAAAATACTAGCAGCATTCTTCACAGAACTGGAGAAAAATCCTAAAATTTGTATGGAACCAGAAGAAACCCAGATGAGCAAAAGCAATCCTGGATAACAAGAGCAAAGTGGAAGGCATCACAATCCTGGACTTGAGGTTACATTACAAGCTACAGCATGGCACTGACACAAAACACAGACATGTGGATCAATGGAACAGAACAGATGGTGCAGAAACAACCCCAAGTGCATTTAACTCTTTGATCTTTGACAAAGGGGCCAAATACATACACTGGAGGAGAGACAGCCCCTTTAATAAATGGTGCTGGGAAAACTGACTAGCCACATGCAGAATCTAGATCCATATCTCTTCCCATGTACTAAACTAAAATTAAAATGGATCAAAGAACTAAATGTTAAAACAGAAACACTTAACCTGCTGGAAGACAAAACAGGTAAAATGAAGTTATAGGTGTAAGGCAAACGCTCTTTGAACTGGACTGTCCCCGGTTACAAGGGAAAGAGTATCATGAATCAACAAATGGGATCATATCAAATTAAAAAGCTTTCTCACAGCAAAAGAAACAACCAACAGAGTGAAAAGAAAACCTACAAAATGGGGAAAAAAAATTTTTTTTCCAGCTATTTCTCAGAGAACTGCTATCTAGATATATAAAGAACTAAAAAAAAAAAAATTAGACCCTCCAAAATAAATGATCCCATCAAAAATGGGCAAGTGAAATGAACAGACACTTTACAGAAGTACAAATGGCCAATAAATACGTGAAGAAATAGGTCAGAGATGTAGCTCAGTGGCACCCCTCATGCAAGGTCCTGAGTTCTATCCCTGGGGTGTGTTTGTGGGGGGATCTGCTCAACATCTCTGACCAGTAGAGAAATGCAAATTTTAAAAACACTGAGATTCTATCTTACCCTAAAAAGAATGGGTATCATCAGGAAATCAATAATAACAAATGCTAGAAGACTGGGGCAGGGGGCAGGTTCTACCTCGTTAGTAGGAATGTGAACTAGCACCATCACTGTGGAAATCAGTATGGAGATTCCTCAAAAACTAGATTCCATTTGACCCAGCTATTCCCCTTCAAGACATCACATTACAGGGCCGGGGATTTAGCTCAGTGGTTCCGCCGCCTGCTTCACAAGCGCAAGGTCCCAAGTTTGATCCCTCGTACCAAAAATACAAAACAAAAGCAAACAAACATATCACATTACAGTGACACATACTCATGTTTATAGCAGCACAATTCATACACTAAATCCTGGAAGCAGCCTATGTGTTCATCAACAGACGAATGGATAAAGAAAGTGTAGTATAGGGCCAGGGATTTAGCTCAGTGGTTTCACCGTATGGTGCGCAAGCGGAAGAACCCGAGTTCGATGCCTGGTACCAAAAAAAAAAAAAAGAAAGAAAGAAAGAAAAAAAGAAAGTGTAGTATTTACACACAATGGAGTACTGCTCGGCCATAAGGAAGGATAAACTTGAGTCATTTGACCGAAAATGGATGCACTTGAGAATATAATGTTGAATGAAAAAAATATCAGGCACACAAGTTTAAATATCACATGGTTTCTCTTATGTGAGAAACCCAAAATATAAATAATGAGCAAAATAAAAGACAGGTAATAGGTGGTAGAGAGATCTTTCTCAAATGGGAAGGGGATGGAGAGTGGAGGCAGGAGGAGAGAGGAGAGAGACAGGATGAAAAATGGAATCTGGACGAGTTATGCACAGGCACCAACTCCACACAAGGAATGTAAACACGATGTACTGCAAACACACCCTAATAAAACTTTTCTAAATACAAAATGAAATATATACCATCTGACCCTTAAGAAAAAAGAATAAAGGACAAAAAACTACGGAAGGGACTCCAACTGGCCGGTTTAAAGCTGCCCAGGTCCTCCCGGGCACCTCTGCCTCCTCCGCCTCCTTCTCTTCCTCCTCCCTTGACCCCACCCCTAGACTTGCTCAGGGGCCTAACCTTAGCCGTCCCCCCACCCACCCACGCGCGGGCGGCCTAGTGAGCATGCGCCTTGGGCGCAAGGCGTGCCGGGAATCGTAGTTCTGCCGCCCGACGGAAGCCGAAAAGGACACGCGCCGGCATGTGGCCCCGAATGTTAGTAGGGGAGGTCTGGGAGGCGGCAGGCAAGTGCTCGGTGCTGGGGCCTCGCCTCGCCGCTCGCGTCGCGCCGCAGCGGACACTCAGGAGCGGCCTGACCCTGCGGCGGAGCCTGCACGCGACGGCGGTCCGGGCCCTCCCGCTCATTCCCATCGTGGTAGAGCAGACGGTACTGCGGCCCGGTGGGGATGCGGCCTGAGATCGGGAGGACAGCGGGTCCCTCGACCTCTCACCTCCGTCCCTATGCTCTAGGGTCGCGGCGAACGCGCCTATGACATCTATTCGCGGCTGCTGCGGGAGCGCATCGTGTGCGTCATGGGCCCGGTGAGCGCCGGGGCATGAGGGGGACCCTTCCTCCCCTCCTGATCCGCGACGACCTCCCTGACACCTAGGACCCCTCTCATTCCTAGGCTCCAGTCCTTGTCCCCACCCATTCTGACCTGAAAATATCCTGTGCTCCGAACTCCTTGGGTCCCCACTATGACCCTTAGTGCCCTCGGCCCTGTGTCCTGAATTCTCCCTGAACCCCTATTTTTTTTTTTTTTTTTTTTGGTCTGTGCTGGAGATTGAACCCAGGGCTTTCGCACTGAGTTCCATCCCCAGCCCTTTTTATTTATTTTTCAGACAGGGTCTTGCTAAGTCACTAAATTGTCTGGTCTGGGCACAAACTTTCCATCCTCCCTCCTCAGCCTCCCAGAGTACTAAGTCTGCACCTCTGAACCTGACTTTCCTGACCCTTCTTATTTGGGATCTGGCTTCCCTTCCTGGTTTCCTGATCCATCCCCAGCAACCCCTGAAAACCCCTCTCTTAAATCTCTCTCACCCTCAATCCGGGGACCCTGCCATCTCCCCACCTGCAGATTGATGACACCGTTGCCAGCCTGGTCATCGCACAACTGCTGTTCCTGCAGTCTGAGAGCAACAAGAAACCCATCCACATGTACATCAACAGCCCTGGTGAGCCGGGCTTTCCCTGGGTGGCCCACATTGGGGCCCTGAGACTCAGGACTGACATCCCTGGTTCAGGGTACATCCCCCCCCACCCCGCCAGGAACCCTCTAAGTATCTCAAAACCACCAAAATGAGCCTATAGCTTCCTTTTGTTTTTGTTGCAGGGTTTTGTTTTATTTTGTTTTATGAGACAGGGTCTCGGTGTGTAGTCCAGGCTGGCCTTGAACTCATAGTGATCATCCTGCCTCAGCCTCCTGAATGGTGGGATTATAGGAATGTGCCTAGATTTATTTATTTTTCGTTATGGGGGTTGAACTCAGGACCTTGTGCTTGCAAGGCAGGCTCAGTGCCACTGAGCTAAATCCCCAGCCCCTACTTTTATTTTTTGAGACAGGTTCTCCTTCTATAGCCCAGGCTGGCCTCAAAACTCAAAGTGGTCCTCCTGCCTCAACCTCCTAGTGCTGGGATGACAGACTTGCACTACCACACCTGGCATATAGCTTGCTTTTAAGTGAAACGTCTCAAACCAGCAGCTAAATTTATGCCATGCAATGTGGCCCCTTTGATCCATTTCGCCAGGTTGACCTGGTCAATATTTCAAAATTGGTAGATAGCTGGGCATGGTGGCATATGCCTGTAATCCCAGCACTCAGGAGGCTGAGGCAGGAGGATCATGACTTAGAGGCCAGCCTGGATTACATAGCGAGTTCTAGTCCAGCCTGGGTTGTGTAGTGAGACCCTCTCTCAGTAAGCCAGGCAAGATGGTGCAGGCCTGTAATCAATCCTAGCACTCTGAGAGGCTGAGGCAGGAGGATCACAAGTTTGAGCCCAGCCTGGCCAACTTAGTGAAAAATATGAAAAGGGCTAAGGTTGTAGGTCAGGACGAGGGGCCTGGGTTCCATACTTACTACTGCAAAAATAAATAAGTAAGTGGGTAGATTGTGCCCACCCTGGAAAAAGAGTCTAGATAATTTTGATTGATCCCTTCCTGTGCCAAGTGTTTTCTGAAATGTGCTTGTCCTTGCCGTTCTGTAATTTAAGAGCCTCAGAGAGGCTGAGTCAGTTGCCCAAGCTCACGCTGCTAATGAACTGCCTAGCCAGGCTGCCTGTGGCACCTTCCCTCTTAGCCCCTGCTCTCTTCTGGTCTCTAGTTCCTTTTGGAAAATTGGTAGATCTGGTCCCCCTGGCCCCACATGAATATGTGACAGTGGTCACCTGGCTGTGGCGCAGGGGCTGACCTTGTTGCCCCTAGCTGTCGAGTCACCTGTCATCCCTCTGCCCCTGGAGGTGGAGGCAGTTCTGCCTGTGCCCTGCTGTAAAGGGCCGCCCCCGCCAGTCTCTCCCCAGTGCCAGGGACAGGATGGGGAAAGGGTGGGGAGGGCCGGCCCTGCCCTCACTTCTCTCCTGCCGCAGGTGGTGTGGTGACTGCCGGCCTGGCCATCTATGACACAATGCAGTACATCCTGAACCCCATCTGCACGTGGTGTGTGGGTCAGGCCGCCAGCATGGGGTCCTTGCTTCTCGCCGCCGGCAGCCCTGGCATGCGCCACTCACTCCCCAACTCCCGAATCATGATTCACCAGCCCTCTGGGGGCGCCCGGGTGAGTGCCAGGCCCCCAGGCTGTAGGACAGGGTCTAGACAGTGACAAGGAAAGGTCATGATGGGTGGAAACCAGGGGTGGACATCGATGTTTTCTAACGAGGGCTTCAGCTGGGCAGGTTGAGCGTATTGAGCACTCTGAGAGCAAGACAGCGTCCTGAAACAAGTCCAGGAAAATGATCAGAAAAAGAAGGAAGCCGAAGAAAAAGGTCCCTGGGTTCCACCCAGAGAAGCGCAATTTGTGAGGACCAGCAGAAGACCCAGAATCGCTAGAACTCAGTCCCAGAATTCATGGCACAAGTAGGGATGTCACAGCCAGGGTGTTCCTGGACTTGCGTTCAATCCCTAGTGCCGCTTAAAAATGAAAAAAGCATGCGCTCAAATTGTGAGGATGGTTTTCTTGATTGAACAGATATGTGGTGTCCTCACCCCAGAGAAAGAAATACTTTCAGCAGATTGTGTTGTACCCTTTGTGCCCAAAAGTATAGTTTTAGAGCCAGGTATGGTGGTCTATGCCTGTAACCCCAGCACTCTGGGAGGCTGAGGCACGAGGATTTCGAGTTGAACCCCAGCTTGGAAAGTTTAGCAAGAAAACTGGGTATGGGGGTGCACACCTGTAATCCCAGCATTCAGGAGGCTGAGGCAGGAGGATCACCTGGGCTACATAGCAAGTTCAAGGACAGCCTGAACTGACTAGCAAGACCCTGTCTCAGAAAAAAGGCGGCGGGGGGGGGGCGCTGGGGGCTGGGGTTGTAGCTCAAGTTCAATCCCTGGGTTCAATCCCCAGTACTGCAGAAAATATAAAATAAAAGCTTTGATTTCATAGGTGTGGTTCAGTAGTAAAGTGCTTGCCCAGCATGCATGAGGCCCTGGGTTCAATCACTGGCACTACAAAAGAAAAAGAGACCTTGTTACTCCAGAGGGGGAGCCAGAGGGAGCTGGAGGACCCTGGGTAGGAAGCCTTATCATGGTTCCAAGGGAAGGGATGGAGGAGGCCAGGGGCTGGGGGGAGCACATTTGCGATTGGTTGGTTTGAGTTATTTCAGTGGGCCTGGGAGTGCAGGGTTTGTCCACAGCTGGTACCTGGGAAAAGATGGATCTTGGTGGTCCTGTGCGGGAGCCTGGGACTAGGGGGCCTTGCATATGAAAACTACTCACAGGCCAGCTATTGGCCAGCCCTAGACTACTCACAGGCCAGTTATTGGCCAGCCCTAGACTACTCACAGGCCAGTTATTGGCCAGCCCTAGTTTGGGGCTGGGCCCTCCTGGTCAGCCCAGTCCTAGATGCAAAAAAAAAAAAAAAATACATTGCCAGGCATGGTGGTGCATACCTATAATCTCAGTACTGGGGAGGCTGAGGCAGGAGGATCACTGTGAGTCTGAGGCCAGCCTGGGGTACATAATGAGACCCTGTCTCAAGAAACAAGAAAGAAAGAAAAAAAAAAGAAACAAAGCAAAAAAGTACAGTTAATAATGAAAAAGAATAAGAAGAGTAGGCTGGGGGTGCCACTTAGTGGTAGAGCACTTCCTTAGGGTTCATGAGGCCATGGGTTCCATCCACAACACCAAAACAGAAAACAAAAGATTAGGAGAAAATGGAGACCATACGGTCAGGGAGCTTTCCTGGTAGTGGCTAAGATTAAGCAGGATGTGGGGGGCCCAAAAGCCCCACCACATCCCACCAGGGCTGCCTCCATCCGGGCCTTCACCTCTGTCTCCCCTTGGGCCACCCTCAGGGCCAAGCCACAGACATCGCCATCCAGGCAGAGGAGATCATGAAGCTGAAAAAGCAGCTGTACAACATCTACGCCAAGCACACCAAGCAGAGCCTGCAGGTGATCGGTGAGTTCCCCCTCCGTCTGCTGTGACACCCCGGGGGCCGCTGTCCTCAGCCAGGGCTTCCTGCCTCGGCCTGCGGACAGTGTCCTCAGTGGTGGGCAGCCCTGGTCCCTGCCAGCTCCACGGCAGGAGTCTCTTCCATTTGTGATACCCAAAAATGTCTCCGAGAGCCAGGGTGCAGCTCAGTGGTGAGTGCCTGCCACGAATGCACAAGACCCACAGCACAAAACAAAACAAAACAGTCTGTGCTTGGCAAAGTCTAATGTCACCTGGGGGCCAGAATCACTTCCAGTTAGAGCCTTTGTTCTCAGCCCTCTGAAAGCATCAACTTGGGGGGCCGGGGATGTAGCTCAGGGGGAGAGTGTGTGCCATGGGTTGAGTCCCCCACACCAGGAAAACCCCCAACTATCTGGGCTTAGCGCCCACCTGTCATCCCAGCACTCTGGGAGGCTGAGGCAGGAGGACCACAAGCTCGAGTCCCACCTGGGCGATGTAGTGAGACTCTTTATCTCAAAATAAAATATAAAAAGGTCTGGGGATGTGTCTCGGTGCAAAGGCCCTGGGCCTGATCCCCGTATGGCACAGCTGATCTGTGTGTGCTGCAGGGACAGTGGCACCTTGGGGCACAGGGCGGAGGGGTGAGGATTAGTGACAGAAGCAGGCCTGAGGAGGGGACTTGACTTTTTTTTCTTTTTTGGTACTGGGGATCAAACTTGGGACCTCACACTTGGGCAGCAGGCAGCAAAACCACTGAGCTAAATCCCCAGCCCAGGACTTTTTTGTTTGGTTGTTTGGTTTGTTTTTGAGACAAGGTCTTGCTATGTAGTTCAAGTTCTCTTTGAACTCACTGTGTAGCCCAGACTGGCCTCAAACTCACAGAGATCCTCCTGCCTCAGCCTCCTTAGTGCTGGGATTACAGGCATGGCAGTGATGTTCCACTTGCCACTGTGGTTGTTGGTCACATGGTTCTGTTCAGTCTGAAATTCATCACCACGTATTGATGATGGGTACCCTTTCGTGGATCTGTATCATACGTCATAAAAATGTTAAAAATTTTGAGCTAGGCACAGTAGTGCACTCCTGTAATCCCAAAACTGGGAAGCTGAGGCAGGAGAATCACAAATTCAAGGCCAGTCTGGGCAACTTAGCAAGAGTCAATCTCAAAATAAAAAAGGCTGGAGGTGTAACTCATTGGGAAAGTACTAACTTAGTAAGTGAGGCCCTGGGTTCCATCCCCAGCACTGCTTTAAAAACAAAAAGATTTTTTTTGGGGGGGGGGGTTATTGATGGGGAAACTGAGGCACAGAGAAGGTATGACCAGGGTCACACGAGGAAGAATCGGCAGGAGGAGGACCTGTCTCCACTCGGACTGCAGAAACAAAGTATCATGGGCAGGTGGCTTGGACAACAGCTGATCTCTCACACTTCTGGAGACGGGAAGCAGTGCTGGGCCTGGCGGGCGGCTCCTGCTGAGGCATCTGCCTGGCTTGCTGGTGGCCGCCTTTTGCTTCATCACTTAGTCTCGGGCCACAGGGAGTCTTCCCCTTCTGCTAAGGCCACTAAAACCATCATGGCTTAGACTTCATCTGATCCTCATGACCTGAGGCTTCACCTCCAAGTACCACACCACTTGGGACCTGGGACTTGGGGGGCTCCCAAGCCTGGCCCATTCTCTGCTTTTTTTTTTTTTGGACAGGATCTCCCTATATAGTTCGGGCTGGCTGTGAACTCACTATGTAGTCCAGGCTGGCCACAAACTCTCAATGATACTCCTGCCTCAGCCTCCTAAATGCTGGGATCTCAGTTGTGCACCACCACACCTGGCTTCTGGTCTCTGCTCTTACCCACGTGTTCCTCCTCCGCCTCCCCACCAGAGTCAGCCATGGAGAGGGACCGCTACATGAGCCCCATGGAGGCCCAGGAGTTTGGCATCCTGGACAAGGTCCTGGTCCACCCGCCCCAGGATGGCGAGGATGAGCCGGAGCTGGTACAGAAGGAACCCACGGTGGCACCAGCAGACCCTCCTGCCCCGACCAGTACCTGAGAGCCAGACACCTCTCCGGGCACAGGCGCCATGCTGCTGATCCTGCAGGGGCCCTCAAGGAACTGTGGATGTGGGGTGCCCTGACGGGCGGGCAGCCTGGCTGAGACACTGATTTAAATTAAATCTTTGCAGTGTTGTGCACCCGAGGGGCCTTCGCTCACTGCTCCGTGACAGCAAGGACAGGTTCAGGTCCCCAGACCCAGACCACCCCTTCCTTCAGCCAACTCCAGAGCACAGCTGTGTCCTGGGCAGCAACACAGCATGAAAAAACCACACAGCTGTCTTCAAGGTTGCATGTTCCTTTGGGAACGGATAGTGCAAGCATCCGGGAAGGAGGCAGGCAGATGTATATGTTACAGGGTAGATAAGGTGGTCACAGGGGGCCTCGTTGACCAGGTGACTAGGGTAAGGACCTCGGGAGTCAGGGGGGCAGCCACCTTGGTACACGGGGAAAGAGCAGTCCGGTCAAGGAGCACAGCCAGTGCAAAGGGCCTGCGGCAGCCCTGTAGCCAGCATGGGAGGGCTAGTGGCTGGGTGAGGGTAGGAGGGCTGGGATAAAGGGGGAGGTGAGCTATGCAGAGTTTTGAGAAGAGGGACCCTAATCACAGTTTAGGGTGAGATGTGAGAACATGGTCTGTAGAACCAAGCTGGTATGCAGCTATAATCCCAGCACTCTGGGAGGCTGAGGCAGGAGGCTCACAAGTTCGAGTCCCACTTGGGGAACTTAGCAGGGCCCTGTCTTGAAATAAAAAATAAAAAGGGCTGGGGATGGAGCTCAGTGCAAAGTCCCTGGAATCCATCCCCAGTGCTGCAAACATACCAAGCTGTTGCCCCGACACAACTAGAAAGGTGGAGAGCTATTAACTGCAATGCGGAGCTGAAGGGGAACAGGAGCTTGGGGACGGGGTCTGAAGCAATTTGGAAGCATCATGCTTGGTGTATTCCTAGCCACAGTCAAAATGAACATGCCAGCACCGTCAGCCTGGGGATGCATCCGCAGTCAGACATCTGACTGTAGGGTGTTGCACCGAGGCTGCCTCTGGTGGCCTTAAATCACAGCACGTTTCGCCCTGGGCCCCAAAGCCAGGCTGCAGTGGGTCCAGAAGGCATGAGAAGGAAATGAATAGCAGCAACAAAAGCTTTTCAGGGATCCCAGCACTCAGGAGGCTGAGGCAGGAGGACTGCCAAATTCGAGGTTAGCCTGGGGAAGTTATCGAGACCCTGTCTCAACAGTGGAGCAGGGAAAGGCGATGGGGGGGGGGGGCACAGCGGTGCAGCGCTTGCCTAGCACGTGCGAGGCCCTGGGCTCAATCCTCATGCTAAAAAATAAGTAAATAAATCTTTACAAAACAATAAAACCCAGTACTGTACTTACTGAGAAGGGGAAATGGACAATGCCTCACGTTGACTTTTCTTTCTCCCCCCCCCCTTCGGTCTTTTGAGATGGGGGTCTCATCATGTAGTTCAGGCTGGCCTCAAACTCAGCGATCGTCCTACCTCAGCCTCCCGAGTGGTGAGATGACAGGCGTGCGCTGCCACCATCTGGCCTGCCTCAGCATTGACCTTGGACTGCAACTCAACTCTTTAAACTTTGCCCCACCCCGTAATCGTGACCTCGATCCGGGTACCTTGACCATTAAGTTCACCCTGACTGTGCGCTTCATCTCTAACCCCGGCCAATTCCATAACCTTGGCGTTAGTCCAAATCCTCCTATGACCTCTGACCTGGGATCCTTTCCTCGCCCCTGGACCGAGTCTTCACACAGCACCTGCTGAACTGGATCTTTTCCCAAACTGCTAGAAGAGTCGGGGCTAGGGTCAGGCTGCGGATGGACTTGCAGCACAGCCAATAATCTGAGCTAGTGTGGTTGCTGGTGCCCAATAGACCGGGAGCGGTGGCGGCCTCAGGGGGAGCCAATAGCTCGAGAGAGCGAGCCGAGCAGCAACCAGTAGCCTTGAGCGATAGGTGGGACTCTAGGTGAAGCCAATCGCTGGAGGGACCTGGCGAGGCTACAGCCAATGGCTGCAGGGTGGGGGCGTGGCCCTAACCCAGGCCTCTTCCACGACCCGGCTCCAGGGCTATGGCCGGGAGTGGGCAGCTGGCTTTGCGGACGCTGTCAGGGTCAGGCTGGGTGCGGGGCTCCAGCTCTGCGTTGCTGAACCGCCTGAAGGATGTGGCCGTGGTGCATCCCGGCTTCCTGAGCAAGGACGAGGAGGAGACGCTGAGCCGCGAGCTGGAACCCCAGCTGCGGCGTCGCCGCTACGAATACGATCACTGGGATGCGGTGAGGCCTTGGGGACAGGGCCGCGTCGGGGGCGAGGCCTGGGGCTGAGGGGCATGCTGGGCGGGGAATGGGGCGGGGCCATGTTAGGGGCGGTACCTAGAAACGATGTGTGGGCGGGGCTGTGATGGGGCAGAGTTTAAAGTTTGTGCAGAGAAGGGATGCGAACAGAGATAATGAGGTCTGGGCCATGACTGGGGCAGGATCGGGAGTCTAGGAGTGTTTTGGGACTGAGTTTAGGAGCAGAAACGGGTATGGAAAGAGATGGAGGAGAGTCAGAGGCTCTCGGCCGACCGGGATCAGGGTGGGATCAGTTAAGGGCAGAGACTGAGGCATTTGAGTATTGGGGTGGGGCCAGCATGGGGGGGGGGGGGGGGCTGGAATTGGAGCCTGAGGTCAGACCTCGTGGGGGCTGGGGTAGGGGTCGCAGTCTGAGCCTGAGATGTAGCCAGGGTCAGAGTCTTGGCAGGGCCCAGGTGAGAGGCGGGGTTGTGAGTTGAGGGCAGGGACGAACACGCTGGGACAACCCTGCGCCTCTGCCTTCAGTTTCTCTCTTTTCCCTGGGAACTCCCTGGCTTGACCCAGCCTTCTCTGTGCAGGCCATCCACGGCTTTCGGGAGACGGAGAAGTCCCGCTGGTCAGAGGCCGGCCACACCATCCTGCAGCGCGTGCAGGCGGCCGCCTTCCGCCCTGGCCAAACTCTGCTGTCCCCAATCCACGTACTGGACCTGGAGCCTCGGGGCTACATCAAGCCCCACGTGGACAGTGTCAAGGTGGGCAGAGGCCGTTGCCCCAGAGCTCCTAGCCAGGGCTGGGCAGGGCAGGCCAGAGCCTAACCCCCACTGAGGCCCCTCTTCCAGTTCTGCGGAGCCACCATCGCCGGCCTGTCCCTACTGTCACCAAGTGTCATGCGGTTGGTGCACACCCAGGAGCCAGGGCAGTGGCTGGAACTCTTACTGGAGCCTGGCTCCCTCTATATCCTAAGGTACAGTGGAGCCTGGGGTGCTGCTACCCCAGGGATATGCGAGACCCCCACCGGCACTTGGGGGCCCCCTCCCATTTGGCCCTCACAGCAGACACCAACACCCAGGGAAGGCATGGGGGACAGCAGAGGCCTGGGACCCTAGTCTGCCTGGAGCAGCATTGCCCACAGCCCTCCCCCTCACAGCTTCCCTTTTCGCTTGCAGGGACTCAGCCCGCTATGATTTCTCCCATGAGATCCTCCGAGGCGAAGAATCCTTTTTTGGGGAGCGTCAGGTTCCCCGGGGCCGACGCATCTCTGTGATCTGCCGCTCTGTCCCTGAGGGGATGGGGCCAGGACAGCTGTCCCCAGCCTGCTGACCCCCAGGCCCCTTCCCCAGCTTCTCCCAGAGACCAGATTGGTGAATAAAGTTGACCAGACAAGCCAGCTGTCCAGCCTGCGAGAGGGGCGCCCAGGGTGGCACCTGCCCACAGGAAGCGCAAGTGGCAGCAGTCACAAGGCCAGGAAAGCAGTGCTTTATTGTGCTCATTAATGGTGCCCCGGCCCACCTCCCCATCTCGGCCTCTTGCACCCGGGTCTCCCATAAATAGCCAGCTGAGCCCCCACAGCCTGTAGCTGTTTGGCGCATGTGGCTACAGGCCATTGGGCTAGGCACCCTCAGCCACCACAGCCACAGGCAGCAGCCGAGAGCTGGGGCAGCCGCTGCCAGCGGTGACGGTCATCCAGGAAGGCCACGTCGGCGTAGCGGGTGGGCCGGCAGCAGGGTCCACCGTGGGCTTGGCCCTGGCCCCGCAACCGGGCCAGTGTCAGGCCGTGCTGGGTGCGGGCACCTCGGGGGCAGCTGCCGGCGCAGTAGCGGAAAGTGACTTTCTCATCTGAAGCGTAGCCCAGGCCCAGCTCTGCCACGGGCAGGGTCAGGCTCCACAGCTGGCATGGGCTGCCAGGGGCTCTGCGCAGGCGGGCACGAGGGTGGCGGGTGCCTGGGGAGAAAAAGGATGCTAACAAAGGCAGGGTCCCGGCAGGAAGGAGTTGGGAGGTTGAAGGCTTCCCGGGGGTCCTTACCCAGTGGTGGCCTCCAGTTCCCCCTGCCCTCTGCTATGTGCTCAGGCAAGAACTCTCCCTCCACCAACGGAGCACCTCGGGCATCAGGGCCCCAGCCGAGGCCCAGCTGCAGCGACAGGAGCAGCAGTGAAGCCAACAGGACTCTCCCTGTGGCCATGGTGACAGGCAGGTCCTGAGGCTGGGGAGCCCCGGCCCTGAATTTATACCCTGCCTGGGGCGGGGGGAGAGGTGCCCATGTCCCAGTCTGGTTTGTCCCAGGTTCTCAGGTCCAAGCATGGGCTCCTTCTGCCCCACACCCCGTCCTTTAGGAGTTAAGGGCTCGTCCCACCACTCCCTGTCCAGACATTCCACAGACCCGTTTCCAACACCCCCTGATTTACGAGTCATCTGGCAGCCAGGGCCAAGCCTGGGGTGGATGACAGGTGTCCCCACCCTACCTGCTGTCTGGAGGGGTCCCAACCCATGAAGGGAAGAGCAGGGACCCAGGAGCCCCCATGGGTGCTGCATGGGGCCAACACGGGCTGGGAAGGGGGGCTTGGCAGGTGGCAAGGCGGCAGGACCCTGCTGTCGTGGCCGCGCCAGGGATTAAGCCATCATGCCTGTCTCCCGCCCTGGCTGAGCCAGCATCAAAACAGGAAGAGGGAGAGGCTGGGGGACAGCCAGGCGCAGGGACACGGGGGCAGAGACTCTGTGGAAGGCCAAGCCGGGACCCCATGGCTGCGGCTTCATCCAGGGGTCAAAGAGCATCACAGCCTGAGGGGAGGCCGAGTGTGAGATGGAGCCCACGGCAGGTCATGGTGAGGCGCGACTGTGGCCTGGTATGACCTGGGGGACACAGGGTTTAGTGCTGTCCCTGCACCAAGAAGCTGACCACAGCTTTTCTTTCAGTACCGGGGATGGAACCCAGAGCCCTGCGCATTCGTGCCAAGCGCTCGCCACTGAGCGCCATCCCCACCCCATTATCGTGAGACGAGGTCTTCCTAAGTTACTCAAACCACCGGCTTCGAACTTGCAGGCTTCCCTCGGCTTCCCAAGTAGCTGGGGTTAAATATCGGGTTTGTGTGTGTGTGTGTTTTGCTTTTTGAGACAGTCTCCTTATGTAGTTCAAACGTGTGACAATCCTGCTGCCTCAGCTTCCTGGTACTGGAATGAAAGGCATGTGCCACCATGGCTGGCAGAAGTTGGTTTTTGTTTTTGCAGTGCTGGGGTGAAACATGGCAGGCAAACACACTCTTAACACTAAGCAACCCCCCCCACCAACTCTTTTTTATTTTGAGACAGCATCTTGCTAAATAAATTGCCCAGAGTGGTTTCAAACTCAACATCCTCCTGTCTTGGCCTCCTGAGTTGCTGGGATCAGAGGTGTGTGCCCCTGCACTGGGCCCAAGAGCTTTTGAGGCTGAGGAATACAAAGAGCTTGTTTGCTGTATGTGTCAGCAGGTATCTGATTCCACACACACAGACAAGGTACTTGTGGAGACCTGCAGGTTTGCCAACATGCTGCAGCTAGGCTGTGTGACCGCTGGCAGGAGTGTAAACACAAACACTTGAGAAACCGAAACTGAAATCACATGTTCTGATCTATCCCAAGAAACCTTGCAAGAAAGACAAGCAGCTGGGGATTTAGCTCAGTGGTTCCGGCACCTGCCTTGCAAGCGCAAGGTCCCGAGTTCAATCCCGGGTACCAAAAAAAGCAAGCCAGCCAGAGTACTGGGGTGGTCACTGCCTTTCTGTCCTGGAAGCCAGTGCACTCGGTCCCCAGGGGTCACTCCGGTGGCAGTTGTTCTCCTAGTACTCACTCAGATTACTCTGAAAACAAGTCACTTGTCTGAAGTCATCCAGAATTAAGTAGTAGCCCTGGGCTTTGAACTCAGGTCTCCCCAAGCACGAGAACCCTGCTCCTAACTCTTGGCTACGCTGCCTGTCTTCCTGGTGCAGAGCCCTAGACGGAGGTCTACGTGGCAGGGACAGCAGGGGCGAAGCCACCAGGGCCAGGAGTGAGAGCTGCTTTCCAGCTCCCCAAAGAGGCCAGGGACATTCCTAGGAATTAGCCTGACATCTCAGGCATCCCCACTCAGCCCGGCCTGCAGCACCCACCCGTTGCCAGCTGTGGTAGGAGAAGCAGGGCGGAAGCCCCACGTCCTGCCTTCAGCCCCATGCCTGGGGCCCGGGTTTGTTCTTGGCCAAGTTACTGCCCAGGATCTCGAAATGCCCTTTCTAAAGAATGCCTGGTGACGCTGATAAACAAATCCTCAGCTTGGCAAAGAGGTGACTGGAGCCCCAGAAACATCTCTGGGAGACAGAAAATGGAGCCCAGATGCCAACGCCAGCACCCAGGGTGTGGGCTCTGGTGGCCATGTGGGGACAGAGCCCCTGAGCTGAGAACCAGGCAGCCCTGGGTGGTGGCAGAGCCAAAGGGTTACCAGCCAGAGGTCTCTTGTGCAGAGCAGGCAGCCAGGCAACCCGAGGACCCACCCCGTTACAAAAGCCAGGAAGTCACCTCCGGGGCGGGGAGGCAGGAGGTATGGCAGGGTGCTGGAAAACTTGAGTCTGACAGACTGTAAGATAAGCATGCTTAAAATAAAAATGCAAAAATGTGCAAGGGTGCCAGGTATGATGGCGAATGCCTGTGATCCCAGCACTCTGGGAGGCTGAGGCAGCAAGATGGCAAGTTCAAAGCCAGCCTGGGCTACATAGTGGGTTCACAGCTGGCCTGAATTACATAGGGAGGCTCTGTCTCAAAAAAACCCATAAATCACAGAATACTAGCCAAATAATCAGTGTGAAACAGACACAAAGTAACTGGGCAAATGAGAACGGAGTCACTGAAACTGAGTTCCTAAAGAGTTAGGCAGTAGATAACCCCGGGCACAGGGACCTCTGGGCTGTGTGTTACCCGAGGGGGACTCCACCCCCTGACAGGGCAGGAGGGCCTCCCAAGCGCCTAGCCTGAGCCGGGAACAAGGGAGAAGTGGGCTGCTCAGAATTGAGCCCCGGGACTGAGGGCACAGTGACCAGGAACACAGAGCCAGGCGGAGTGGGGCACACAGCTATTTACTGGGGGCCAGGGCCTCACTCCTTGAGAGAGAAGTGCATCTTGTCATTGATCATCTTGCGCTCGGGGTTGAGGCGCTTCAGGATCTGGGCCAGCACGTTCACCGTCTGCTCGCTGCTCAGCCCCGTCTTCTTGGTCTGGAACTTCTTCAGCAGGTCCTTGGTGGTCATGGGCTTCCGCGTCAGGTAGCGCCGCACGGCATCCTCGGTCACCTGCACATCGCTGAGGGGCACGGGGTGGGGGTCACTGAGACGCCCCTGGGTGCTGACTCCCCACACCCTGCGTCCTGTGGACTTACCCGCTGCTGGGCGTGCACTTTCCAGACGGCGGCTGTGGGGTGGACTTCCCGGACAGGCTCTGCGGCCCAGTGTCCAGCCGCAACCGCTTGGCGGCAGGTGTCTCACTTGTCCGCTTCCCTGTGGGGTAGGCTTGGGGCTGAGTCCTGTCTTTTTCTTTTGTACTGCAGATTGAACGCTGGGCCTTTGCACTCATCTATGTCCCAAGCTCTTTTCTTTTATTTTTTTAATGAATCAGGATCTCGCAAAGTTGCCCGGGCTAGGCTCAAACTGGGGATCCTCCTGCCTCAGCCTCCCAGAACACAGGATTGAAAGGTGTGCGCCACTGTGCCCAGCTCAGGGGCGGCAGGTGGGACCTTTGGGCAGGCAGGGCCAGGACCAAGGGTAAAAAGGGCTCAGGAGGACAGAGGAAGCATGGACTCACCTTGCTCCAGTTTGGTGGCAGCAGCCCGCAGGGTGGAAGAAGTGCTGCCACCCTCTGCGCTGGGCGAGCCGGGGCGGCTGTTTCCCCTTGAGCTGCCTCCTGAGGGCTTCCGCTCCCGCTTGGGGGGTGTCTTCTTCTTCTGCGGAGCCGAGGTTGGTTGGGATGAGTGTGGAGCCGGACCCCAGTGCTCCGCCCTCCCCGCTGCGCCCTGGGTGGCTGAGCCTCACCGCCATGAAGAGGGCCGAGGAGGCTTCGCTGTCGATGTCACTCTCCTCAGAGCTGTCAGACTCGTCGCTGCTGTCTGCAGGGACCAAGGCCCGGAGTCAGGACGGGGGGGGGGCGGGGGGGTGGCTGGGCACCTGTGCCCACCCTCACCTCTACCACGGACAGGATGGACCCACCTTTCCGGCGCTTCTTCTCCTGCGGGGTGGCCACCTTCTTCTCTTCCTCCTCCTCCTTGTCCTCCTCGGTGGCGGCCGGCTTCTCCTCCTCGCTCTCCTCACTGCTCTCGCTCTGCTCGTCCACACCTGGGACAGGGCACAGCCTGAGCAAGAGGGGGCGTGCCCGTGGCTCCCGGCCCCGCCCACCACTGGGCCACACCCACGAGTCCCCACCCACTCGCATCCCCGCCTACCCTTGGGCCCCTCCTCCTGCTGCTGCACTTTGGGCTTGCTGCTCTCTGGCTCGTCCTGGGAGCTGCTGCGGGCAGAGAGTGCGGGAGTGAGAATCAGGTCCAGGCCGGGCCGGGGTCTCACACCCGCCTTCCGCTGGCCTCACCTGGAGCCGTCAGACATGTAGTCGACTTCCTGGCCCTCAAAGTCCCCGTCGTCGCTGTCCTCAAAGGCCTCATCGTCTGAGCCCTTCTTCTTCTTCTTCTTCTTCCTGCCTGCCTTGGTCAGCGGCGCCTTCTTCTTGGTCTTGGGGGCTCTGCTGCCTGGAGAGGGGAGGGAGGACAGGCAGAGGTCCGGCTGCGGCTTCAGCGTGGCTTTCCTGTTTCAGGGTGGCCTGATATCAGGAGACCTCAATGACAGCCCCCGGGGCAGCCCAAACCCCAAGCTTTCGCATGGCGCACACATCAGGAAACCTCCCCTCCGTCAGCCAGGGCAGCTCAGGACAGGCATCACAGCGCAGGTCCGCCCGAGCACTCAGTGGCCAACCCTGAGGTGTCCTTCCCCGTGGGGACCTTAATAAGGGCTCGGGCCTGGCTTTCCACCTGGTCCCACATCTCCTGGGTGCCTCTCACTTCCGGGGCAACCAGAACACAGAGCCTGTGTCTGGCACTAACCACTCAGCGCCCCCAGTGGCGGGAAGGCCTACCATCTTCGCCGCTGCCCTCACTGTCGTCTGAGGACATCTCCAGGTCGTCCTCCAGGTCGTGGATGCGCAGCCCGCTGGCCTTCTCACGGCTGCGTTTCTCCTTTTCCTCCTCATCCTCGTCCTGGCCCTGGTCCTTGAGCCGCCGTTGCTGCATGATGCTGAAGTGGTTCAGGACCTTGTTCCTCCTGCAGGGTGATGGGGTCGGGTGAGAAGGCAGCCTTGCACCTCTGCCCAGGGGCAGAGGGGAACCACATGACATGCGGGACCTTCTCAGGGGACTCAGCCTGGCCACAAAGCACCCTGAACCTGGGAGAAAGCTCCCTCATGGGCTGGGCGTGGTGCGCAGGCCCACAATCTCAGCACTCAGGAGGCTGAGCTAGGAGGTTGGCAAGTTTCAAGGCCAGCCTAGGCTACACCACAAGACCCTGCCTAAAAGAACAAAAAAACCAAAAAACCCAAAAAACCTGGCACTGCATTTAATGTGAAACTTTAAGACTACATCTGACCACATACACAAAATTCATGAATGTTATGGAAAGGAATGAAATTTGTTTGGTTTTTTTTTTTTGGGGGGGGGTACCGGGGATCGAACTCAGGACCTTGCAGTTGCAAGGCAGGCACAACGCCACTGAGCTAAATCCCCAGCCCCAAGATCTAAAGCACTAAGTCACCCAGGCTGGACTGAACTTGTGATCCTCCTGCCTCAGCCTCCTGAGTAGCTGGGATGACAAACAAAATGCAGTTTTGCAGGCTGGCCTAGAGCCCAGTGCACCCTCCCACATCATGGACGGAGCCCAGGGGGCTTCAGCCCTCAGGAGGCCACGTCCTCTGCTGGGCATGGAGGGCCGTGAGCCCAGCCCCTCTTCTCTGGCCCTTGCTCACGTCCCTGGCCCCGTAATCGCATCCACCCTGTCCCATGCCCAGGGTGCCTCCGGAAGCCTCCCAGGACCCTGCACACTCCCGAGCGGCACAGACCCTCCAGGGCAGCCTTGCTGCAGGGCCAGCTCCCCCTGCAGGAGCCAGCTGGGCCACCTTGCTGGCCGTCTCCAGTGTGGGGCTCACTCGCCCTCCCAGGCTGTTGCCCTGGCCTGAGAGCATCACTCATGAGCACCCAGCTCCCGCCCCAGCCTGGCCTGCACCTCTGGCGGTGCCCTCTTCCTGCCCTGCCCGAGAGGCTCACCTCTCCCATTCCTCTTCGGCCTCCTCAGCGGTGAGCGTGCGGTGCCGGGCCAGTGGCGTGAAGTTGTACCAGTTGTGCACGGGGAAGGCCTCGAAGGCCCCGTCAGGGCACTGGGTAAAGATGTAGTAGGACGTGTTCTCCGTCACGCCTCCCTTCTTGATGCCCTTGAACCTATAGGGAGTGGAGGTCCAGTCATGGTGGTGCCGGGTCCAGTCTGTACCCCTCATCTGCCTCCTTCCTCCTCGGAACCCGCCTGGGTTCTCCAAGGGAGGCCAGGATAGGACCCAGCTATGTGACCCTCAGAGCTGAGCAAGTCCCTGTACCACGATCACCTCAGGCTCCTCTGCCCACAGGCTGCTGCTGGGAAGCAGCCCTGGAGCCAGGCCGGCAGGGACAGGACAGCCCGACCCTCAGTGGGCCCTCAACCCAGGCCACCATCTCTCTGAGCCCAAACAACTGCCAGCCTCCAGATGGCCTGCACCCCGCCCTGCTGCTGCCCTAAATCCAAGTACTCTTGCCTTTTTTGTTTTCCCAGTCCTGGGGATTGAATCCAGGGCCTTCCCATTGAGCTACGTCTCCAGCCATTTTTATTTATTTATTTATTGGTACCGGGGATCAAACTCTGGACCTTGTGCTTGCAAAGCAGGCGGTGGAACCACTGAGCTAAATCCCCAGCCCATTTTTATTTTTTGAGACAGGGGCTAAGTTCCCCAGGTGGGACTCGAACTTCAGATCCTCCTGCCTCAGCTGCCCACCGTGCTGGGACTACAGGTGTGCGCCACCACACCACTCCCGTTTGCAATCTTGCTCAAGTGCCTCTCCTGGCCTATAACTTCAACTCCCCTGGGCCTGGCTGTATCCTGGCACCTCCCTTCTCCAGCGACCGTCGCCGGCAGTCTGCCTGGAATCTCACCACCCTGACCTCATTGGTTCGGCTCTGCCGGAAGGCTGCCCCCTCCCACAGGGTGATGCAAGAGGCCCCGCCCCCCAGCACAGGGCCGGATGCTGCTTGGTGGCTCAGCTTCACCAGTGGGATGAGGTGCGCGGCAGGCGCCCCCACAGTGCTGCCCCTCCCGCATACTGGAGCTGTCCCTGTGTCACTGCCATCCCCCTTTTCAGTGCTGCCTGCTCTGAATAGCTGGATCGGTACCTGCCCCGGTCTTGTTCATCGTTGAGGACCAGAGACCTTGAAGTCAAGTGGGGAGAGGGGGCTGTACAATCCAGAACTCTGGGACAAGCCAGAACGTACAGCACTCCGCAGGCCCCAGAGAAGGCTCCGATTCTCCCCAAAGCCTACAGTGTTCCGAAAGGGGCAGTGACGGGGTCCAAATTCCATGTTTAAGAAGCTCCTCCCAACTCCCACATCCCTGCACTCTGAGAGGCTGGCCAGGGAGATGGCAAGACCCAGCCCAGCCTGGGCAACTTACTGACATAGCAAGACCCTGTCTCAAAATAATGATGATAATAATAATAATATTTAAAAATCAAAAACTTAAAATGGGCTGGGTATGTAGCTCAGTGGGAAGGCCCTGGGCTAACTCCCCAGTACTCAAGGCAGAAGGACCGCTGAGAGTTCCACGCCAGCCTGGGCTAGCTAGCGACTTCAAGGTCAGCCTGAACCACAGAGTGAGACTCTGCCTCAAAACACCAAAACACAAAAAAACAAAAACAAAACAAAACAAAAAGGGCAGGGTGTAGTGGCGCAAACCTGTCATCCTACCACTCAGGAGGCTGAGGCAGGAAGATCACCTTGAGTTCGAGGCCAGCCTGGGCTACATAGTGAGTTCAAAGCCATCCTGAACCACACAGAGAAACCCTGCCTAAAAACAACAACAACAACAACAAAAAAACCCCGAACAAAAACAAATCAAAACACCAAAAATAAATAAATAAAAATAAAAACCCTGAAATGAGGGAGGCAGGGGTTGTGGCACATGCCTGTCATCCTAGCACTGAGAGGCTGAGGCAGGAGGATCACAATTAACTTGAGTTACCTTACCAACTTAGACCTGGTCCCACAATATAAAGGGCTGGGGATGTGTCTCTATGCAAAGGCCCTGAGTTCAATACTCAGTATCACAATAAATAAATAAAATGAGGAAGTGCTGGCACCCCAACTGTCCAGTTGGGGAACTGAGGTTTTCAGAGAGCATACCCCACGTGTACGAGGGCCAGCAGACAGGGGCTGGCCCCTGTGGTCCCTAGGGCAGCACCTTTCCCCATCACCACTTACTTCCTGCCTGATTTTCCATTGACGCGGAGCAGCCAGGGCTGGTCCTCAGGCCGGAACTCCTTGAGGATGATGCCGTACTTCTTGCGGCGGGCCTCCTCCCGGAGCTTCCGGTTGAACTCGCTGCCTGCTCCAGACTCGGGCATCTCCTCCTCCTGGTAAATCTTCTTGTTGCTCAAATCCCGCTCTAGCCGGGCCTGGGGGAGCAGGAGGAGAAACTGTGAGGGCCCCACCTTTGGCTGGAGTACAAACTCCCATGAGGAATACTCTTCATCTCCCTATGCTGCACCCCAGATGCTCGAACTACTAACTTCCTGGGGTCTGGGCAAAGGGGTGTAGGATGGTAGCCCTTGGTGATTCTGGTACAGTGACTTTGGGACTTAAACAACTAACAATAAAACAGAACTCTGTAATCCCACCACTTGGGAGGCTGAGGCAGGAGGATTGCCAAAAGTTCAAGGCCAGCCAAAGCTAGTGAGTCAAAGGCCAGCATGAACTGCATGATGAGACCCTGTCTCAAAAAACAAACAAAAAATAGAAAAGCACAGCTTTTCTGTGGCATATCTGAGTTTCCAATGTCATTTGCTCTTGGGCTTTGGAGCCATTACTCGGTAAAATAATGGTCCCTTGGACACAAACACTGGGACGCCAGAGCAGCTGACCTGCTAATAAAGGCAGTGAGTGGATGCAGTGTGGACGTGCTGGACAAAGGGACAGTTCTCGTTCCACATGAGATACAGTAGACAGCAAGATTTCATCAGGCCACTCGGCAGAGCAGGCAATCTAAAACTCGGGCATTGTTTCAATCTAGCATTTCCCATGTGATGTTTTCGGAGTGTAGCTGACTGCAGGCAGCCGAAGCCATAGAAAGGAAAACCGCAGGGCCGGGGATTTAACTCAGTGGTGTCACCGCCTGCCTTGTAAGCCCAAGGTCCAGAATTCGATCCCCAATACCAAAAAAAAAAAAAGAAAGGAAAACTGCAGACAGGGGAGAGATGGCCTACAAATGGCATCGTCCATGCTTCCCTCACCCTCTACCTTTGGCCCAACAACAAAGCCTGCAGGCTTTCACTCAACCTCCGCTCTCTCTGAGCCCAGCCTCCTCTTTCCAGGCCCATCATCATCATCACATCATCACTGCACTCCCCCATCCTGGGCTCCTTCATCTTCCCTCAAACCCGCGGTGCATCTCCGCAGCACCGTGGCCACCACTCGGCGACTTCCCAGTTGAAAGCCTTTCATCAGCCTACACAGTTGCTTCCAGAGCCTGGAACAGTAGCAGCTCAGACCACCAAGGAGACAGAGCTCCCAGCTCAGGCCACGGCCCTGCCCCAGCAAATCTAGGCCCAGAATGTCCCTCAGTGAGCATAATTTTAAATTGTTCTTTTTGTGTGTGTGTGTAACTTGGAACTGAACCCAGAGCCTTTGCACTGAGCTCCATCCCCAGTGCTTTTTCATTTTTTATTTTGAGACAGGGACTTAATAAGGTGCTAAACTGCTCAGGCTGGGCTGGAATTCGTGATCTCCTGCCTCAGCCTCCTGAATACTGGCATGACAGGTGTGCACCAGTATGACCTGCTTAAATGTTCTCTTTTAAGATGAAAACTGCCTCTGGAGCCTAACAAACCACAGCCACCAGGTCGGCCAGGGCCTTAATTGTCCTTTATGTCCATTTGGGGAAAGTGGAGGAAGCTTAACCTTAGTTACTTTTTTTTTTTTTTTGGGTATGGGGATCGAACTCTGGACCTTGTGCTTGCATAGCAGGTGCCGGAACCACTGAGCTAAATCCCCGGCCCAACCTTAGTTACTATTACAGCTAAGCAACTATTACAACCACCAAGTCCAGAGTCAGGTTCTCTCCACCTCTGCCCCCCAGACTCCAAAACCAGAGACTTACCTGATTCCATGTAGCAAAGTTCACTTTATCGGCTGCATTGAAAGCCATTATATTGTATTTTTTGGTTGTGTTCCTGGAGTAAGAAGAGGTAGTGATGAGTTGATCAGCTAGTCATTCAACAAACCCATTTTGGTTCAGTCCTTTGTGCTGGGCAATGGCAGGGACTCAGAAAAAACCCTAAGGGTTCCCAGATTGTCAGGGAAGCTACATCCATCTATTTCCAACCAGAAGATTTGGGAGAACTCCCGATGTGGGGATCATTGAGAACTGGTCGTGGGGAAGAGGCAAGGCAGGCAGGCAGTGCTTCCTGGAAAAGGGAAATACTCCAACTGGTTTTGTTTTTTTGTTTTGGTTTGGTTTTTGAGACAGAGTCTCACTCTGTAATTCAGGCTGGACTTGAACTCACTATGTGGGGCCCGGGAGGTAGCTCAGCAGCACAAAGCCTGCTTGGCAAGAGGCCCTCAGTTCGATTCCCGGTACAAAAAAAAAAGAACAGAACCACCATGTAGCCCAGGCTGGGTTTGAGCTCAAATTAGGTTTTGCAGGACCAGTAAGAATCCAGTTGGCTGGGCATGGTGGGGCATGCCCATCATCCCGGCACTCTGGGAGGCTGAGGGAGGAAGATCACAAGTTTGAGCCTAGCCTGAGCAGCTCAGTGACTTGGCAAGACCTTGTCTCAAATTTTTTTTAAAAGGGCAGGGTCTGCTGCCTACCTCGATCCCCGGTACCAAAAAAGAAAAAGGGCAGGGGGTGGGCTGAGGATGTAGCTCAGTGTGAAGGCCCTGGGTTCAAGGTTCAATCCCCAGTACCAAAAATAGGTAACTAAATTTTCTCTAAATCCACCTAGCGGAATCACAGTTGGAGATGGGCAGAGGTACAGTCCTGGCAGAAGGAAGCGACGCGCAAAGGGCTGGCCAGTCTGAAAGGGGACACAGTTGCAGACGGTAACTGATAGCCTGTAACAGTTGCTTTGGGGGGCAGTAAGTGGGCCGCCCGCTCAACCAGCGTGCTGAACCGCGCCGCGTACTGATTCACTCGTCCCCTGACTCGGATGGTGAAGCCCCGGCGGAGCTGGGAACCCCCGAAAGTTGTGCAGGCTTTCATTCCTTCTGGGGAAGTGAGGGTGGGAGGTGGGGCCGGGGACTTACTTGGGAACTCGAACGACATACTCGGTAACATTCTGGCTGCCGGGGCCCTGCGAAGAGAGAAGATGGGAAGGTGCGTGAGGAGGGGCCGCCGGGAAGCCGCGCGACCCTCGATTCGGGCCCGCCTCATTCATACTCACTAGGGTCGCCATTGACAATCCTCAGGGACTCGAGTCCACTCCGACAGTGATTCTTTTCGTCTGCTCCGAGATCTGCGTCCTCAGTGCAGGGAAGCCGCTCTCTAGGCTTTGGGTCTCCGGCCCTGACCCCAAACACCTTCCGCCGCCGGGCCTGGGAAAAACCACCCGGAAGTGGCACCGGGCTGGCTCCCTCTGCGACTGCGCCGCTCCCTAACTCGGAAGTGAAACTCCTCCGTTGACCGCGTCGCGATGGCAACCTCCTTTGTGGCTGTGTTTCACTCAGGGCTATCACTTAGGAGCTGGATTTGGTGGTGTACACCTTTAATCTCAGCACTGAGGGAAGCTGAGGCAGGAGGATCGCAAATTCAAATTGCGCCTGGGCAGTTAAGCGAGACTGTCTCAAAACAAAAACCAGCCCTAGGCTTGACCCCCAGTGCCACAAAAAAAAAAAAAAAAACAACCCAAAAAACAAGACTGTCATCCAAGGGTCCCTGCCTTTTCTCAGACCCAGGCTAATCTGAGATAAATAACCCAAGGGCCTTTAATCCTAGCTTCTCCGAAGACTGAAGCAGCTGGGCGTGGTGGTGCACACCTATAATCCCAGCACTAGGGAGGCTGAGGCAGGAGGATCACTGCAAGTTTGAGGCCAGCCTTGGTTCCATAGTGAGTTCAAGGTCAGCTGAACTGCACAGCGAAACCCTGTCTCAAAAAACAAAAAGAGAGAAAGAAAGAAAGAAAGATTTCTTAAAAGGCCCGGAGGTGTAGTTTAGCGCAAGTCCTGTCGGTGGTTGGTGCGCTTTTAGCGCGGATAATGTAATCAGGACGCGTGGGAACGCCTTCCTCCGTGACGTACACCCAGGGACTACCGAGTACCCGGGTTAGGGAGACTAAGGGATCCTCGCGGAGGGCAGTGCGCTGTACGCATGCGCCAATCCGCTTGGAAGTGAGCGCTAGGAGTTTTCGTTGTCATAGCAACCGAGGCCTACTTTGTAGGGTCGTGTTTCCCCCAGGGCTCCACTGGGGCCTGTTTAACGTTGATTTCCAGTCCCCTGCCACTGGAGTCAGATCCCCATCGCCTGCACAGCCTTTGTGACATTGAACTGAGCCAGAAGGGGTTAGGGCCTGGCTGGGGATGGGGCGCTACTGCCCCAAAGGCTCCTGGTCGGATGGGGCTATGCAAGTCCAAGCTGCCCCAGATGGACAGACCACTGAGGCCCTGGGAAAAGGATAATATGGCAGGGGTGGCTGCCTTACTGAGGGGGAAGGAAGGAGACAGTGGAGGGCATTAGGGAGATGCAGGTGTACCCTCTATCCAGATGTGGCACCCACATCATAGCAGTGAGAACTGCACATACTCCTGGCTAATTCATTCATTCATCTTTTTCAGACATAGCTGAAAGACTTCTTGGTTCTGGCCCCTCAAAGTTAAACCAGCTGGGTGTGCTCTTGGTGATTACAGTGTAGCAGAGGGAAAAGACTAAGGAAATGGAATCTAACACCCTGAGGGCTCAGGAAAAAGGGGAGGTTTCAACTGGGCCCTGACAGATGCACGGGAGTTGGCTAAAGAAAGAGGGAGGAAAGCAGGACACAAAAACTGGGCTATAAACTACTGGCAGCTTTGGACATTGGTGTAGACCCTCTCCACTACTCGATGTCAGGAACTGTGATGGCTGGTGGGAACATAGGATGAGTGAGGGAGAAATAGTTCTTGCCCTCATGGAGAACAGAGTCTCCCAGGGGACAGAAAAACAAACAGGGAAGATCATGACTGATGGTGGCCACTGTTGGGGAGGGAAAGGACGTCTGAGGCAGGAGTAGTCAGGGTAGGAGGCTCTTTGGTCAGAGATGGAGAAGTCTGATGGCCTGAGCTGTGGCCAGGAGAAACTGAGGCAGCCCAGGGTTTCTCTGGTGGAGGGAATAGCAAGGGAAGAATGAAATTGGAAGTTCAAGGAACAGAAAGGAACCTATTATATAGGGCAGGGTGGTAGGAGTCCCTGTGCCTCTCTGAGCCTCAGTTTCCTCCACTGTAAACTGGGATGATAGAGTCATTAGGTTCTTCAAGGAGACATGTCTCAGTCATAGCATCTCATGGCAGCATTATGGCACAGTGTCCCTGGCCCTACCACTGGGCACGACACGTACCCCGAGAGGCCACCATAGTGCCAAAAGAGCTAAGAGCCAGTTATGGTGGCTCATACCTGTAATCTCAGAACTCAGGAGGCTGAGGCAGGAGGATCACTGCAAGTCCAAGGCCAGTCTGGCTTACATAACAAGAGCCTGTCTCAAAAAACCAAACAAACAAAAAAAGAGGCCCTGTATTCCGGAGACCTATGCACAGTGTGCCCCAGGGACACACAATCCGATCAGTGCCAGCCAGTGCCCCACAGTGCTCACTGATGCCCCTGCTCTTCCCGGTCCACAGACAGCCTCAAGTCCTCCCTGATCATCTTCATGGTGGGTGGCCCGGGCTGCGGCAAAGGGACACAGTAAAGGAATATGGCTGCCAAGTACAGCCTCTGCCAGCTGCTGCAGCAGGAGGCCCAAAAAAGCACCCGGCAGGGACGGCAGATCTGAGACGTTATGTTGCAGGGGCTCCTGGTGCCCACGGTGAGACCTCCCAGGCACCAGGAGAGGTCGGGGACGGGTGGGTATTGGGACAAACTTCTCAGCTTGGCTACTGCCCTGAGCCTTCCTGTCCTTAACTGCAAGATACCACACCAAAAGGCCATGATGGGGCCAGGGATTTAGCTCAGTGGCACCGCACCTGCCTCACCATGTCCTGAGTTCCATCCCCTGTACCAAAAACCAAAACAAAACAAAACAAAAAAAGGCTGTGATGAGGGCAGGGGTGTGGCTCAGCAACACCAAGCCTGCCTGGCAAGTGCAAGGTCCTGAGTTTGATTCCTGGTACCCCCCCCCCAAAAAAGGCCATGATGAGCCAGTGTGGCGGCACAATTTTTTAATTTTAAAACAGGGTCTCCATAAATCACTAAACTGTCCAGGGTGGGCTGGGACTTGGAATCTTCCTGCCTCAGCCTTCCAGAGTGCTAGGATTACAGGTGTGTACCACCACGCCTTGCTACACCATGTTATCCGAGGGACTTGAGCATGTTTGTGTGTGGGTGTCCACAGGGGTCCTGGAATCATACCGCTTTGGATGCTAAGAAAGGACAACTTTACTTTCCTCTGAGATCCTGCAAGCCTTCTGAAGCTGTTTGCCACCTGCAAAAGGAACATCGCACCCCATATGATGTGCCTTTCGTAAGGTCATGGTGACTGGAGGATTAAATGATACCCAGCAAGTCTGGCCCCTGTGGACACCCACCCAGTACAAGGTCCAATTCTCAGAGCCATTTCCCTCATTCCCCAGAGCAGACTCAGAATTCAGGGTGGGCTCAGTAGGCTGAGGCAAGAGGGTTGCCTGAGCCCAGGAATTCAAGGCTAGTCTAGGGGACAGGGTAGGATTTTTCATCTTTATTTTTTATCTCTCTTTTCCACTCTCTCTCTCTCTCTCTCTCTCTCTCTCTCTCTCTCTCTCTTTTGGCGGTGTGGTGGTACTAGGGATTGAATCCAGGGCCTTCCTTCTGAGCTACAGGCTCAGCCATTTTTAAAACAGGGTCTTGCTAAGTAAGTTGCCCAGGCTTGAGCTCAAATTTATGATCCTCCTGCCTCAGCCTTTTCAGAGTACTGGGATTATAGGCATGCACCATCATGGCCAGCGTTAGTGAGATCTTGTCTCAAAAAAAAGGTTGCAATTTAGGGCCGGGATGTAGCTTCATGGCAGAGTATTTGCCTAGCTTGTGCAGGGTCCTGAAGTTCAATCCCCGTTGCTGCAAAGAAAAGAAAGAAAAAGAAATCCTGGGCACTGGGCGGGACAGTATCACCTGTCCCCACCTGAGGTCCAGGCTGGAGAACTTGGTCTGCCCAGGGTGAGGGAAGAAAGAACCCCTGGTGCTGACGCCACCCCTCCACCCCTAGGGCCTCATCCTAGACATGGTCAGCGAAAAGATGCTCTCCCACACAAGCAGCCACGGCTTCCTTATTGATGGCTTCCCTCGGGAGCTGACACAGGCCAAGGAGTTTGAGCACATAGTGAGTGACCCCAGGCGAGCGTGTGTGCATGTGCACGTGTGTGCACGCATGTGAGCTCACACTCCCCTCCTCCCCTCCTGGACTGGAGGCTGAAGCTCAAGGGAGAGGAAATGACAACAGGGAAACAGGGTTTGCTATTCCTAGAACAGCGAGCAAAGGTAGTCACAGTGGCCCCTGCTGGAATCCCAGCTACTCAAGAGGCTGAGGCAGGAGAATCACACAGGTTCCAGCCCAGCCTGGACAACTTAGCCACTTAGTGAGACTCTCTCTCAAAATAAATAAATAATAAATTAATTAATGAATTAAAATAAAATTAAATATGGCCAGGGATGTAGCTCACTGTGAAGGTCCTGGGTTCAATGGCCAGTACTGCAAAAAAATAAATAAATAAATGAATTGGTTGACTGCCTGGGTTTCAGTGCTGCCCCACCACCTGCACTGTGTCATGCTGGGTAAAGCCCCTGGTGCTCCGTGAAACCTCAAGATGGCAGTGTAAGGGGGCGTGGAATGCTCCAGAGGATGCATCCATCTGTGCATCAGGAGGACCGGGCCAGGCTCCCGGAAGCCCTGGAAGCCTCATGCTGCTGTTGCCATGGGGACTGAGGACGTGCAGGCCCTGTGTTGCCAAGTTCCTGCTTTTCCAGAGAATCTGGGAATTGGGAGGTGGCAGCTCCCCCCATTTTTTCCCTTTTCTTTCAGCTCTGAGGATGGAACCCAGGGCTTTCACACTGAGCTGCATCCCTAGCCCCCCCCCCCTTTTATTTTGAGACAGGGTCTAACCAAGTGGTTCAACTGCCTGAGTGGGCTTGAACATGTGGTCCTCCTGCCTCAGCCTCCCAGAGTACTGGGGTGTGCTCCACCCAGTGTTGGTCTCGGATTCTTTTTTTTGGTACGGGGGATCGAACTCAGGTCCTTGAGCTTGCTCAGCAAGCGGTGAAACCACTGAGCTAAATCCTTGGCCCCTGGTCTCAGATTCTTAAAAGAAAATGTGAAGTTGGGCAATACCTTGTCTCAAAAAATTAAAAAGAGCTGGGGGATTCCATCCCTAGTACTAAGAAAAAAGAAAGGGAAATACTGTGTTGTCCGGAAGGAACATGGTGGACCCCATGGGACCCAGGTCGGGGTTGTAGCTGCTGTCCTGAGACTCTGCAGCCGCTTGAGGAATCCATTCGGCTCCTACTGTCACAGGCTACTGCCCTTCGCCTGGGCTGGGGGGTCAGGAGTGAGTCAGCCAGGGCTTTGCCCTCCCAGGAAAAGGCCCATTGCAGCTCTTGAAGTTCATCTTGAGGAGCTCATGGGTCTGAGTTGTGGAGGAGGCACACAAAGGGCAGCCCTACTCCACCCTGCCTGTAGGGACAGCTAAGTCCCAGTGCCTTTTTTTTTTTTTTTTTTTTTGGTACCAGGGATCAAACTCGGGTCCTTGCGCTTGCAAGGCAGGCAGCAAAACCACTGAGCTAAATCCCCGGCCCCCCAGTGACCTTTGATTCCATCAAAGCCCCTGGACTTCTTTGAAGGGATTGTTTTTTCCTTTGGTTTTGTTTGGGTTTTTGGAGACAGGGTCTCTCTATGGAGCCCAAGCTGGCCTTTAACTCCCTATGGAGCCCAGGCTGGCCTTGAACTCTTACTGATCCTCCTGCCTCAATCTCGAGAGTGCTGACACTACTGGCCTTTGAAGGGATTTTAATCAGAATCCAGTGAGTCCCAGAAGAGCCTAGGGGTCTCCAGCCTGGGACCACTTCTCTGATCCTGGCTTAGGGGTTCCACACGGACCCAGAATGGTGCCCAGGACCCTGGGCTGCCTGTCCTTGGTCCACACAGGAAGTTCTTACAGAGTCCAAGAGACAAATGAAAAGGGCCCAGAGAGATTGCCTCTGCCTTGCCCAGCTTCCCCCCCCCTTCACAGAAGGCTCAACTTGCCCTCTCCCTGAGTCAGGGGGCCACCGCCCCGACTACACAAACCATCCTCCTGCTTCAGCCTCCTCTGTGCCTGGGGGCTGTGGGCATCTAAAGAGCAAGGGCTGTGCTCTTCTTGTGAGGGCTGGAGCCCCAGCCCCAAGGCCAGGGTCTTTTCTCAACAGCTGTCCCTGGACGGAAGGGTCAATGAGCAGATGAATGGAGCTTGGTTCAAGGGCTCCCCACACCCATACAAAATCAGTTCCTCAAATCCTTTCCGTGAAAGGCCATGGTATTGGCTCAGAACCTGTGCACATTCTCATATACTACTTTAAGTTTTTATACGAAAATACTTTTTTATTGTATTGGGGATTAAACTTAGAGCCTTCACAATGAGCCACACCTTTGGCCCCTTTAAAAATATTTTATTTTAGGGGCCGGGGATTGAGCTCAGTGGTTTCACCGCTTGCTATGCAAGTGCAAGGACCCAAGTTTGATCCCCAGTACCACCAAAAAAAAAAAAAAAGAAATAAAAATATTTTATTTTGAGACAGGGTCTCACTGAGTCGCTGAGTGGCCCAGGTTGGGCATGAACTTGCAACCTTCCTGTCTCAGCCTCCCAGAGTCCCTAGATAAAAAGGTGTGCACCACTGCGCCTGCTCCATGCTGTTGCTGTTGCTGTGACTCTAGTATAAATTTCAACCAGGTATTAGCAGCCACCAGCCTTGCTCTTTTTGCTTAGGTTGTGCTTCGGCTCTTCTGGGTCTGCTCCCATTTGAAGATTAGGGCTGCCTGTTCTAGGGTTCTAGATTAGCACTCTAGTTCTTCAAACTGAACATCGTAGGAATTCTGAAGCACCGAACTGGAAAACCACTTTCAGTAAGATGGCCATTTTAACAGAATTAACTCTGCTGACCCATGAACAACAACTTCTTCTTCTTCTTCCTCTCCTTCTCTTTCTTCTATAGCACAACATTAACGGGTGCATTTTAGGCATACCTAATGCTGACACTCATCGTAGGTTATTTGCACCTGCACATGGTACGTCCCACCTCTTTTTCCCATTACCCCCCCCAAACAACCTCCTCTCTCCTATGTACAAAAGCTTTGCTTCCAGTTTTCCTTCTATTTTCTCTTTTCTTTCTTGCACTTCCTTGCTGCCTCCCTCCTCCCTTGCTCCCCTTTCCATGTGGGTCTTTCTGTCTTCTAGCGTCTTCTTCAGTTTCCTTTTTCAGGCTCGGTATGGTGGTGCACACCTGTGATCGCTGACTCTGGGAGGCCGAGGCCGGAGGACCACAGGTTCAAGCCCAGCCTGGACAAATCAGTGACTTAGTGAGAACTGTCTCACAATTAAAACAAACAAACACCTCCGAAAGGGGGCGGGGCTAGGGATGTAGCTCAATGTGGAGGCCTGGGTCCAATCCCTAGTACTAGGAAAGGAGGGCGGATTTAGCTCAGTGGTGCCACCGCCTGCCTCGCAAGCGCAATGTCCCGAATTCATCCCACTACCCCCACCCCCACCCCCACCCCACCCCCGTACCAAAAAAAAGAGTGAAGTATGGACCTAGTACTAGGAAAAAAAAAAAAGGAGGCCATATTTGGAGACAGGGTGTTTAAAGAGGAGACTAGCTGGGCATGGTAACACCTGCCAGTAATCCCAGCATTAGAGAGGCCGAGGCAGGAGAATCGCCATGAATTTAAAGGCAGCTTGGTGGGCTACATAGTGAGTTCAAGGCCAGCCTGAACTACATAGTGAGACCCTGTCTCAGAAAACCAAAAAAAAAAAAAAAAAAAAATGAAAAAGAAAAAAAAAGGAAGGAAGGAAGGAAGGCCGCAACGGTGAACACTTGCCTAGTATTGGCAAAGTCCTGGGTTCCTTCCCAGCAAAGAAAAAGGAAAAAAAAAATAAAGATTGGACAGAAACACACAGAGGGACAACCATGGGAGGACACAGGCAGAAGCCAGCATCTGCAAGTTAAGAGAGGGACTGGGAGGAATCAGCTCTACCAACGCCTTGGCCTTGGATTCCCCCCTCTGGAACCAGGGAACATCTTTTTTTTTTTTTTTTTTTTTTTTGGTAAGGGGGATTGAACTTGGGTCATTGCGCTTGCGCAGCAGGCGGCGAAACCACTGAGCTAAATCCCCGGCCCTGCCAGGGAACATCTAGTTCAAGTCACCAGACCTGTGCTGCTTAGCTACTTTTCAGACCTTGCGAACCCAGGCAGGTCAGACTGCTGCTGTTACAAAATGACCCTCAGACCTCCGGTCTAAGAGTAGCATCTGTTACTGGCCTGCATTATTTTATTATTATTCTATTTTATTTTTTAAATTTAATTTTCATGTTTTGCATTGCTAGGGATTGAACCCAGGGCCTTTGCTCTGAGCTACGTCTCCAGCCTCCCCCTCCCTTTTTTTTAGACAAGTTTTGCTGTGTAGCCGAGGTGGGCCTTGAACTTTCAGTGATTCTCCTGCCTCAGCCTCCCAAGTGCTGAGGTTGCAGGCATGTGCCACCACACTTGCCTATTTCTTTTTTCTTTTTTTTGGTACCAGGTATCGAACTTGGGACCTTGCGCTTGTGTGGCAGGCACCAGAAGCACTGAGCTAAATCCCCGGCCCTATTGTTATTAAATGTTACAAAATTATAAGTTTTCTCTTTTGGTCAGTTTGCCCACATTTATCCCTTGGAATTCTTCCCTGAGGAATGTTTCCTTTACCAAACAGAGTTATTTGGTTATATTGCAATAAAGCTCCTGGGAGGGGAGAATAAATCCTGACCTCTTTCCCCACGATGGCCAATTTTCAGTCTAAGCAGTTGGTGCCCTAGTTACCCCCAGTGGTGACAGTGACATTTTGTTATCTTGTTGCTCTGTGCTGGTCTCTCATCACTGTGAACTCCTAGCCTTTCCTATACTGCTAGCCCTTTGTACCTGTGGGTCCCTTATGCATGGATTCAAGCAACCATAGATTAAAATATCCATTAAAAATTACATTTGACAGGGCTGGGGATTTAGCTTAGTGGCGCCGCCACCTGCCTCACAAGCACAAGGTCCTGAGTTTGATCCCCAGTCCCAAAAAAACCCCCAAAAAACCAAAAAATTACATTTGACAGCTGGGCGTGGTGGTGCATGCCTGTGATCCCAGCATTCAGGAGGCTGAGGCAGGAGGATCACTGTGAGTTTGAGGCCAGCCTGGGCTCACAGTGAATTAGAGGCCAGCTTGAACTACATAGTGAGAATCTGTCTCAGAAAACAGAAAATAAAAACATAAAAAGGAGTGCATCTGAGCAGGGTGTAGTGGTCCATGACTGTAATCCCAGCTCTTCAGGAGGCTGAGGCAGGAGGATCTCAAGTTTGAGACCAGTCTAGGCTAAGTAAATAAGATGGGGGGGGGCATCTCAGTGGTTAGTGCTTGCCTAGCATGCAGGAGAACCTGAGTTTCATCCCCAGCACTACAAAAGAATGTAATTCAAAAATAAGTATAAAATGAGAAAGTGGGGTGCACACATGCTGATTTATTCTGCAGAAGAGAACAAGCCCTCTTTTTTTTTGGTACCAGGGATCAAACTTGGGTCCTTGTGCTTGCGAGGCAGGTGGCAGAACCACTGAGCTAAATCCCCGGCCCAGAACAAGCCCCTTTTGAGATAAGGTCTCACTAAGGTTCCCAGGCAGGACTTGAACTTGGATCCTCCTGCCTCAGCCTCCCGAGGGATTATGGCATGCACCACCATGCCTAACTTCAGTATAGTTTTATTGGGCATTCTTTGTTCTCGAGTTCCAGTATGTTTTCCAAAGTTTAAAGGTCATTTTCATATCATCTGTGTGAACTACTTCCTGAAACTTAAAAAAATATCTGTTGTTGGGTTTTTCCTTTTGATTTTTAGGAGCTCTTTATATATTAGGAATATTAGCTCTTTGTGCTATGGGTTGTAAATATTTGTTTCTAGCTTATCCATCATCTTTTTTGTTGTTGTTGTTGTTACTGGGGATTGAACTCGGGTCCTTGAGCTTGCGAGGCAGGCAGCGGAACCACTGAGCTAAATCCCCAGCCCCTATCCATCATTTTTTAACTTTGCTTAGTGTATCTTTGCCAGACAAGTTATTTTTGGTGTGTGTGTGTGTGTGTGTGTGTGTGTGTGTGTGTTAGGGGTGGGGGCGGTCTTGCTGTGTTGCCCTGGTTGGTAACAGGCCAGTGCCTGGGCTCAAATGATCCTCCTCTGCCTCAGCCACCCAAACGCTGTGACAATGGGCATGCACCACTGCACCTGGCTAAGCCAAGCTAATTTTCAAATGTTTGTCCCATTCATCAGCTGTTTCCATGATTTCTTCTGTATTTTGAGATGGTTTCTTTCCACTTGCATGTTATATGGTGATTCATCCGTGGTTTCTTCTGGTTCTCATGTGGGGTTTTTCTTCCATTTATACCTCAGATCTTTCTGAGACTCATGCTAGTTTGGGGAATGAAGGAAGGAGCAAATTTTATCTTTTTCCAGTTGTCCCAATGCATCTTTATTTTTAAAATCTCTCCCTTCACCTACGGGCTCCACCCATACGCTCCCACTGCTCTTTCTGGGCTCTCTTCCTGGGCTGACCTGTGCCGCTGTTTAGTTAAGGCCTTAGGACAGGACATGAGACAGTCACTGTCTGTAGGCTTTGTCCCTCACCGCCTGTGGCTTTTCTCTTCCCAGTGTCTCCTGGCCACTCCTGCTGGTTTCTTCTTGTGATGAATGTTAGAGTCAGTGTTAGTTTTTTTTTTTTTTTGTAGTTCAGGATGGTCTTGAACTTACTATGTAGTCCAGGCTGGCCTCAAACTGGCAGTGATCCTCCTGCCTCAGCCTCCCAAGTGCTGGGATTACAGGGGTGTGTCACCACACCTGGCACCAGTCTTTAGTTTCTGTGGGTTCTTGATATGTGGATTCAACCAACCTCAGATCAGAAATACTTTGGGGAAAAATTGTATGTGTAGTGAACATACATAAGGGGCTGGGGGTTTAGCTCAGTGGTTCCACTGCCTGTCCTCTGAACATACATAAACTTTTCTTGTTATCTCCTGAATAATACAGCATGACAACTATTTCATAGCATTTACAATGCAGGAGGTATTAGAAGTCATGTAGAGATAACAGAGTCCACAGGAGCCAGGTGTGGTTGCATGCACTTGTGATTCCAGCACTCTGGAGCCTGAGGCAGGAAGATTGCAAGTTCAACTCTAGCTTGGGCAATTTAGTGAGACTCTGTCTCAATAAAAAGGGCTGGAGATGTAGCTCAGTGAGAAGGTCCTGCCATCCCCAGTGCCTGTGAGAGGTTTCATATAGGTTTTATGCAAATCCTGCACCTCTTTATTTATAAGTGACTCAAGGGTCCTTGGATGTCAGCACTGGTGGGTAGGGGAATTGGTTATGGAACCAATCTCCTGGTAATACAGAGGAAGGACAGACCATACAGTGGTTGTGGAGAATCAGGAGACACTCCATGTGCCTATCTGAAGTCATCACCAAGTGCATAAAAGTCATGGGCAAGTCATCAATTTTACCATGTATATAAAAAAGGAAAAGAGCTGGGTAAGGTGGCACATGCCTGGCATCCCAGCTGCTCAGAAGGCTGTGGCAGGAGGATTGCAAGTCTGAGCTCAGCCTCAGCAACTTGGCAAGACCTTGTCTCAAAACAAAAATGGGGAGTGGGCAGGGGAGGTGTGGCTCAATGGTAGAGCACATTTGGGTTCTATTCCCAGTGCTGCAATAAATTGTTTAAAAAGGGAAAGAATAGCTGAGCATGGTGGTGCACGCCTGTAATCGCACTTGTGAGGCTGAGGCAGGAGGATTGCCATGAGTGTGAGGGCAGCCTGAGCTACATAGCAAGACCGTCTCAAAAAACCAAAACGAAAGAAAGCAAGCAAGGAGAGAAAGAAGGGGGTGGGAGAGAACCATATTTGCTTGTGCCATGTCTAAAATAGCTACAGAGGGGAGGGTGTCATTGGTCAGGTGGGAACCTCAAGAAAATCTTCTGCGCTTCCCTTTGTGCACATTTGTTTCTTGTTGTCTGAGACAAGGTCTTGCTATGTACCCCACGCTGGCCTTGAACTGGCAGTGATCCTCCTGCCTCAGCCTCCCAAGTGCTGGGATTACAGGTGTGTGCCACCACCACCATGCCTGACCTGGGTGCACATTTGGCCTACGAGTAAGATCTCTGGGAATGTACCATTTGATTCCTCCAAAAAATTAATACATGAACTAGAAAATTAAAACTTGAACTAAGCCAGGCGTGGTGGCACACACCTGTCATCCCAGTAATCTGGGAGGCTGAGGCAGGAGGATCACAAATTTGAGGTCATCTTGTGCAACTTAGCAAGATCCTGTCTCAAAAGCAACAAAACAAAACAAAAAAAGTTGGGGATGTATTTCAGTGTGGTCTTGGGTTCAATCTCCAGCCTGGGGTTGAGGGGCTAGAAAATTGGAGCCCAGGGAGGCCTGGCCAGTTTTCACCCGATCCCTGGTGTGTGGAGGGAGCCGGGTGCAGGCCCTGCTTCACCTGGTCCCCGTCCATCCGTGCCTAGGTGGGCCGCGCCCCCAACATGATCCTCACATTGGACTGCTCCATGGCGACCATGGTGCGCGCTGCAGCGGGCCCCCATGCAGTGCAGGGAGAACGACTGCGAGCCGGCCCTGCGCCGGCGTCTGGAGACCCACTGCACCTGCTGTGCGCTGGTCCTGACCTTCTACCAGCAGCGGAACCAGCTGCAAAGCGTACGTGGCGCGCGGTGTCCTCACGGGGCCACACTGGCTGCGCGCACTTGAGGCTGGCGAGGGCTGAGTGTGCTGGCAGCCTGGCGGACAACGCGAGTCTAAGGGCACCCCGCTCGCCCAGGCCCTGCCTGAGCGGCGCCCTCTCTGCCCTCGGCCTGGCCCAGGTGACCGCGGGCCCGGGACCAGGCCATTGCTCCCCGCCCTCCCCTGCTGCTCCCGGGCGCCCCAGGCACTGGGCCCTCGGCCCTGTCGCGTCCCCAGCTTGTCCAGCAGTGGGCTCATGCCTGGCCCGGGTGGCTGCTCCCCCTTTTCTAGGTCTTGGCAGAAGAGGCTCCAGAGAACATTTTTGCCAAGTGCTGCTCTGTCATCGAAAGTCTGCAGTGAGCAGGGAGGGCTAGGGGACCCGCCTCGCGCCCCCAACCCATGAGGCTGGGATGCGGTGCCTTTGAGGTGAAGCCTCTGCCGTGTGGGGGGCTGATAGGGAACACCCAGCCACAGCACAGTGCCCCTTCCCACCCTCCTGGCCTCCCCCCAGGCAGGTGCCTGGCACGGGGTGGCAGGGCCCAACAGCCCCACCTAGAGGCGGCAGCGGTGGCGGCTCCTGGGGGCCGGGACCTCGCAGCCCAGAGGACCGCGGGATTTTCCACGGGGCGAGGCAGCCCGCCCCACCCCCACCTCCCATTAGGTCGCCTCCCCCAGGGCGGGCGATCACAGCCGGCTCTGCCCTGGCAGCTGCATCCATGGGAACACCTGTCCCCGGGGCCCACGAGCGCCCTGTGCCCCACCTTCCCAGCAGCACGGGGGAGATAGGGCTGGGGAGATAAGGCTGCCGGGCTCCACGCGTCCCCTTCCACACCTAAGGGTCCGGCGGACCAGGCCCCGCGCCCCGCGCCTCCACAAATACAACTGCAGCGGGCATGCAGGTTTTTTTTTTTTAAAACAAAAAGCACTTTATTTAACCAAAAAGAAAGGGGGAGGGGAGGGAGAGTTTAAGAAAGCACAATGCACCTGCAGAAAACTATTTTATATTTTTCTTAAAAAAAAAACCAAAAACACAAAGCAAGTAATTTCCAATCACCATTACCAGGCTTTTTTTTCTTTTTTAAACAACATCTATAAAGAACAAACATCTGCTTCAAAACTACAGGGAAGGGAGGGCAGACAGACAGCACCCGGCAGACAAGGGGAGGTTTTGTTATCATTTATTTGTGAAGTTAAAAACGAGCGATAAAAAGTAAAAACTGCCATACAAGTTTTGTTTTTGTTCTCATTGTTTTCAGTTTCAATCTCGTCTTGAACAGATGAAAAGACAAAAGATCAGACCAGTCCTGGGAAGGGGGGGGTGGGCGCGGGGCTGAGCTAGGGAGAAGAGCAGAGGAGAGAGGTGGGGAGGGTCCTGTGACACGGACACCTGGTCCAAGGAATGTTCCAACTCTAACCAGAAGAAGAAAAAAGGAGAGAAAAAGAAAAAAATACCCCAGAAAATAGCAAGAGTGACTTCTTTTTTCCTTTTTAAAGTTTATTTTAAAAACAAGAAGAGGGCTATGGGCAGTAGGGACAAATGGATTGTTTTGCCCACAGGGGCAGTGTCAGGAAGGCTGGGCTGGGGGATAGAGATTTATATATATCTATCATTTTATAGCTTTTATTCTGCTCTTCGTGTTCTCTAAGTTTTAGGGGGTTTTGGCAGAGATTGAATTCTCGCTCTCTTCTAAGGCTGGCTCAACGTGAAGTTCCCGACTGAAAGGAGAGGGCGCGAGACACACAGGCCTAAGCGCGAGGCCCGGCCATCCCTCTCTCACCGCACTGAGGAAACAGTAAACAAAGGAAAGAGCCCCAACAGAACAAATGGGAAACAAGAAAGAATTTTCACAGGTGAAGAAGTTCACATTCATTCGATTCACTGAGCCTGCGGAGAGGGAAGAGACAGGAATTGGTCACCAGGAGAGGGGACTGGGCGAGGCGGGACACCGGGCAGGTGGGGTGGAGGGCGGCGCCCGGCCCCAGGCCTTCGGCTCGGGGGACTATGCGGCCACCTAGTTCACGACTGTCCACTCCTTGCTGGAGGAGGAAGGGGCTCAGCAGAGAGGAGAGAGAAACAGAGGCCACAGAGGAGGCAGAAGCACAGGGGAGGCCAGTGAGAGGGTGCCCTCTGTCTGGGGCACGGGGAGGAAGGCAGGCGGCTCCCGGCGCGTCACAACAACATTCAGAGACCACGGTGTCCCCACAACACCCCTGTGAGGTAGGTTGGAAGGTGGCAATGATCGTCACGCCCACTTCACAGACAAGACCTGGACACAGAGGCAGCGCGCGAGGAGAGCGGCGAGGGGGCGGCGGCGGGAGGGGTCCGGGTGTCCCCTCAGGGCTCCCAGGCCCCTCAGCCCCGCCAGACCGGGCCCCTGCAACGAGTCACTTGGACACCGGATAAGATCGTGGCTTCAAAAAAATAAAAGGAAAAGAACAAAAACCGAAAAGAGTGATGCAGAGGGGGAAATGGACATTTACTTCCCAAGAGGCCAGAGTTTGAGTGGGTCAGCAGCCAGGACGGCGACCGCACAGGCGCTGCTGGCCTGTCCCACCCCCAGGACTACCCACCAGTCCACAAGTTCCACCTCTGGGTGTTGCGCTCCCCAGCATCACGACAGCGTTACACAGGAACAAGCGGCAGGCGGAGGGAGGCCTCTTCCGGTCACCTCCGCCCCGCGTGCGCTTCCGGCGGCGGCAGGCTGGGCGCTCCCGGAGACCTTGGCCACGCGGCCTCCGCTGCAGGCATCAAGGGCACACCCCGCAGGGGAAGGGATTGCCGGCGCTACCCACTAAGGCAGGATGGACGGTGGCCGGGGGTTGGAAGGAGAAAGGAGGAGGAGGAGGGTGGCAATTCCCACTTGCCTGCTGCTGTCCCTGCTGGGTGGGAGGCGGCTGGGGGCCCCCGGGACCGGGAGTCTGTCCGTAGTAAGCGGCCTGCTGTCTGTAATACTCAGCCCAGGCGGCGCTGTAGTCCGGCTGGGAGCCTGGGGGTGCTCCCGGACCCCCTCCAGTGGCCACTTGGGCTGTGGGCGGGCAGAGCGTGAGAGCCCTGGGGAGAGCTGGCCCTGCCCGCCCCGCCGGGGTCGCCCGCTCACCTTGCTTCTTGTAGTACTCCTCCCAGGCCTTCGTGTAGTCCTGCTGAGGGGGCGCGCCGGGCTGCTGGGGCTGCTGGCCTGGCGGGGCAGGGGTGGGGGTCAGAGGCCGCCTGCCTTCTGTCCCACCAGCCTTCTGGCCTGCGCGCCCTAGGACTCACCGATCTTCTTGTAGTACTCCTCCCAGGCCTTGGTGTAGTCGGACTGCCCGGTGGGCGGTGGCTGTGGCGGCTCCCCTTGGGTGGGCGGGGCTGCGGGGGCCGGAGCAGGTCCCGGCACGGGGCCTGGGGGCTGCTGGTAGTAGTGGGAGTAGTAGGCAGCCCAGGCGGCATTAGGGTCTGCGGCTGCAGCGGCGGCTTTACCTATAGGAAAGTGGGCGTCTGGGAGAAGGGGCCCACAAGGCGCCAGCCCTGCCCCCAACCCCCAAGCCGCAGGTCACTTACTTGGGTCATGAGGAGCAGGTGGTTGCCACTGGGGATAGGTATTGCCCCAGCCCTGAGGCGGGTACTGGTGAGGAGGGGGTCCAGCGGCACTGCGGACAGGAGAGGACAAGTGGGTGGGGTGTGGTGGCTCTGGCCGGGGTGAAGGATGGTTGCGGGTAGCGGGGGCCAGAAGCCTAGATCCCCAGGATCACCAGGAGCTGGGCAGACTGCTGGCTCAAGGACAAGAAGTTAGGTGCAGAGTAACACCTCAGTGAGAAGAGGTTACATGTGCTGAACCGTGATCCAAGCCAAGTAAGGAACTTCCTGGAATCCCGCTGCTGCAGTGCTTCCAGCTCACAGAGATGGACTACTGAGCCGGAAATGCAAAGGTCCTGTGCCCTTTCTAGCCAGCATAGTGACCCCCGGCCCCAAATCCCAGGAAGCAAGAGGAATACTCACTGGGGGGGAGCCCCTGGAGGCCCCTGATTGAAAGGCCCAGGGTTGAAGGGCCCCATGGGACCCGCAGGGCCTGGTCCCCCTGGGCCTGGTCCGACAGGGCACAGGGGACCCTGGAGGTAAGGAAAAGAGGAGGAGGTTAAGTGGGGGAAGGCAGTGGGGTGGGCCCAGGCTTGCACGTAGCCGCCAAGAGCCCACCTCGATCTTCTCCTCGATGAGCTGCTTGGCGTGGTCAATCTGCTGGGGCGAGCCCCGGATGATGAACAGTTTGAAGTTGGGGTCCCCGTTGGGCGGCAGCTGCCGGGAAATCTCTACAAAGGCGCCTGTCTGCTGGTTTATGGCTTTCACATTCTCACCCCCTGTGGAAAAAGGCGGCCAGTGAAGGGCAGGCAGGAGTAGGGCGGGACAGAGGCTGCTTCCTGGGGTGGACTCACCTCGGCCGATGACCAGCCCGCACTTGTGGGTGGGGATGGAGAAGGTCATCTCCCCGCCAGGGGGGCCCCAGCTACCTTGGCCCCGGCCCCGGCCCCGGCCTCCTGGGGGCATGCCGGGACCTCCTGGAGGGCCTGGGGGACCACTCTGGCAAACAGGGTGGAAGGACCAGTCAGGACCTCAGCCCGGCCCCAGCCTCCGCCAGCCTCCTCCCAGCCCTCGGCAGCCCACTCGGGCGCCAGCCTCCTACCCTGAGGCTCTGGAGGAGGTCGTTGATAATCCGGGCTGCATGCTCACACCTGTCTGGGGGGCCCATGATGTGAGCAATCTTCTCCGGTCCTGTCCCATCATCTGAGGCAGCACCAAGAGAGCAGAGAGACTGATTCAAAGAAAGGCAAAACTCCAAACCCTGTGACTTCTGTGACACTGGGCTATGCCAGCGCCTGCCAGGTCCAGAGCAAGGTGCTGCTCTGGGACACTGCTCCCTGTGGGGCTGGGAGGAGCGGGCCCAGTGAGGGTGGCAGCTGAGCTTCTCCCGCCTTGGCATCCCCAGAGCTAACTGAGCAATTGCACAGCACAGATTTCTCAGACATGTAGGCATGTGTGTCCCCCTGCCCACAGACATGCCACTCAGAGGCCGTCATAAGGGCTGGCCAGGGCCCAGGCTGCCCCGTGGCACTGGGCCGTTCAGTGGGGACAAGGAAGCATTCCCTGTGGACCTGGAAAGACCACACAGGGCCAGCACGCATGGCTGCCCCGGAGGCCTCAGCACCTCAGCTCCGCTTCCCAGGGAGGCACTGACAGGTGTGGGTCGGCCCGAGCTATGACCGAGCCTGCTGAGCCGAGCCTGCCCACACGGCTGACCTTGCTTGAACTGAATCCGCACCCCGGCATCATTCTGGATCTTCTTGATCATTTCACCGCTCCGGCCAATGACCACCCCGACAGAATGCCTGGGCACCGGGACCTGGGGAGGGCAGGGTGCAAAGGGTTCAGCTGGTTCCACTGCCCACCTCCTGGCCCTTCCCCTCCACCCCGGTGGACCAGGACTCACATCAATGCCCCCGCCAATCCGAGATCCGTACTCATTCCGGTCCCCAAAGCCACCCTGGTCACGTTCACGGAGGATGTCCATCACCATCTCGCAGGCTTGCTGTAAACACATAGGCGTGGTTGGCATGGGCCCGCCCAGAGTGCCCACCCTGCTAGCCTGCCAGGAGCCCAACAGCACCCCAAAGTGCTCTGTCACCCTAATGGGCAGCCCCCTCATCAGATAAGGAAATGGACACGGTAGGGAGGCAGCTCCCCACAAATGGTGCTTGGAAAGCCCTTCCCACTTTGTGGCTATCCTCAGGGCCACCCAGAGCCCAGCTCCTGGGCGCCCACCTGCACTTTGTAAGGGTCCCCGATGATCCGCAGAGGCTTGTCCACATTCGTGTTCTGGGATCCGTCCTGAATTAGGATCATCTTCACCCCGGCGCGTTCCTTGACAATCAAGGGTAACCGTCAGTGCCGGGCTCTCACGGGGCTCTTTGGTGCTGGGGGTGGGTGGGTTGTAGTTGTATAGACACAAGGAGCTCAGCCACGTCCTCGGTGTTCCCCTCACCTGCAGCTGTTTAATCGTCTCCCCGCCTTTGCCAATGACCAGGCCAGCCTTGCCCGCAGGGATCATAATCTCCTCCTGCACAGTGCCATTCTGACCCCCATTGGCACTGTCATGGAACTGGCCTGGGGGTCCCCCACGACCCCGAGACACAATGTCATCCAGCATCATCTTTGCTTTCCTGGGAAGAGGAAGAACAGTACTGGTCTGGTGCCACCCAGCACAGAGGGGAGGTTTCACCCCAGATGCCAGGGAGAAGGGCCAGGCACTGGGGCTCGGGGGTTCCCCAGACCCAGGAATTCCTGGGAAGCAACCTGTCAACCTGCCTCCCTGGAGGGGCAGGAGTGGGGGACAGGTATGGGGAGTGGGAAGGAGAGGACGCTGTTCGGTCCTCTCCTCACAGCACAGCACAGCGAGGTCCTTTGGGAACTTACTGGACAGACTCTGGGGCTCCGGTCAGGGACACGCTGCGCTCAGGCAGCCCACCGCTGTCTAGAGAGGAGAGCAGAGGAGACAGGGTCAGTGCCCTCCCAGCCCTGGGACTTAGGCCTCCGAGCATCACCATTCCCCAGTCTGACAAGTCAATCTAACTCCCCGCAAATCCCTGGAAGCCTGCTAGATGCAAAACCTCAGTCAAGAAGCTTTGAGTTCAGCTGGGTATTGTGCCAAATGCGTGCAATCTCAGCACTTGGGAGGCTGAGGCAGGAGGATCACTGCGAGCTCGAGGCCAGCCTCGGGTGCATAGTGAACTCAAGGCCAGACTGAGCTACACAGCAAGACTCTGCCTCAAAAAAACCCAAAAGGCTTCGAGTCCATAATGGGGAAAAAAAGATGAGGTGGGGTGCGGGGGAAGCAGGATCTAGGTCTGAAGCCCACACCACCCCTACTCTACTGAGACTCCCATGAGCCCCAACAGCAATGCATCACATATGTCTGAGAGAATCTGAGAGGGTGCAACACAGGTGCTTCGCAGCTTAGGAATTCAAGGTTCTGAGGACTGGGACTCAAACCCAGCCGTGACCTCAAGCAGCTTAATCAATCTCATACCCAACCCCGACTGTCCTTTTGGATATTTCATTTCAGTGACAACTTAGAAGGCAGCTCAGAGGGTGCTGCCTGGAAGGAGGCACCCTGAGTTTGGTTCTACACTTTCCACCTCGGTGCATCCCCCACGAAAAAATCAAACAAAAACCACTCATAGCTACACCTCATGGCGGTAGTTTCAATTCTGCACTGAGCCTGGTATATAGCACCCGATAAAAGAGCCAATCTGACTTCTACAGAATCCCAGAAAAAGTTAAGCACTTAAAGAAAAGTGCAAAGAGCCTGAGCCTGCCCCAGCCCCCACCTTGACCCGAAGCTGGCTCTCTCATGCATACCTGGAGAGATCTGTACTTTACAACCTGAGTCCTGTTGGATTTTGTTAATTTGTTCACCACCTCTACCAATGACTAGATGGAGAAAAAAGGAGAAAAACAGATTAGCTGACGGAGCCCAGAACTCAGCAGACCGGGGTCAGGGTTTCAGGGCAGCTCCTCTGAGGAATAGGGGAAGCCCACAAGTCATTTCCAGACAGACATGAGAGGCCCTGCCCTCTGATCATAAGAGAGAACACAGAAGTCCCTCAGCCAGGGCTTCCAGGACACTGCCCCTCACCACGGAAACCCACACTCACTCAGGCCAACCATGCCGTCCGGGACCCTGTATTCTTCTGTCACTGAAGTCCTGTAGAGACACCAAAAGTCAATCTCCAGTGGGAAGACAGAAGCCTGAAAGGGTCTTTTGGAGAAAATGCCCTGCCGGTGCTGGAAGCCACAGCCCTGCCACTTCAGGCTGCAAACCCTGCTTCCCACAAGCTGGGAACCAAGTCTCCACAGGCCTAAGCAGACTCAGATGAGACAGTGGCCACACGGCTTCTCAAGGACTCAGTGGCCCCATCTGTGCCAAAAGGCTTGGTCTGAGGCAGCAGCCTGGGTCATCCCTCGGCCTCAGTGTGAGAGCAAGAGCTAGGAGCTCTTACAGCAAGCTGACAATCATTTTATGTCTCAGTAAGGAGTTGGTTAGGTATCCTGTTCATTTCATTTTTGCAGTAAATCCCATTCACTGTATTTTATAAAACTACCAGCCTGTCGAAAAAAAGAAAAGCTGTGGCCCTTTCCAAACAACCCATGTCAGGTTCACCCACATCTACCTGAGGTGGCCAGGGGCTCTGCAACATTCAGTGGCGTAAGCATTTGCAGAAACCAGAATCTGTGTGTTTGAGCGTCCCCGGCCCTTCCTGCCACCACCACAAGCCTGTCCCTGACCCTACACCGGGCAGGAACAGAGCAGAGCGGGGATGTGGCCCTATGTCCCCCTTCTGCTGGCACGGCAAAAGCCCGGAACAGTGTGCCCCAGACAGTGCAGCGGGAAGAGACAGAGAACGCAGGGTGTGTTCCGCGCCACAACTCACCGTGGTGGAGGGTGGATGGGTCCAAGCTGAGAACCAATCGCTGTGGAGAGAAATCGCCAAGGGAAGTTCAGCTGGGCTCCTCTTTGGAACACACGTGCCTGTCCCAGTGTACCCCTGCCCACACGGCAACTGGCACTTATCACAGCAGTTCTGCACTGGCTCCTACACCTGATGGGTGCTGTAGTCCCTCCTCACAAAAGCATTACTGACAGGGCCGTCACACACAGGGGGTTCTGGGATCCCTAAACCCGTGGGTCCTGGAACGTGAACACTGCGAGCTTCTACGAGGGAGCGGTGCTGTCTCCTCAGTGCTCCCTGCTCCCGACTGCCCACACCCTCCAGCCCCTGAAGTCGCCTGTGCCCACGTCACCCAGCAGACTTACAGTCTCCCTGGGAAGCCAGTTTCTTGCTCTCTGGCTGATCTGTGGAAGAAAGGATGTCAGCTGATGCACCCACCCACCTGACACTGGTGTCCCCTGTTCGGGCAGACAACTCCCTTCCCTGCTGAGAGCCCAGACAGAGTAGGAGAGGCCTACTAGTAGAGAGATCTAGTGAGGGAGGGGGAGGCCTCCTCAACCATGCCACTGGGACCTTTCTAACAAGTGGACAATGATGGTGGCACTGAGTTCTTACAGTTTAGGACCAGGCTTGCTTGGGGGCCAGGGGCTTGAAGACAGAGGCAGAACCAGTCACTGGCTGTCTCTCAGGTAATGCTGCACATCCTAGGTTGGCCCAACTCTATGCAGGCTTTGAGGCTCCCCAGCCTCCCACCCGGGAGGAATGATCTCAGGAACTTACAACTTGGCCCCAGTCACAATCAACCTGCCCTCCTCTAGGTCACCTGACACCTCAGAGTGGCAGACAAAAAGAATGAACAAAGCTGGGATCACCGGGGTTTTAGGAGACGCGCAGCGGCCCCATTCTGAACACCAATCTAACAAATAAGTGCTGCTCCTGCCCCAGCCCTGCCTCCCAGATGAAAAGCAGCCACTAGGAGTTACCTCCATCTTCCAACTGTCTCTTTTGGCCCCCAAAACCAAAATCAGGAGTGCTGTTATTCACGGTTGTGGCAGCATCGCCTCCAATTTTGGCTGCGATCTGGAAGTAGGAAGCACAGAAAAATTACCACCCAAACCCAGCACCTCACACCAGCTGGCTGGGAGGGGCCACTCCCTCACTTGGAGAAGCGCCTGCAGGTGTGAAGTCAGCCTGGAAGGAGATTTCAGAAGGCCTCTAAGTTCTCTAGGAACTCTCAAATCTCCCTTTTCCCTTCCTCGGTGGGATCTGAGCCTTAACGGTGGCAGCCAGGCTGTAATCCACACTGATTCTTTTCTCAGGCATCAAGGAAACAGCAGCTCTAATTTGAGGGAGGGTCCTGGGGTCACTCCCCCACCACCACCAAGAGCAGGACCTCATGCAAGCAGAGAGCTGGATTGTGTGACTCCAGCCCAGTTCTAGGTGTCAACTACAAGTACAACTTTCCTTCATCTCCTTCACCTTCAAAAGTCTTCACAAAAGTGTATGGAACAAATCCCAGGGTATATTTTGCTTCAAGGCACCTGAAATTTTCATGTGACCAAAACAAAAGGACCCCTGCCCCCTTAAGACAAGATCTAGCTCTGTAGTTCAGGCTGACCTCGAACTCAAAGTGATCTTCCTGCCTCAGCCTCCCTAGCGCTGGGATTACAGGTTTACATGCATGGGCCGCCTGGCTGGCTCAAAGATCCTTTTGGAACACGTCACATTTTAGATAAACGAAGAGTAACTTTCAAATAAACTTCAATCCAGTAAACAAATGTTAAGACCACAGCCTGTGGTTTGGAAACCCAAACCCTTAGTTAGGACCTATCTTTCCAATACTCTCAAAAATTACATTTTTAAAAATGCTTACCTTGAGCCAAAGCTCTTGGGATGCTCATATAGGACTGTATGTCACCCCAACCAACAGTACCAACTTCCCCAGTTAAAGCTGTCTCAGAATCAAGACGTTTTGAGGGGCAACCAAATCAAAGGCACCTTATAACTAACCCCACACCGGAGGTGAGGTAGCCAGAGACCACACCTGGGGAAACCGCTGGCGACTAACGGATCCTCCCACCTTGGGAGGAGCCAGTCCTCGGCCCGAAGGCTTTGGGACAGCCTCACAGCCTTCAAGATCGGCCAAGCCCACGGCCCGGCCCGTAGGCTTCCTGAAAGGGCGGGGAGATCTTCCCATTCTAAGGGCCCCCACCCGTCCAGGCAGGGGGCAGGCTGTGAATGAAGCTAGGGAACCCAGCATCTGACACTTCCTGTTGCCATCAGGCCTAAAAACACGACGGTGGGACCCTCTCCATATTTCCAAAGCCATCCAAGTCCCAATCCTCAGGCCCATCTTCCCCATTTTGTCCAAATGATCAGCCACTTTGGCCGCGAAAGGGTCCCCCTCAACACTTTCCAAACAAGATACACGACTGCCCTCCCCAAGTCCCTTCCTTCTAGCACGAGAGGATTAGTGGGATTTGGGTCAAACACGACCCTTCGCCCTAACGTGGAAAGGGCAGGGGCGCAAACCAAGACCCTTCGCTCAGAAAGGAGCGCCCTTTTCTTCCCGGGACCGGGAGCATGCAGGCCCTCGCAGTATAAAGGGAGATTCAAGGTAGGTGCCAGAGCTCCGTGCCCCCTCTACGTTCAGGGGCTGCTCCTGGTGACCCTCAATATGCCCCTACCTCCTGTAAGGGGGTCACCCGCGGAGAAACCTACGGGAGGGCCAGGACCCCGCCTGGCGCCCACGTGACCCGGTGGCGGCCTCAGGCCCCCTCCCCCGGCGACCCCCGCGCGCGTGCACGTGACCCCCACCTCCTCCCCCGCTGGCGCGCGCGCCCCTCCGGCCCGCGGCCTCCTCACCTGGCGGGCCCGCTGCACAGCGTCGGCAAAGGCGTCCTTGCGGGTGCCCGGGCCTCCTCCGCCGGGCGGCTGCGAGGGGCCCCCGGCAGACCCTCCACCCGGGCCGCCGCCACCCGGGCCGCCGCCACCCCGGTCCCCTGCGCCCGGCGGGCCCGGCGGAGGGCCTCCCCCGGCGCCCCCGGCTCCCCCACCCCCGCCGGCGGGGGGCGGCGGCCCGGGAGGGGGTCCTCCTGTGCTGTAGTCCGACATGGCGCGGCGGGGCCGGGCCTGGCGCGGAGGCTGAAGCTGAGGAGGAGGAGGAGGAGGAGGAGGCGGCGGCGGCGGCGGCTCAACGCGGGAACAAGGCCTTGCTCCACACGGCCGCGGAGCACTCTGGGAACCGAGCGGCAGGGAAGACGACGGGGGGAGAGGGTCGCCCCCTCCCGCCGGTGGCTTGATGGACGGTATAGTTTGACCAATGGGGGACGGCCGTCGCTCCCCGCACACCAATCATGGGCCCTAGAAGCGGGCGGCCAATCGGAGTGCCCTGAGGGGTAGTGGGAGGAAGGCGCCGAGTGACTGACTATTCTTGGAGGCAATGGGGTGCGGGCTCCCGGCGCTGGACGGGCAAATCGTGGCAGTCCGGGAAGGCAGGACGCCCAATGGGGTGTGAGCTCTAAATTCCTGGGGCGGCCTCGGAATCGTATTGATGGCGCTGAAGAGTCACATGGGCTGGAAGGCGGGGCTTAGCAAAAGACCTCTTTGGACTGGTAGGGCGGGCGCTCGTTGGGCAGTTAAGCCAATAAACATACAAGAGAGGCAGTGATTGTAGTGATTGTCAGGCAATTTAATCCAATCACTAATGAGTATAGAGTGACGAGCTTGGATTTGCTCTTGATTGCTTTTCTTGTTAACCAAAATCCTGGTCTAGCCTTCACTTCTTATCCAATAGCTGAGCGACAGGGGCGGGTATTAGGTGACTGACACGGCTCTGGACAAGTGGCGATGAAGGAAATAAAATTGCCCAGTTTTGGTGGGAGCCAGTGGAAGGGCAGCGGCGTTGGGGCGGAGTCGGTCATCAAACAGCGAGAGCGGATTAGCCGGAGTCGGAGTGAATGGCAGCCTACGTGGGCGGCGGTCATCGGGTCACAGAGCTCAGGCCTGCAGTCTGGGTTAGGGCCTGAGAGGGCTGGCTAGGTAGGCTCGGCACGTGGCTTGCTTGAAGCCTTGTAGATCGGATGCTACCGGGGTCGAGGTGGCCAGAGAGCTGGGGGGGACCCAGCGGGGATCTTGAGCCCCTACTCTTCTGGGAATCACGGGACCAACTCCTCTCCCCAGGTTTATTGCCTACCTACTGCCTTCACTTAAGGGATCTGAACCCGTGGCTCCTGTCGTGGAACCACGGATCCCAGGTTCTCAGCTCCTAGAATCACGCATCCCATACACGTCCAGCAGAAACTATCTGTATATATGGTTGTCTCCACATTCACCATTAGTCCTAGAGCCAGGATGAGCCAAGCAGAAGGCAGGCTGGAGACCAAACTCAGGTCTCAGGCTGAAGTCTGGGCAGGGAACCCCAGATATCTTCTGAGGCAAGCCTCTAGCTGGTGTTTGAAACCAAAAACTGCTTGAGTGGGCTCTTTGGGGCTCTAGTGGGCCCTCTGGGGCCCAGGGACACCGAAGATTCCGGTCCTATTTCTTCTTAGGACGTGTCATCTTAGCTCATGGCCTACACGCCCAGCATTTTCTTCATGGCTTCATACACCACACAGCTGATGCCACCCGCTGGCAACACCTTCAGTAACCTGGGAATAATGCCTCGATAAAGCCCCTGCCAGCCCTGTTCAGCCAGGATCTGCCAAAAGACTCCACTCATGGTGGACTTGGAGCCCTCCACGATGTCTCTGGAGGCAGAGACAAGCTGAGAACTCGTCTGTTTGGGAAAGCCTAGGAGGTCATTTGGGGGGTGTCTTGGAGGTTAGTGTGAATGTCTGGGTCGACTGTTGTGGGAATTTTGGAGTTATGTGGGAGATAGATGCTTAGCTTTAGTGATTCTTTTGCTTGTTTTTGTTTTTTGAGATAGGGTCTGCTTTATAGTTCTAACTGGCCTTGATCTCACAGTGTAGCACACAGGGTGGCTTTGAATTTGTGATCTTCCTGCCTCAGCTTCCCGAGTGCTGGGATTATAGGCGTGCACCACCACGCCAAGTTTAATGACTTTTGTTGTGTGTGTGATTTTTTATAAAGGATTAATTTGAGGCCGGGAATTTAGCTTAGTGGTTCAGCGAACACAAGCGCAAGGTCCTGAGTTCCATGCCTGGTACCAAAAAAATAAATAAATAATTAAATTTCTAATTTGAGACTTAGGATCAGATTGAAGGGTGAATATAATAAATCTTGGTGGAGCTTAGCATGGTGCTGCATACCTATAATCCCAATACTCCCTGAAGCTAAGGCAGGCGGAATCACAAGTTCAAGTCCAGTCTGGGCAATTTAGCAAGACCCTGTGCCCCCCCCCAAAAAAGAAACTGGGCGTGGTCGTGCACATCTGTAATCCCAGCAGTCCTGAGGCTGAGGCAGGATGATTGCCTTAGTTTGAGGCCAGCCTGGGCTGCATAGTGAGTTCAAGCCCAGGATTAACTACATAGGGAGACCCTGTCTCACAAAATTTTAAAACCCCAAAATCTAAAGGGGCTGGGGATGTAGCACACTGTAAATGCCCTGGGTTCAATCCCCACTGCAAAAAAAAAAAAAGTCTTGGTGAGTTCAGGGGTCAGCAGAGGTGTCCAGGATCAGCTCTGGAGGTCTAGGAGTCAGCTAAAGAGGACGCTGGGAGTTGTGGTGCACACCTGTGATCCCAGCAACTTGGGAGGCTGAGGCAGAAGAGCTAATATGGAGACCTTGTCTCGAAAAAACCAAGACCAAAACAAGAAGATGAGGAAATTCAAAGCTGGAGAAGGCACGCAGGGCATGTGTGGTGGCCACTAGGGCCAGGCTGACCTTGTGCCTGCATCCGGGTGGACACCAAAGTCAGTGGATAACTGGCCATCTATCCACAGGTTGTGGACAGTGTCACGGAGAACAGACTGACCAGGCTGCTGGGGTCCTCCATATCCCTGACTGACTTCAGCCATAAACACTGTAGCATCTGCAAAAGAAGGGACAAGAATATCATTCATAAGAGCCAACATGTGCAGTCAACCTCTATAGATATCCATCAATAAATGAATGAAAGTGTGGTCTCTGTACATAGAGGAATACTTGGGCCAGGGATTTAGCCCAGTGGTTCTGCCACCTGCCTCCTGCCTTGCAAGTGCAAGGTCCCGAGTTCGATCCCCAGTACCAAAAAAACAAACAAACAAAAAACATAGAGGAATACTATACAGCTATTAAAAAGAATGAAGTCTAAGCTCAAGGTCCTGAGTTTGATCTCCGGTACCAAAACCCCCCCCAAAAACCAAAAAAAATGGAAGTCTTGTCATCTGCAGCCACCTGGGGAGAACTAGGGAAATTAAGTAAGCCAGACACAGAAAGACGAATACCAAAATGTCCTCCCTCATATGCAGAATCTGAAAAAGTTGATCTCATCCAGAGGCAGGAGAATTACTGTGAATCCCAGGTCTGGCTGGACTACATAGACCCTGTATCAAAAAACAAATCGAGGGCCGGGGATTTAGCTCAGTGGTTCTGCCGCTCTCCTCACAAGCACAAGGTCCTGAGCTTGATCCCCGTACCAAAAAAATCGAGAGAAAGGGAGGAGCAGAAGAAGCTGACTATGGGTGCCAGCTGAGGCCAGCGCTGCCCTCATCTCTGTGGGGCACGTACCTCATAGACCGCTAGGTCAGCGCAGGCATAGGGAATGATGCTGAGCATGTTGGGCAGGTAGCCTCGGTAAAGGGCTCGGGCACCCTCCCACCTCATGATCTCTTCTTCAATGCAGCAGCCCCAGGTACTGGCCTTTCTGGCTCAGGGTCAGCCTGGTCTTGAGCACCTGGTGGGGGGCAGTTAATTTGATTCAGGACCTCAGCAGTGCCACCGTTGGCTCCTGTCCTCCTGACCAGGGCACTGAGGCTGTCAGTCTCGCTCCCTACTCTTCGTCTGCTCCCTGGATTTGGGGTTCTGGTTCCAGAGCTCACGTGTCACCAAGTCACGGGACTAAAGGAGTGGATATGGACGGAGTATGGTCTGTTAGCTTTTCTTGTTTTTTGAGGCAGGGCCCTGCTGTGTAGGCCAGGTTGCCTCCAACTCCTAATGATCCTGCCGAACTGCAGGAATGCATGCACCACAGGGCCAGATTTACCAGTCTGTAGAAACCGGAAGTCGGAGTTTTGGGGAGTGCTTTTGACACAGGATCTCACTATGTAGTCCAGGCTGACCTTGAACTCACCCTGTAGTCTGGGTTGGCCTCAAACTTGAAGTGATCCTCCTGCCTCAGCCTCCAGAGTACTGGGATTATATCCATGTACCACCATGCCTGGCCAGAAGCCAGAATTTTTACAAAATACTACCATATTGAAATATTTGAGGCAGGCATATTTGAGGCCAGTCAGGATTACATAGTGAGTTCAAGGCCAGCCTGGTGTAAGACCCTGTCTCAAAAAACAAAAAAAATGAGACTGGGGATGGAGCTCAGTGGCACTGTGCCTGCCTGGCAAACTCAAGGTCCTGAGTTTGATCCCTGATACAGAAAAAAAAAAAGAAAAAGGCAAAGGCAAAAACAAAACCTAAATAAATCAATAAAATAAAGTAAAATAGGGGTGTGAATTATCATGGATTCAGTCCCCAGCACAAAAAAGAAAACAAACAGCTGGGGATTTAGCTCAGTGGTCCCACTGCCTGCCCTGAAAAGCACAAGGTCCTGAGTTTGATCCCCGGTACCAAAAAAAAAAAAAAAGCATGTGAAAAGAAAACAAAAAACCATGGGCAAAATTCTGAGGTGGTCTCTACCATGGTTTGGATGTAGTTTGAGGATTCTACAGGGCTTCCAAGTGTGGAATTTTTTTTTTTTGGTACCAAGAATCAAACTTAGGATCTTATGCGTGGCACATAGGCACGGTACCACTGGGCTAAATCCCGGCCCCAAATGTGGAAACTGAATCCCTTTGTGAGGTACAAGGAGCATAGAAGCTTAATATGATACTAGTCAAGAGAGAAGAGGGGCTGGGGATTTAGATCAGTGGTTCTGCCGCCTGCCTCACAAACGCAAGGACCCGACTTCAATCCCCGGTACACACAAAAAAAAGGCGGCTTCGGGAGGTGACTAGGAATAGAGCTTGGGATCCTGGTGGCCATATAAGAAGGACAGCGTCTAGCACATATGCCCTCTGTCTCTCACAGTGTGATGTCCTCTGCCAGCCTGGGGCTCTCCCAGCAGAAGGCTGTCACCTGAACCGTTGAACCTCCCGTGCTGGGCACTAGATAACACTCTTCCTTGTAAGATCATCCAGCCTCAGCTATTTCATGATAGTCCGAGCTTCCTCCAGCCATACATAGACCCACAGGGTGCCTCCTGCCTGCCCACTGACCTGTGAGAACCAGAGGACAGCATCCCCTGATTGGGCCAGGGACTGTGCCAGTCCAAGGTCAGAGTTATTTTGCAGAGCTAATTAAAGCACTTATCAGTTGCTTTAAGGGAATCAAAAAAAGAAGGTGTCCAGAGTAGGCCAATCACACAAGAAATCAGGGATTCAAAGCTCTGTTGGGTGTTTTTATTTATGTGGTACTCAGGATTGAACCCAGGGCCATGAACCACACTCCCACCCCTTCCTGTTGATTTTCTTTTTTAGACATGGTCTTGTTTTATAGTCCAGCCTGGTCTTGAACGTTTTGTTTTTTTTTTTGGTACCGGGGATTGAACTCGGGTCCTTGCGCTTGCAAGGCAGGCTGCGGAACCACTGAGCTAAATCCCCGGCCCTTGTCTTGAACTTTTGATCCTCCTGCCTCAGCCTCCTGAGTGCTTGGATTACAGGAATGTGGCACCATGCCCAGCTTCTGCTTGGTCTTGGAGGAGTCAATTTGCTGGGTATGGTAGCATGCAGCTATAATCCCAACACTCAGGAAGCTGAGGCAGGAAGATCACAAATTCGAGCCCAGCCTGGACAACTTAGCCATTTGGCAAGACTTGTCTCAAAAAAAAAACAAAACCAGAAAAGAAAGTGGGGTGCTGGGATGTAGCTCAGTGCAGAGGCCCTGGGTTCAGTCCAGAGAGAGAGAGAGAGAGAGAGAGAGAGAATGAGAATATAGCAGGAAAAGAAAGCCCCCAAATCAACTGGAACATACAGAGGAACTCAGTAAATTCCGGGGCGGGGGGTGCATCTTGGGTCACTGTGGGAAGGCTGGGCTGGTCCAGGACACAGTGCTGAAATGACTGCCTGGCGCTGTGAAGTCAAAGCTGGATGCTTATCTCCTAATAGGAAAGGGGGGTGAGGAGGAGGAGGAGGAGATGGAGGAGGAGTAAAAGGAAGGGGAGGAGGAGGAGAAGAAACTAAGGAAAGGAGGAGGAGAAAGGAACAGGAGGCTGGGTGGGAGGGTGGGAGGAAGCCGCAGGGCCAGCAGCTGCCAGCAGTGGCGCGCTCACCTCCGTGGGGTCGATGAGAGTCTGAGAGATGGTCATGGCCAGGGAGCCAGCCAGCAGCCGCTCCTGGAAGGCTGGGGACCCATGTTCTTCACAGAAGTAACCCTTGCCCTGGAGGGAGAGAGTGGTGAGGAAGGAGCCGCCCCTGCCTGCCCTGACCCCAAAGTGTGTGTGTGGGGGGGTCGTCTGGGCTGGCCGGGGCAAAGCAGACTCTCCCCACCTGCTCAAAGACCGAGAACTTGCTGGCGTACTCCGGGGCGATCTTGAGCACGTTGATGCCATTGCCCCCCCACAGGGAGAGGATGCCCCCCTCCTGGACCATGCTCCTGAGCCCTCCGAGCAGGTTCATAAGGTTGTTCTTGGAGGAGTAGACCTGGGAGGAGGCCCCATGAGGACCCTTCAGCAAGCCTGCACCTTCACCCCAGCCTGAACCCAACGCTGACCCAATGTATTGAAGATTAAACCCAAGGCCTTTGCACCCTGGACTACCTTCTTGGCTTTTGGAGACGTTGTCTTGTTAACATTGCATTTTTTGTGTGTGTGCCGGGGATGGAACTCGGGACCTTGGGCTTTTGAGGCAGGCAGCAGAACCACTCAGCTAAATCCCCGGCCCTTGTTAAATGGCCCAGCTTGGACTCAAAACTTTGGATCTTCCTGCCTCAGCCTCCCAGAGTGCTGGAATTACAGCTGTGTGGCACTTCTGCAGCTTCCTCATTTAGTCTTCAAACCCACCCAAAGACCTGCACACACCCCACCACAAAGTGTCCCGAATTCCCTGGTCTCCAAAAGCTCAGCTCCGGCTCAGGGTTGGGCCCTGTCCTCGTTGTGGTCCTAGCAGCCCTGTCCCCAACTCCATACTCCCTACACTGGCCACAGCTCCAATCCCAACGTCTCCTCATGGGAGCCCCACTCCACCCTTCTTCCTGAATTCCATCCATCCCCAGGCCCCCACCCTGTGGTCCGGATATCCCGCACTGCCCTGTGCACACACCTGCATGTACACCTTGGCGTCCAGAGGCGCCGTTCCCGTGCAGGACACGGCCCCGGCTACGGCGCCCGACAGCAGAAACTTCCACAGGGGCCCGTTGTTCTGTATCTCCAGGACCTCCACAGGGACCATCAGCTGCTCTCCCGTGTCCAGCACCTGCAGGGAAGACCCAGCCCGTGCCTGTCCTTGGCCACCCTGGGCCTTTTGTCCTAGCTGCGTGGCGGGAATCCCTCCCCTGCGGCCCAGGCCGGAAGCCCTGGGACCGCTGTGTTCCCCAGACTAACCTGCTGGCATGGGAGATGGTCAGAATGGCCCTCACCCACGCCACGAAACACGAACTGGGTGTGTGTACATCCGGGGGTGTGAGGACAGAGGCGGCAGGGGTACGGGTGGGGGTGAGGGTGGAGGTGGGGCAAGAGGCGCAGAGGGGCTTTGAGGGGCCAGGCCTTGACCCTGTGAATCAGGGTCTGGAGCCTGGAGCCAGAGTCATTGGAGTCTTCAGTACCAACAGCCATGGCAGCTGGAGGTTGGGTCGCCCGAAGCGGGACGAAGCACCTGCCAAGTGGGCGTGGCTGCCCGGAGCAGCTTGGGCCCAGCGGTCAAGTCATAGAGACCCTTGTGACCTCCGTGGGTGTGGTGGGCAGAGTGATGGCCCACGCTGCCCCCACCCTGAGGATATGTTGCAGCTGATGGACTGAATTGTGTCCTGCTGGAGTTCTCATGTTAAAGCCCTCTCAGCGGTACAGAATGTGGAGGCTGGGCGTTTGGGAGAACATGTTGCTAGGGTCCACGTGATGGGCTTAGTGACCTTAGTTTTTATTTTTTTGAGACAGGGTCTTGCTGTGTAGTTCAGGCTGGTCTTGGACTCACTATGTTGCCCAGGCTGGGCATCAACTTGTGGTGATCCTCCTGCCTCAGCCCCCTGAGTGCTGGGATTATGCTATTCACCACCACATCCGGCCCATGTGAACTTATAGTATGATTAAGATCTAGATGTCCCCCCAAAGCCTTATGTGTTCAGAGGTGGGGCTTTTGGAAGTGATTGGGTGTTAGGGGTGCTGTACTCATCAGTGGATTCACTCGTTGATTAGTTCCGGGCTGCGTTGTTAGGATGCAGGCCTGGGCTGGAGAGGTAGCTCCTGGAAGGAAGAGGTGTGACCTGGAGGGTTAGGTCTCCCTCCTCTCTCTGCCTCTTGGTCACCACGGGATGGGGGCTCTCCTCTCCCCAGCCCCTCCCACCGTACCATTTCCACCTTGGAGCTGGCCAGCCAAGGCCTGAACTACATAGCAAGACCCTGCCTCAAAAAAGTCTTGCTGCACTTTAAGTTACACTAATGAAGATTAAACCCAGAGCTCAAACTTCATTATGTAGTACCAGAAATCAGAAGACCTCTCTGGAAATCACATAGACCTCTTCTCCTAAAGTTGTGGGTGTTGGGTATTGTGTCTCAGAGATGGAAAAGTAGCTAAGACACAGAGTGCCAGGCATGGTGGTGTACACCTGTGCTTCTAGCACTTTGAGAAGCTGAGGCAGAAGGATCTCAAGTTTGAGCCTTGCCTGGACAATTTAGGGATTTAAAGAAACCCTGTCTCAAAGTAGAAATAATGAGTGAGGCATGGTGGTGCACACCTGTTATCCTAGCACTCAGGAGGCTGAGGCAGGAAGATCACCCCGAGTTTGAGGCCAGCCTGAACTACATAGCAAGACCCTGTCTCAAAAAACCCAAAACAACAAAAAGTAAAAATAATAAAGAGGACTGGGGATGTAGCTCAGTGTGAAGGCCCTGGGTTGAATCCCCACCACTGGGAAGGAGAAAGAGGAGGAGAAAGCAGAGCTTTCTCCCTCTGTCTTCACTGTGAGGACACAGCAAGATGGTAGCTGTTTGCAAGCCAAGAGAAGCCTTCACCAGAACTGGACGTATCTGTAGCCTTGATCTCAGCCTTCCAGCCACCCGAAGCACTATGAGGAATAAATGCCCTTTGCTAAAGCCACTTGATCTATGATTATTATTAGTATTATTTTTTGTGGTACTGGGGATGGAGCCCAAGGCCTTCACACTGAGCTCCATGCCCAGCCCTTTTTATTTTTTATCTTGAAACAGAGTCTCCCCAAGTTGCCCAGGGTGGACTCAAACTTGTGATCCTCCTGCCTCAGCCTCCCAGACTGCTGGAATGACAGGCTTGCACCAACATGCCCAGGTCTTGCTGTGTCACCTTCAAGTTCTTTGGGGTTCCCCCTCTCTGAGCTTTAGTCTCCCTTCCTGAAATCGGAAGGCATGGACTCTTCTGCATGCTTAGGAAACAGGATCCGAGAGCATCTTAGTGGAGGACGCCTCCATCCTCTGAGTCCTTTAGGTCAACAGACTCGACTTCAGCAGCCAGGCGTGACAGTATCTGGGGCAACCACCTTCACTGGGCTCCATGGGACTAGCACAGTCTCCATGGCTCTGTTCCTCCAATCCTTCCCTCTCTATCTGCAAAGGTCAGTCCCCCAGCCGCCAGAGGGCGCTATGATCATGGAGTCAGGTCTCTCCTTCCTCGGCCCTCAGCCCTCCATGGCTCCCACCTCCCTGGGGCCAAAGCCCAAGTCCTCCCCGCAGCCCACAGGGCCCTGCACGCCCGCCTGTCCCTTCCCTACCTCCCCTCCTCCCTCTTTGTCCCTTGCTCCCTTTGCTTCAGCAACAGAGCCTCCTTGCTCTGTCCTGCACCAGGGCCTTTGCACATGCCATGCCCTTTGCCTGGAATGCTTTTTCTTTTCTTTTTTTTTGGTACCAGGGATCGAACTCAGGTCCTTGCGCTTGCGCAGCAGGCGGCGAAACCACTGAGCTAAATCCCCGGCTAGAATGCTTTTTCTTAGACACCACCATAGCTCTCTCCTTCACGACCTTTAAATCTTTACTCAAATAGTCACCTTTTTCATGTGGCCTTCCAGGACCGCCCTATCTAACCTATTTAAACTCTAAACTCAGCCTTGCAATGTTTGTTACTCTCTTCCCTCTTTTGCCTTTATTCATAGCACCTTTGATTTCTACACTACTACATGCTCATTTATTCTTGGTTTCTCCCCACTGGAAACATAGGGACTGTGAGAACAGTGATTTTTGTCCATTTCATCCACTTCTGCAACCCATATCTAGACCTGAGTCTGGCACATACTATGTGCTGTTTCATGAGGTCAGAGGGTTCAGTTTGGGGAGAGGAGAGAGTCCTGGAGGTGGGCAGAGGTGATGGACGAACACCTGTGAATGTGCTGAATGTCTCTGCCCTTCAATATATTTTGGGTTTTGTTGTTTTTGGAGACAGTGTTTTGCTAAGTAGTTCAGGCTGGCCTGGAACTCTTAGTGTTCCTCCTGCCTCAGCCTCCCAAGTGCTGGAATTACAGGCATGCACCACCACACCTGGCTCTGCCCTTAAATATAGCAGCAAATTTTATGTCATGTATATTTTAGCACAATAAAAAATGTTAAAAAATTTATTTCCTGGCCAGGGATTTAGCTCAGTGGTTTCACCACCTGCTGTGCAAGCACAAGGACCCGAGTTCGATCCCTGGTACCAAAAAAAAAAAAAAACATTTCCATGCTAGGTGTGGTGGCATACACCTGTAATCCCAGCACTTGGGAACCTGAGGCAGGAGAATCTTAAAAGGTTCATGGCCAGTCTGGGATGCACAGTATGTTCAAGGACACCCTGAACTACACAGTAAGACCCTATCTCAAAGAAAACAAACAAAAATCTCAAAGAAAACAAACAAAATTTCCGTGATGATTGCAATTATTACATACTGCCAACATGTACTAATAACAATAAAATTCAAAAGAAAAACATTCTTGGGCCTGGAATTTAGCTCAGTGGTTCCACCACCTGCGTGGAAAGCTCAAGGTCCTGAGTTCAATCCCCGGTACCAAAAAGAAAAAAAAGAAAAAGAAAAGCATTCTTATTTTGGTACCAGGGATTGAATTTGAGACCTTGGGCTTGCGAGGCAGGCATGGCACCAATGAGCTAAAATGCCAGGCCCAAGACAAACATTCTTGAAGCCACCCAGTTTGTGTATGCCTGTAGTCCCAGCACTTTGGGAAGCTGAGGCGGCAGAGTGACAAGCTTAAGCCCAACCTAGGTAATTTAGCAATTTAGTGAGAGCCTGTCTCAGAATGAAAAATAAAAAAGGGCTGGGGACGTAGTTCAGTGTGAAGGCCCTGGATTCAATACCCAGTGCAAGAAACAAAAACAAAACAAAGCCACCCAGTTTGTAGTAATATGCTGTGGCAGTTCTAGGACTAATAGGCATGTGGAATTAGGAAAAAATGCATTAAAATTAGAAGAGGTCATGCTGGGTGTGGTGGTGCATGCCGGTGGGATCCCACCACTTGGAAGCCTGAGGCAGGAGGATCACTGTGCATCCAGGCTGGCCTGGGCTACATAGTGAGTTCAAAGGCAGCCTGAGCCTGTCTCAGAAAACCAAAACAAGAGCTGGGGATTTAACTCAGTGGTGCCACCACCTGCCTCGAAAGTGCAAGGTCCTGAGTTCGATCCCCGGCACAAAACACAAAAACCCTCAAAAACAAACAAAAAAAGAGGTCATGAATATGGACTTCCCTTCTGCTCTGCCTTATAGATGGATCCAGGAACTGAATTCTCCAAGGAAGTCCTATCCTGTCTCTTGGGGTCTGCCCTCTGTGAGATGGGAAGCAGCCTCTGTCCCTTCTCTGTGGGTGGATACGGCCCCATATGGATCCACTTCTTTTCAGAAAAAAAAAAAAACACAGTGAAAGAGCTTAGAAAATTTATTCCTTTTTTCCTTTGAAACACACAGGTGGGGCAGGGAGTGAAGTGGAGGCAGAGGGAGGAGGAAGCTGTGGGGGTCCTCCTGCCCCTAACACCCCAGTCCTTATTTCAGGCCCCTTCATGGGGTCCCCTGAGGGCCTGGAGAGCGGGCCCAGCTCTCCTAGCTCAGAGCGTGACTCTAAAGTGCAGAAGGCATGGGGCGGAGGGCCGGGGGCTTTGCTCCTCTCTCTGGTAGAAAAATAGACCTGGGGTAAGTTTGAGGGTTCGACTTTTTTGTTCATTTGCTTCTGCATCCTCAGATGCTTGGGCTTAGATGTGCGGATCTGCTCCTGGCTTATTCATTTTTGTTTCTTTTTTTAAATTTTTTTGGTACCGGGGATCAAACTCGGGAGCTTGTGCTTGCGAGGCAGGCAGCAGAACCACTGAGCTAAGTCCCTGGCTCTTCTCATTCATTTTCGAAGCCCAGGAGGGGCTGGCAGTGTCGGGGTGGGGAGGAGCCCGGAATGCACCACCATTTCAGGCTGCCTGTTTGCCAGCCCCTAAAAGGAGAGACCGGCCCCTCGGAGGGTCTTGGGCTCTGGGGGTCATTAGGGTGCAAGGTGGGCAGGGCAGATGCGGAGCTAAAGAGGAGGTGGGTGGAGGGAGCAGTTTCCCTGCAGGGTGGGTGCATAGAGGGGGTGTGGGAGGGGAGTCCGACATCCCTGCGGTCCTGGGAGCCGCATCCCACCCTGGCTGCATGGCCTTGATTGCCTGGGGTTACCGGGGGTTACCGAGCCAGGGGATGGGGCTTGGGCCTCCCCAGGGCTGCCTTGATCATGTGACCTTACCAGGGGAGCAGGCATGGGTCTAGAATGGGGTCCAGGATGCAGGGGCTGAGGGCCTGGGGTTCAGTGCCCAGGAGGGTTAGCAAGTGCCTCCCGTGGATAAGGTCTCAGTAACTAAATCTAGAATCTGGAAACCAGCAGCTTCAACTGCCTGGATTCCCCCAGCTGTGCTGTTGGGCTCCCACACCTGTGGTTTTGGGAGCCAGAATCCAGTGGGTTGGGGACTGGGAATTTGGGAGCCAGTGGTCAGTTGGGGGTGAGGGTGTGGGGCTTGAAATGTAGGGATCCGGCAGTCAAAGCAGAAGGACCTAGGGACCAGGGCTGTGCTAAAGGAATTCAAGGATCCAGTGGCCTGGTGAAGGGATCTGGGATTTGGAGGTGGGGCCCCAGGATCAAGGCGTTCCATTGTCAGGATCCTGTGGCTGAGGTTTCTCCACACCCAGAATCTAGTGACCGAGCTTGGAGATGCTGGGCTTGAGGTGTGGCAGTCTTGACTGGCCAGTGGGGTTGGGATGGAGGACCCAATGCTGTGCAAGGGTCTGGATCTGGTGCCTGCGGAATCTGGGGTCTGGGTGATGAGGTACAGAGGATGTGTGCTCCAGTGGGTGGGGATCCAGTGATTAAGACGTGGGCATCCAGGATCCAGGGGTGGGACAGGGAAGTACGGGATCCACCTTTGGGATGTGGGAATGCAGGATCTAGGGATTTGGGGGACAGAGGTTCAGGGCTGGGGTGTGGATCATTTTGGATCTTGTGGTTCTTGTATCAGACTTGAGTTGCTGAAGTGTGGATCCAACACACCTGGGGGATCTGGGATCTGGACTTGGGGTATTGGGATCCATGATTGGGACTTCAGTGTCCAGTGGCTGAGGACAGCAGTGTGGGGGTGCCAACGATGGGGGTGAGGGATCAGGGTGGGGAGGGGCTCCGGGTCCCTCACCTGGACGTGACCCCCAGGGCTTGCTTCATGTTCTCATAGACCACATAGGAGAGGCTCACAGCCGGAATGACCTTCATGAAGTTGGGGGCGATGCCCCTGTAGAGGCCCCACACTCCCTCGTGGGACAGGATGTGTCGCAGCAGACCCGTCATGGAGAGCTGAGGGGCGCCCTCGATGGAGGCTGTGGGGGTGCCGGGCCAGGTGAGGCTAGAGAGTCCCCCCCCCACCCCACCCCAGCTCTGCACCAGGAGGGAGGAGGGCCAGACTGACAGTGCGATGGGCAGGAAGCCAAGGGCCCAAATTTGAGGCTGAACAGAAACAGAATGGGTGTGTGTGCCCATGCGTGGGGTGGGGGGCAGAAACCACCTCTTCCTGGAACTCAACCTACCTTCCCTTCCTGCCCAACCCTAGGCATTCCAAAGCCGGCCCTTTCAGGGAACCCCCCATGGCACCCCAGTGTAAGCCAGGTTCCCCATTGCCCCTTTACCCCTAAATCGATACTTCATTGGAGAATGCTTTCTTTTGAGCATTTCTCTCAGAGATCATCCTGCCTCAGCCCCCCACCCCCAGCACCAAGAGCTGGAATTACGGGTGTGCAACACCATGTCCAGCTTTGTATTTGTCTGCCTCTTTAGCCTGTGTCCAGGGACCACGTCTCTCATCCACTGATGACTCCCAGTGAAAATCAAACACAAATGCCAAAATACCCAAGGAAATGGATCCATGAGGGGGGAAAGAACCCATAAAAGGAAAATACAGAGAAAAACAATAGCCCAGCAGGGCCCTGACTCTCCCTAACCTGCTCCTAGCCTCCTGCACCCCACAACCCTGCCTTGCAAACTGGAACTCAAATTACCCTCCTGGAAAAGACACAGCAGGGCCAAGAGAGCCTCGGGCTAAGATTCCCAGCATGCTTTTCCAGACTCTTCCCCTCAGCTCCCTTAGGGGAAAGGATGCCTCTGGAGATACCAAGCATGGGTAAACTGAGCCCAGAGGAACTTACCAAGGCCTCCCAAATCCAGGAGGATCCCAGCCCAGAACTCTACCTCTAAGGAGCTACCTCTAAGAAGAGGTGGGCCCCAAGCAGGGAGACTTTCCCGCCTCATCCTCCCAGCCAGCTCTCACCTTGAGCTTGCATCCGGGTCCGGACCAGAGCCAGGGGATAGCTGGCGATCTGGCCGCAGGTGCTGGAGATGGTGCCACAGGCCAGGAGCACGAGGATCCCCGGGTTGGCCGACTCGTGGCTGCATTGCTGGAGCCAGCGGTTCTTGAGGGTCTGGAGGGAGGGGAGGGTGGCAGTGGCAGAGGCTGGGTCAGGGACCTTGCAGCCAGCTCTGTGTCTGGGACTCGGGGACTGAGGAGCAGCAAGCGAGCACCTGCTCTGGCTGGGCCAGCATTTCCCTCCATCCCTCCTGGACCCTGGTTTCCTCCATTGGGAGGGGAATGAGGCCCCTGTAACTGCCCAGCCTGGTCCCTGGGACCCGTGTGCAGGTCCTGGCTGGGGCTTCCAGGGAAGGATCATTGGAGGGCGTCCACTGTCATCATGTTTCTTTGGCGGGGGCGCACTGGGGATGGAGCCCAGGGCCTTTGCACTGAGCGACATCCTCAGCTCTTTGTGATTTTACTTTTTAGTGTTTTGCTTGTCTTGAGACAGAGTCTTGCTATGTAGCCCAGGCTGGCCTCGAACTCTAGGCCATTTTCCTGCCTCAGCCTCCCAAGGGCTGGGACGACAGGCCTGCAGCACCATGCCCTGCTACAGTGGTCTTTATGAAGCCTCATAAAGGGAGGGGGGTGGAGCTCAGTGGCAGAGTGCATGCTTAGCACACACAGAGCCCTGGGTTCCATCCCCAGCATCTAATAAATAAGATATGAAGAGGGCAGTGAGAGATGGAGGGGAGAGAGGATTCTGTGCAGCTGGCTCTGAAGATGGAGGGAGGCCCACAAGCCAAGGGATGTTGGTGCCTCAGAAGCCAGAAAGGTAAAGAAACGGGGTTTCCCCTGAGCTCCCTGAAAGGAAGGCACCATCTGGATCTCAGGGAGTGTCCTATCCTGGACGTGGGCCTTCCCCAGCACAAGATGATACAGTTGTGTCGTCCTAAGCCATTGTTGGTGACAGTTTGTGACAACAGCCACGGGAAGCAGACACAGTCCCCAGGTCCTTCCCTGGGGCAGACAGCAGGGTGCAGCCTCTGCTGCCTGAGGGCGTCCTCTGCTCCAGGGCTGGGATGCTGGGACTGCCCTGCCTGGGAGCCATGTGCTGGTGATTAGCATTCCAGAAGCAACCTCAAAAAGGATGGTGTTAAACCAGGCATCATAGCACAGGCCTATAATCCCAGCACTCAGGAGGCTGAGGCAGGAGGAGTATCAGTGAGTTCAAGGCCAGCATGGGCTACACAGTCAGATCCTGTCTCAAAACTAACAAACAAAACCTTGTCTCAAAAACCAAGACCAAAGCAAACATGGTCCACCAGCACCCTGCTCCCTTGCCCCTTCCCCAAGCTGCTTCTGATCCTGGGGTGCAGGGCTCTCCTTGCCTACTTCCTTGGTAACACAGGAGTTTGTCTGGTTTTATTTTGGGACAGTGTCTCCTAAATTGCCTAGGTGACCTCAAACATGAGTAGACTGGATGACAGGCCTGTGCCACCACACTCAGCCAGTTAGGAGTTTTGAATTGTGTGTCCCCAAAAGTGTGCTGGTGTCTTAACCCCCAGGACCTGGATGTGTGAGGAGGGCTTTATGGTAAAGATGAGTAACTGAGTGGTGTCTATTTATTTGCTTTAGGGCTGAGATGGAATCTGGGGCCTTGTGCATGCTGTGTGTTCTGGCACTGAGCTACACCCCCAGCCCTTTTTTCACTTTGAGACAGGATCTTGCTAAGTTGCCCAGGCTGGGCTCAAATTTGTGATCCTCTTGCCTCAGCCTGTCAGGATCTGGGGTGACAGGCATGAGCCGCCACACCTGGTCCTGCTGTCGTTCTGATAGGAGCAGACACAGAGACAGACATGCAGGTACAGGAGAAAGGCAGGTGACAACAGAGGCAGAGATTGAAGTGTCTATAGCCAAGCTACGCTGCCAGCTTGGTGGCATGCACCTGTCATCCCAGCCTCTCAGGAGGCTGAGGCAGGAGGATTGCTGGAGCCCAGGAGTTTGAGGCCAATTTTGAGGCCCTTGTCTCCAAAACAGTCATCAGTCAAGGACTAACTGTGATTGTTGACAAGCAACAGAAACCAGGAAGTGTCGGGGAGGATCCTGACAGGTTTCAGAATGCTCTCTGCTGATAATGTGAGTTTGGACTTTGACCTGGGATTGGGGGACAGCACATTTGCGTTGTTTAACTACATGGTCTATAACACTTTGTTTCGCAGCCATTGCCAGCTGCTTCTCTTCTCTTTTTTCTTTCTTTTGGGTCTCACTATGTATTTCATTTTGGCTTAGAACTTGTTTTGTAGCCCAGGGTGGCCTTGAATTTCCAGCAATCCTCCTGCCTCAGCCACTTGAGTCCTAGGATTAGTTTGTTTGTTTGTTTGTTTGTTTGGTACTTGGGATAGAACTCCTGGCCTCTGCATGCATGGAGTGATACCGACAGCTTTTTTTTTGTCCCTGAGATAGGGCCTTGCTAAATGGCTAAGTTGCCTAGATTGGGCTCAAACTTGCGATCCTCTTGCCACAGCCTCCTATTTTGTCTGACTCCCTCTCAATAAACCACTTGCCCTTGCATTCCTGTGTTAGGCCTGCTGGGTTTTGTTTTTTTTTGGTACCAGGGATCGAACTCGGGTCCTTGTGCTTGCGCAGCAGGCGGTGAAACCACTGAGCTAAATCCCTGGCCCTGCTCTTTTGTTTTAATGATTTATTTCTAAAGCTGTTTAGATTTTTTTTTTTGTACCAGGGATCGAACTCAGGACCTTGCACTTGAGAGGCAGGCAGCAGAACTGCTGAGCTAAATCCCCAGCCCTATCTGTTTAATTTTTTTTTTTTTGGTACTGGGTATCGAATTCAGGACCTTGCACTTGCCAGGCAGGCAGCGGAACCACTGAGCTACATCCCCAGGCCTATCTGTTTAGTTCTTAAAGTGAGATAAAACTTAGATTTGTGGAGCCATTTGTTCATTTTTTTTTTTTTTTTTGGTACCCAGAGTCAAACTCAGATTCTCACGTTTACCAGGCAGGCGCTGCATGGCTGAGCTACATCCTTGCCCCCCTCCCCATTTGTTCACATTTTATAAAAGGGAGCAAAGGTTTCTTTCTTTAGGAAGGAAGAGGGGTACGTGGATCTTACACAAGCTTCTAGTCAGGCTGCAGTTGGAAGATCTCGAAAGATAGACGCTATTACTAAGCCCTTTTAACAGGAGATACTGAGGCCCGGGGGAAGTTATTTGCCTGGAGCTACAAAATAAAGGTAGTAATTGAGTTTTAGAGCCACAGCTGAGTCCTGAACTGTGTGCTTAAAATTTTTTATTTGTTTTTGTATTTTGAGACATGGTCTTGTTATGTAGTCCTCTATGAACTCATTATGAACACACTATGTAGTCCAGGCTGGCTTTGAACTCACTACGTGTCCCAGGCTGACCTCAAACATGTGGCAATCCTCCTGTCTCAGCCTCCTGGTGCTGGTATTGCGTACTCCACCATGGCCTGAAAGTGGGCTTGAAGTCTTTAGGGTAGCTAATCCCTTCCAAAGCCTCCTTTTGCCAGTGCTTTTCTGTCCGTTTCTACCCCTTCCTTTCTTTTGTGGTGCTAGGGATGGATCCCAGGGCTTCATGCATGCTAGGCAAGCCAAGCCTTTGGTGAGGACAAGACCTTTAGCCTGCCCAAGGGTTCCATTTCCTGTATCAATTTGATTCTAATCCATTCATAATGTCTGCCAGGAACTGGGGCTGTGTTGAGAGGGAGTCAGTACTGGGATCAATAGTAATGTCTGGCCCAGATGCAGACTAGGAAAAATTGAGGCAAGTGTTTATTGCTTTTGCAATTAAAAACAAAAGTAGTTATTGTGGGGCCTAGGATTTAGCTAGGTGGTTTTGCCACCTGCTGCGCAAGTGCAAGGACCTGAGATCGATTCCTGGTACCAAAAAAAAAGTTATTGTGTTTACTTGGGTTTTTTTCTGTTAAGATAGTGTCTTAGGGTATTGCTATGATGTCCAGGCTGGCCTTCAACTTCTAGGTGCAAACAATCCTCTTGTCTCCGCCTTCTGAGTAGCTGAGAGTACAGTGCTACTGCACCTAGCACCTTTGCAATTTTAGTAGCCTTCTTTTGGGTCTAGAGTAGCTTTAGCCAAATAGATGTTGAATTAAGAACTATTCTGGGGTGGAGGGTGTAGCTTAGTGGTAGAGCACTTGTCTAGCATCTGTGAGGTCTTGGTTTTGGTCCCTAGTCAAAAAACAAAAGCAAACAAAAAACCAAAAACAAATCAAGCATTGTGGTGCACGCCTGTAACCCCAGCACTTGAGAGGCAGAGGCTGGAGGATCACTATGAGGTAAAGACCAGCGTGAGCTACTTAGTGAGTTCAAGGCCAGTCTGCACTACAGGGTGAGACTCTGTTTCAAAACAAACAGAAATTTTGCTCTTATTTCTGCCCATGACCCTCAAGGGCTTCCCACTGCACTTAAGATAAACCCAGCTCCTCATCATGGAGCACTTAGTCACCCTCTGTCCCCATCTCCTGGGCTAACCTTTTCCCTCTAGCTGCTCAAGCCTTCCACTCTTTCCTGACAGTGTGCTTCACTCCTGCCTCCAGTGTCGCCAGCTCCTGGTGCTCCTCCACCCACCTCCTGACACCGCTACTTCTAATGACAAATCCTGCCTGATGAGCTTCTGAGAATTAAGTAGGAGAGGAGCTGCTACCATCTTATCTGGCCTTGTTTCCTGCCATGAATGAACCTGCAGCAATCAGCCTGATGCCCAGCCTGCATGGGTGCTTATAAATACCTCCTAAGTGAATGAATGAAGAAATGAAGGGAGACATGAACAGTGGCACCATCTCAGCTGGCTGTCTAGATCCTGCATACTGGGGAGTATGGCTATAGATAGTAGGTACTGAGAAGCTTACAACAGGAAGAGTGAAAAAACTGATGCAATCCAGAGCCAGGTGTGATAGTACACGCCTGTAATCCTAGCTATCTGAGAGGCTGAGGCAGGTGGATCACAAGTTCAAGCCTACCTTGGGCAATTTTGTGAGATGCTGTTTCAAAATAAAAAAATAAAGGGTTGGGGGGACCGGGGATTTAGCTCAGTGGTTCCGCCACCTGCCTCACAAATACAAGGACCTGAGGTCGATACCTGGTACCAAAAAAAAAAAAAAAAAAAGGATTGGGGATGTAGGTCAGTGAGAAGACCCTGGGTTGAATATCCAGTACAAAGGGGGGGGGGCAGGGTCCAATATAAAATTAAAATATAGGGTCCTTTGTTCAAAAATTGGTAAGATGACCGGGAGGACCTAGTGAGGCTGCTTGGAGAGGTGACAGCAGTAGCCGAGCCCCTGGAAGAGCAAGCAGAAGCTCCCCGCAAGGCCGAGAGATGCTCCACATGATCTATGGTTTTTATGGAGACAGCAGGTGCTCGAATGGGCCCAAAGAGTTCCAAGGCTGCGTCTGGTACACGCTTTGGGGAAGAACGGCATCTCTGAGGCTCATCTGCTTGCTGTCATGGCTCCCCAACTCCCAGTGACCAAAGAAAGCCGGCTGCCAATCAAAGCTTCTCGAAGCAGGAAGTGGGGGAGTCTGACACCTGCGGGGGTTCCCAGGACTCTGAGGCCCAAGGGGCTGCTCACCCCACAGTTGCCCTCTCTGGCTACAGGAGGTCCATTGAGCCAGCCCTGGGAAAAAAGGGGTGACCCCCAGAGGACATGGGGAGGGCAGGGTGGCCTGCTCACCGACCTCGTAGACAGCCAGGTCGATGCCTGCGTAGGGAATGATGCCTAGCACGTTGGGCAAGTAGCCGCGGTAGAAGGCACGAGGCCCCTCTTGTTCCAGGATCCGCCATGCACAGTCCAGCAGCCCACTGTACTGGCCGGTCCGCCGCAGGGTCAGCCGCGTCTTCAGCACCTAGAAGAAGCCAGTGACCCCTGGAGAGGTTGTTCAGCCTGAACATCATATCCAGGAGTGAAGAGACCTAGAAATAGCTACTCCTAGAAGCAGATACCCTGAGAAGAACTGAATTAAGCAAAAAATTATAATTGGGTCCCAGCATTCTGGGAGGCCGAGGCAGGAAGATCACAAGTTCCAGGCCAGCCTGGGCAATTTATCAAACAAACAAGACCCTGTCTCAAAATTAAAGATAAAAAGAGCTGGGAATGTAGCTCAGTGCAAAGGCCCTGGATTCAGTCCCCAGTACTGCAAAGCAAAACCATTTATGTACTTGACAATCTTCTGCTATCCCCAAATCTATTAGAAACAGTTATACCTACCAGAGTAGCATGTGGCAGCCCCCCAAAATCTTGTTCCCCTCTTCCTTAATAATAGCAAGATAATTTTCAGTAAGCACAGAGCCATTAGAAATATAACCTACCTTTCTCAGTCTGTCTAGGAATATGGCCATGTTACTAACTCCTAGCTAATGAAACAGAAGGAAAAAGAGGCATGCGTGACTTTCAGAAAAAGACAAGGGGGTTAGGGTATTCCCTCTTTTATGGCTTCTTTTTGGTTGAAATGTGGGATGTGATGGGCCGTGCACAAGCAGCCACATCAGACCATGAAGTGGAGGCTACACGCCAAGATGGTGAGGCAGCAAAATAGACAACAGGAACCTGGTCTCTAACACTCTGAGTCCACGACCCCCGGCCTGACTTGCTCAACTCAAGACTTTCTTTCCATCTCAAGGCTTTCTTCCTTTCTTATTTATTTTTGGATAATGGGCAAGGACTGGGGGCGGATTGAACTCAGGACCTTGCATTTGCAAGGCAGGTGGGGGCACCACTGAGCTAAATCCCTGGCCCTCAAGACTTCATTTATATTGTGTTCTGTCATTTTCAGAATCCTAACGATATACCTCACAACCTGAAACCTAAAATGATTTTTTTGTGAAATGAGCATCTAGAAATGATAACCTCGGGCAACAACATTCTATCTGTAGAAGAAACATACCCAGAAACGGCTGGTTGCTGTGACTACCACCCAACGAGTTCTAACCAAGGTTATGGTTCCCAAAAGTTACTGCTCAAACTGCAACAACCAGCTCAAATCGTAATTCTCAGACAGGCTAGATGGGGAAGGGCATTACTTCCATGGGCTGCGAATCAGGGAGAGACCAAGCTGTCTCCCCTTTGTGTGGTGGGCAGTAAGGAATGAATAGTTATGGCTGCCTCCCCCCACACACCTCCTCCTCACCTCCATGGGGTAAATGATGGTTTGGGCTGTGGCACCGGCCAAGGAGCCAGCCACAAAGCGTTCCTGCACGTGCAGCGTGTCCTGCTGTCCCCGGATGGCCCGCTTGATCTGAGGGTGGAGACGGGGTGGGGTGGGGGGGCTTGAGGTGGAGGCTCCATGCACCCTGTTTACTGGCTGTTCCACAACTGGCCCGCCACGGGCATCGTGGGGGAGAGCAGCCCCGTGCACACCCCACAGCCAACCCCGAAGTCCCTGTGCAAGGCCATGTCCCATACCCTCACCTGCTCATAGGCCATGAACTTGATGGCCGACTCGGGGGCGATCTTGAGCACATTGATGCCATTGCCCCGCCACAGGGAGAGAATGCCCCCCTCCTGGACCATGCTCCGCAGGCCCCCCAAGATGTTGAGCCGGTTGGTCTTTGAGGCATGGACCTGAGTGGGGTGACCAGGTAGCCTTGGAATTCCATCCTAGGTCCCAGACCCGGGTGACAGCCTGGACCCTGGAAGGCCCCTTACCTGCATGAAGACCTTGAGGCGGTCCAGAGGCGCAGTGCCTGTGCGGGACACGGCCCCTGCCACTGCACCGGCCACCAGCTGCTTCCACCACATGCCTGTCAGCTTCTCCTGCTTCGAGAACTCGTCTGGCACTGTCAGGCACTCACCAATGTCCAGGACCTGAGGACAGGCAGGGCCTGGAGGTGTCATGCCATGTGGGGTTCTAAATGGGGAGTCTTCTCCATGGATCCCAGGACACCCCAGAGTCCACCAATGAATCTTACTTGGAGAAGCCAGAAGACCCTTCTGAGATCCCATGAATGCCACCAAAACATCCAACCCAGTGGTCTCCATGTAAGATTTTAGATCCCTCCACCAAATCCCAAAGAGTCACCAGGTCCCACCAAAGGTTCCATCAGGTCCCATCTAAAACCACCAAAGGACCCATCAAATCCTACCAAAGGATCCACTGAATCTTATCAATGGATCCTATCCAAGCATCTGCCATCTAATGATCCCCCTTGAGCTTATCAGATCCCACTCAAGGGTCTCCCATAGAAGGATTCCAGAAGATCCCTCCAGAGCCATACCAGCTCTTACCAGAAACCTCCCATGTGAGGACCCCAGCAGATCCCTCCTGGGGCCTCTCAAGATCTCCCAGAGATCTCTTCCTTCCCATTGTAGAACTCCTAATCAAGGTCCCCTTAGATGTTCTGGGATGGAAGTCTCTGGATCTCCAAAGAGAATCTCATTAGATCCCACAGAGGAATCCTCTTTAGACACCATCTCATCTTTGGTGATTCTCAGGTAGGAAGTGAGCATTGAGAGAAACCTCCCCCACCTCCGGTAGATCCCTTGTACCCTAAAAAGCCAGTGGCTTCCTAACTTTTCTATCCAGGAGCAGATCCCTTACGCATGGGAAGAGAACATGGCAAAAGGGGGGTTGTGTGGGCTGAGGGGGCTGGACTCCCATCTGGTGAGCTCTTTCTTCCCTGGACCCTCTATCCCCACAAGCTGCCCCCCACCCCGAGGTCCCCTAGGAAGACTGACATAATCCACCCAGACAGTGGAGATATCCCAGATGTGTCCCCAGGCTCCTGAACCCCATGTGCAGGGAGAGAGAAACCACTCCATTCCTCAGCAGCTCCCCATCCTGGTGGTCAAGGCCCAGCCTTCCCAGCCCCAGGGAGAGGGCGTTGCTGCCAGGGCTCTCACTGCTCACCGTGGAATGCTTCCAGAAATACAGCACATCCTCCACGTTCTCCAGCGAGTGCAGCAGGAAGTGGTCGCGCCATTCCTGCCAATCGATTGTCATCGTGCCATCACGGTCCATGCTGGGGGCAGGGTGGGGACAAGCTCAGTGCCTGGGGCTGGGTGAGGCGCTGTAGGGTCTGCAGGTTTGGGGTGTACTGAGAGGGAGCGCTCCACATTTCTAGTACTGCTCTCATCACATTCCCTGGGTCCTCCTGTTGGGATTCCTCATACCCAGTCTATCAGAGGAGCCTATTCCCCTCATCGTACAGTGCAGGGAAACTGAGGCTCAAAGAGGTCACAACTGGCTCAAGATCTGTTCCACTCCAAAACCCAACTTCTCAGCTCTTTCTTCCTTGAACTGGCTCTGTTGCTCAGAAGATGGTGATGACTGAGGAGTCCCGGGGGCCTGAGTTACGTGGAATTCTACACCTTCAGCCACTTACCTGTGCAGAATCTTCTCCACCTGCTCCAGCGAGATGGAAATACCCAGAGCTCGGAAACTCTGCTGGATCTCAGAGACATCGATATGACCTGGAAAGTGGGTCGGAGGTGGGGAAGGGTGTGTGGGGACTCCGGGGGACTCCACTACCAAGGATCAGTGCCACTTGGAATGAAGATGATCTAGTGAGACCAGGAGATCCAGAAGCCCAGGGCAAGGTTGTAGGAGATGCAGTGAGGTCCCAGCTGCACTGGGATCAGAGAGGTGGAACTAGGTAATACTGAGGAGTCCTCTATTCTATGAATGAGGGAATAAATGAATGAATGAACCCAGGGGGCAATCATGGGGTCCTTATGCCACAAGGTATTATTATTATTTAGAACCCAGAAGCTCCTAGTGGGGGATATTTGTGTCCTATAGGGAACTCAGAGGCATTATGGAAGAATCTTTGTTGCCCACCAAAATCTAAGGGGAATATTAGAGGTCCTGCTTCAAAGGGAAAAGGAAGTGGGTTGGGCTGGCTGGGACTCGAACCACCTAGATGGGGGTGATGAGAACTCCGAAAATAGCCCGTGAGTCATCAGGAGAAGCAGCCCTCCCCCCTTCTTGCTGCTGGCTGCCAGTTCTAACCCCATCAGCCCTCACTGGTCCCCGCTGCAGCCTGGCTTACCGTCCTGGTTTCGGTCAAGGCTGTGGAACATTAGCAGCAAACGCTGTTCCCGCTCCTGCAGGTAGCGCGAGAATTCCTCCAGGTTGAGGCCCTCACTTGCATTAGCCACTCCCTCCTCAGAGGAGAGGTCCTGGCAGAGGGCAAGGGGACAGAGTGGGCTCCAGGAGGCTGTGCCCCCATCTGGAAGGGGCACAATATGAGCCTTACGCCTCAGGAACCCAGAGTCCCCAGCAATTCCAGGAAGGGGGCAGGGGACATCATGCCGCTCTCAGTCAGCTCCTTCTCAGCAAGATGCTCAAGGCCACCATGGCTGTGTGAGGTGCGTGGCTGCTGTCCAGTTTTCCTGGCGAGCAAACTGAGGCTCTGCCAAGGTCATGTAACTAGTTCAAGGTCACAGAGCTGGCAAAGTGGTTACCTTGAAAGCTGATTCTCCCAGCTGTCCCTTACAAAAGCCTGTCCCCAAGGAGCCAGCTTTAGAGCCAGCTCTGGGCAGTGAGGGGACAGGAGGCCATTGGCCTCCACATTCCCCATCTGGAAAGTGGGAGTGGAGATTGAAGTTCTCAAGGATGTTGGGAGCAGATTCAGGGACACCTGGGGGGCTATGGGCAGGAAGGACCTGCAAGGTGGGGTGGGAGAAGGAAGAGCAATCGATAGTGCTCAGGTGGCCTCAAACCAGATTGGAGTCTCAGCCTGGGGTGGCCCTGGGCAGGGAGCCAGGCAGGGCTTGTAAGCAGAGAGGCTGGGCAGTGGGTGCCCTGGAGGCTGGGAGGGTGTGTCCTCTGGGGGCGGGGGCAGGACATGTGTCGAGGTGCAGAGTCCAAGGGAGAATGTGACCCGGCAGCAGGCAGGGAAGCGCTTGCTGTCTCCTGGCAGACATGGTCCACCACCAGGGTGCCAGTGTGGCCAGCCAGCCTGCAGGCCCGGCTCCTCGGCCACCTGCTTTTCGATCCCATTAGGCCAGACCCGGGTGGACAGGGGGAAGGGAACGGAGACAGAGGTTCTGGATTCCAGCCACAGGTAGTCCCCTGCGGTTCTGCCGCTCCTCCAGGGGACCCAGGAGCGGGTACACCAGGAAGGGGGTCCCCGGCAAGGGTACCTGTTGGGCGCCGCGATCTGGGTCGCCCCCACTCAACCTGGCCAGTCCCTGGCGCAACTCGTGCACGTCCACACGGCCATCCTTGTTACGGTCCAGCTCCTCGAAAAGGCGACCCCAGCGCTGTCGCCGCTCCGCGTCGCCTTGGCCCCCCCGCATGGTGCCAGACTCGGGAGGGGTGGGGGGGAGGGGAGGCCCGGCCACGGCGGCCTCAGCGGGGGCTTTGGGGCTCCCCCTCCCCCCCCGTGGCCCGGCAGGGCCAGCTCCGCTGCCAAAGGAGCCGGAGCCTCTGCACTGCAATGCCGGGCTCAGGCACTGGCTGAAGGGGGATGAGCGCTGGCCGTCCCCGCCCGCGCCAGAATTTGAGCCTCCTCCGGAGGGGGAAGGGGGCAAGGGCGGAGCTGGGGGCGTGGGGAGGGATGTTGTAGGATGCTCGGGGATTGCACGGCCGAGGAGCACCAGGGAAATAGGATAGCAAGCTCAGTGAATTCGTTCTGGTTTCAGACGTCCACCGCTGCCTGCCTCAGTTTACCCCCTTCGCCTGTCTTTAAGGGGAGGAGGGAAGGAGACATCAGGAATTGGGTTTCATAATCCCTTTTCCACTTGACCTCCTCCTACTAATCCTCTTCAGGAACGAAAATTCTCGCTTTTCCCAGACGAACGGAAGAACCCTGAGCCGACTAAACCCTTCATCTGCCCGTCCGCGCGCGGTCAGACTCTCCACTCGGTGACAGAAACTCAAGATCGAGAGCCAGTGCTCTGGCGTCTGTCCCTTTGGCCCTCCCGCGCGCCTCCTTTCTGTCTCACCCGGGGTAGGAAACGTAAGATCAACTCGCTGCGCTGCTGCAGAGTCGATTTCCTATTGGCCAGAGCCTGAGCTGAGCCCGCCCGTCCCTCTGCGGCCCCCCCCGTGGGCGGGGTCTTCCTGGTGACTCTGGGTGGCCTCAAATCCCCCGCCTCAGCGCCAGCCAGATGGTTTTAAAGGGGCAGCGGCCGGATTCAAACCCCGGGGAGACTGCTCTTAGCCTGGGGGCTATCAAGGTTCAGCGCGTGGCTGAGAAAGGGAGACGGTGGAGGCGGCCCTCAGCCCATCGCTCTAGCTGCACCTGCCAAAGTCCCTCCCAGTACTTTCCGGAGCAGTTTCTGGACTCGCCACTGGGGGAGGGGCGCCCACTTCACAGCAATAATAATAATAATAGCTAACAAAGCTTCGTGCGCTGCACGCGCCAGGCCTTTTACTCACCTCCCACACTGTCCTCGCCTGACCCTATAAGGCAGGGGGTACTAGCGTCCTCACTTTACCGATGAGGAGACCTTCAATTTCCCAGTCCTCACTCCCAGTAAAGCAGCGATTTTGGGGGGTTTGGTTTTGTTTTTTGAGACAGGGTCTCGCTATGTAGTTCAGGCTGGCCTTGAGCTTACTATATACCCCAGGCTGGCCTCGAACTCACGGCGATCCTCCAGCCTCAGTCTCCTCAGTGCTGGGATGACAGGCATGCGCCACTATGCCTGCTTTAAAGCAGAATTTAAACACATCTTGGATCCTCACCCATCCATCACTTTATACCTTGGAAGGGACTAATCACTCTTTGCTTCTCACTTTTCACTCAAGGGTCCTCGGGACAGGATCGTGTTCCTTTCACCCTTTATTCAGATGCAGCCGTCAGGGCTCATTTGGTTCCAGCCCAGCCTTTGTCCAGACAGGTGTTTGTGAACAGGTGGGTCCCAAGGAAACCTCTGATATCCTACAGCTGTTTTATTCACAGATGTTCTCGGGTGCCCTACAACATGGGGGATATAGATGTTTTCCCATGGGGATGCTCCCAGTACGTGTTCTCTCCCTGGTACATCCCTGACGGGTGGCCCTTAATAGGTGGGACCATCTGTCCTGCTGACTTGTCCCACAGCTGTGCCTCAGTGTAGAATGCCTCCTGCAGATGCACCTCGGGCTTCCCTTCATTGGAGCTGAATTCTATGCTGGGCATGGAGGCCAGCCTGGGCTCCATAGTGAGTTCAAGACCAGCCTGAACTACATAGTGAGACCCCGTTTCATTAAAAAAAAAAAAAAAAAAGAGCTCAACTCTAGACATGTGCTCTTTATCGACAGCCATTTCTTTGATCTTACAGGGATGTTTTCAAGCTGGTGTCCTATACCCAGGAAAGTGTTATACAGGTACTGCATAGGTGTGTTCCAGTCAAGTGTACATCCACATGGGCATGTTTCTATACAACAGGGCCCCATACAGGTATATTTAAATGCAAGTGTAGCCAGGTTTGGTGGCGCACACCTGTCATCCCAGCACTTGGGAAGCTGAGGCAGGAGGATTGCTGTGAGTTCGAGGCCAGCCTGTATTACAGAGCAAGGCCCTGTCTCAAATATATAATATAATAAGTGCAGGGTGTATCTCAGACATTTCCTACACATTCCCACACAAGAATTCTTCATTTAAGTAGTGTACATTTCACAGGTGAGCCATGCAGTTTCGTTTCCAAAATTGAGATGGTCCAACACCAGCCTCCGGTTGTTGTAAATCAGATATTTCCCACACCTTGTGATTTCATTCTGCTCTGCCCTCTATGGAGGTGACTCAACGTAGGTGTCTCCGTAAGGGTTCTTACTTGCGAACACCTGTAGGTATCTTCTACACAGGTGTTTATTTCAGTAGGCGCTGCTAGGCTTCATTCACCGGCGTCTACATGCCCTGTGTATCTACACGCCTGTGTGACCCCACAGATGTGCCCTACAGATGTGCAGTACACGTGTGAAGTCCTTGCACCTGCGCGCGTCCTCCCTCTCGCTGCCCCTCCCCATATGCAATTGGCTTCCCGTTACAGGTGCGCCAGCGGCGCGGCCCCGCCCCTATGGCCCCGCCCACCACCAGCTCAGGTGCACAAGCCGGAAGTGCGTTCCCCTCCCAGGTAAGTGACTAAACTTTCCGGGTCACGTGAGCGGGCGGGGCCAGTGGGGTCGGAGGGAGCGTCAGACCGACGGACCCCGACGGACCCGGGGCTCGAGCGAGGGTCCGGGACAGGGAACCGGTGAGCGGTCAAAGGCGACTGGGCCAGGTAAGGCGGGAGGACGCGCAGTCCGGCCTGTCCTCGCCCCCGTTCTCCCTTCCCTTTTCCCGGCGCTGGAACGCGCTCAGGAGTTAATCTTTAATCTCTGACCCTGGGCGGCGGGGGCGGGGCTGGCTCCGGGTGTCCCGGAGCACGTCGCCTGTCCCGCCAGCTCTCGCCCAGGTCCGGCCCCCGACGCCGCGCTCCGGCCTCTGTCCTCTTCCCGTCCCCAGGTGCCGGGTCGCAGGTGGCCCCGGCCCAAGATGCAGTAGAAGCGGCGCGCCCTGGAAGCTCGGTCCCTGGCGTCACCAACCCAACTTCCAGCCCATGGCGACCCCAGGCCTGGGGCTGCTCTGGGTACTTGGCCTGGCGCTGCTGCCCACCCGCTGGGGCCGAGCCTGGGGGGAAAGTAGGTACCGGCCCGGAGCCCTGAGGGAAGGGCTCTAGATTCCCCGGCTCAGAGGTGTTGGGCATCTGGGACACCCGGAGGATTCAGACCTGGGGAATTGGCGAGGTGGCTGGGGAGGGCCGGCGCTTTTAGGGTTCCTGGCTCCCTCCTGGACCATGCAGGTTGTAGAACTCCCCGGTTCTGGTGGGGAGGTGGACACTGTGGGCTGGGGGAGGGGAGGCCTGTGTCCCTGAGTCCCTGTAGTTGAGAGTTTGGGGCAGAAAGGGACGGAAAAGGAGGGCTGCCTGGGTCTTGAACTCAGGTCCACATAGCTGGTTTTAGGTGTGGACCCAGCCGGCCTCTCAGCCCTGTTGCCTAGGGGAACCTGGGGGGAGGTGTGAGTCAGATACTCCTGGGAAAGGCAGGACCCGCCCAGGTCCTTAGGGCCCAGGGCCAGAGTGGCAGCAGTGTGGGGCGGTGGCTTCCGGTCACCATCTATCCTAACAGCCCCCAACTCGCACAAACAACTGTGGGCTGATTACTCCCTGCTGGGCTCTGCTAGCCTGAAGTGGCCAGAGCAGCAGGGGTGGGGGTGGGGCCGGCCACCTGTGGCCACCTGCGATCTTGGCTGGGCCCCTCTTGGGGGGGGGGTGGAGTTGGGCCGAGACGGGAGGGCTGGATGAGGATTGAGTTATCCTCTCTATCCAGACTCAACATCAACACCGGCCTCTTTGACGCAGGAGCCCAATGACTTCAGCTCCAATGGGGGCCTGGTGAGTTGGGAGTATATGCGGGAAGCCAGCATCCCGGTGCTATTCTGGGATCCCATAAGTAGCAGGTAGAGGTGAGCAAGACAGGGTGGCATTAGAGAACCCCAGGTCAGACAGACCAGAATGCCAGTGGGACAACAGGGGACCTAAAGTCCCAGAATAAGGACACTAAGAGCCCCCAGAGGAGGGGAGACGAGAATACAAGCTGTGATTGAAAATATAGTTATGTGTTTAAGTAAAAAAAAAAAAATCATTACAGTAAAAGACACACAGCCATGAATTCCCCACAAAATACTGCTCTTCACTTTGAACACACCCATCTCATTGTTCTTGCCATTTTCTGAAGCAGGTTTGGAAGTCCTCTCTTCTGAGAGTCCTTAGCTATGCCCTTGTGGCCAACTCTGTGTTCTGAATTGACTTAAATATTTCCCTTCTGTGCTCATTTTGACTTTGGAGAAGACCTAGAAGTTGCATGGTGCTAGATCTGGTGAATAAGGCAGATGAGGACATCAGCATGATTTTAATGAGCCTGCCTTTCTGATGCATGGCAATCAGCAGCAGCAGTCACTATTTTTTTTTTTTTTTTTTTTTTTTGGTACTGGGATCAAAGTTGGGACCTTGCACTTACAAGGCAGGTGCCAGAATCACTGAGCTAAATCCCTGGCCCCTTTCACTGTATTTTTTATCACACCTTGTGTAGACCCTCATGAAAGAGCACTTTCAGAACCGCTTCAGGAAGTGGCAAGAACAATGGGACAGGTGTGTTCCAAAGGAGAGAGAATGTTTTGAAGGGGATTCATGCCAATGTGTCTCATGGTATCTTTACATTTTTACAATTTAAACATTCACTATATTTTTGGATCACCCTTTGTACCTGGTGGGTGCCCCCTATGCCAGTGCTGTAGAGCCTAGAGGTGGCAGGTGTGGTAGGGCAGGAGTCACAGATGTGCCAGGTGTGTGTGTGGGAGCCTTGGAGTCCCAGAAAAATAGATGAGGATCCAGAAACTCCCCACTGGGGGTGGGGAGGGCAGATCCCCAGAAGTGACGCGCGCGTGCGTGCGTGTGTGTGTGCGTGTGTGTGTGTGTGTGTGTGTGTGTGTGGTGGGGCCCAGATGCAGGGCAGACGGGGGCTGATGGGACCCTTAGACCCAGATGGTGACGCCTGACTTCCTGCCCCACCCACAGTCTCAGGAGGGCCTTACTGCTATCATTGTGGTCTTCTCCATCCTTGGGGCTCTGGTCGTGGTGTCGGGGCTGGTGTTCATGGTACAGAAACTTCGGGAGAAGCGGCAGACGGAGGGCACCTACCGGCCCAGCAATGAGGAGCAGGTGGGTGCCCGTGCGCCACCACCCCCTAACCTCAAGTTGCCCCCGGAGGAGCGGCTCATCTGAACGCTGGGGCCAGCTACAGCCACCGCCACTGTGAAGGACTGCCCAGCGCACCCTGGCCCCCAGCAGCTGCCACCGAGACAGCAGCTTCTGATGGTGCAGGAGGACTTGGGGGGACTCGGGGGCACCGGGCTGGCGGGCTCTGCAGCATGCTGCCTCTGTTTGATTCTGCATGCAGCCGGGCACACTGCGGGTGGGGACCTGCTTCCCTGCTTATTGCACCCCACCACCTTCATGCTGCTGTGCACTATCCCACCGCCACTACAGGCCCAACATCCCCCTGTCCTTTCTTTCAGTTCTCCCACGCAGCCGAGGCCCGGGCCCCCCAGGACTCCAAGGAGACGGTTCGGGGCTGCCTGCCCATCTAGGTCCCCTTTCCTTCCTCCATCTCCCTTCCTTGCCGTGTGACCTTGGGGAAGGCAGCGCCCTCTCTGGGCAATCAGATTCATCCAGTGCTTAAGGCTAGAAGGGAAGAAGGTGCTTAAAGACTTTGTCCCTGGAGGCAAGGGAGGGTGGGGCTGTTCACTTTTTACATATTTATATAACATGGTAGTGAGATATAATAAAGTTTTTTTTTTTGAGCTGGTGGGAGTGTTAGCCTAGATGGATGAGATGGAAGCAGAGATGAATTGTAAGGTTGCAAGAATCCTAGGAAAGTGGGTGGGACCCTGGAGGGACAGGCTTTTAGATTCATGGAGGAGCATCTGCTGGTGAAGAAGGTGGTAGATGGGCTACGTGTCTGAGCAGAGAGGGCCCCGGAGAAACTCACCAGGAAAAACCAGCTTTGGGGTCTGTGTGGCTTTATTTAGGGACTGGCGTCTCTTCTGGACCTCCAATCTCTAACTCTCAAAGCGCTTCTTTAGATCAGCCACTCGGGGCTGCCTTCCATCCTGGGGCTCTTGCCAGCTGTCGATGGGCAGAGCAGGGGAATCCGGGGCTCCCTGTTCCTCGGCCAGCTGGAGGTGAGCATGTTGTAGCAGGACCTCGGGGAGCTGGGTTCTGGGGTTCTCTGGACAACTGGGGTCCGGGGAGGAATCAAGCAACTGGGATGTCCAGGTAGTGTCAGAGGTGGGTTTTTCAGAGAGCCTGGAGCCCAGGATGTCCCGGGCTCTGGGACCCTTGGCTGCCTTGTACAGAGGGACGACAGGAAGGTGTAAGGGGTCAGGGAGAGGAGGGGACTTGGAGTCCCCTTTGGTTCTCAGGTCTGCAGAGGCTGTTGAGAACTGGGACAGAGACAGGATTCTTTGGTTGGCCTTGGGGGACAGCTGGGAATTGGGGTTTTGGGGAGAGAGAGTGGCATCCAAAGGCTGGGTGTTCTGCAGGGTTGACGAGTCCACAGGCAGGGAGTGCGGCTGGCACTCTGGTGCTGTCTCATCATCTGGTTGCCAGCTGGTTCTTCCAGGTCTGTCGGGCTGGGTGGGGCAGGGGTGGGTGGAGGGAAAGGCAAGTTGCTGGCATTTAGATGAGGAAGTAGCTGGCAGTTTGGATGAGGAAGTCGGAAAAGACTTGGCCCTGGGGGGCTCTCACCAGGCTGAAGCAGGTGTCCAGGTCACCTTGGTGACAACAGTCTAAGCTCTGGCTGGGCCGAAGGCTGCTTGCACTCTTGGTTTCTATGCTCAGACTGTCCAGAATCTCGCTCAGCAAGTCCAGTTCCTCTCCGGACCCCAAAAAGCTGCTGTCCAGGGCTTCTTCTGCCCACAGGCCCTGGGGACCCTCGGGGCTCAAAGGGGGTGACCTGAGTAGATGCACCAGATGTTTCTTTGCCTGAGGCCCCTGTGCTCCCAGCCCTGGTTGGGCTGCTCTGGAGTTTGGGGACCCTCTATTAGTCCTGGCTGTCCACTTCCAACACCAGCCCCCCAGGCCCCAGCCTTACCTCTCCCCAGGGGGCTCAGGAGTCCTCTCTTCCAGCCTGCGCCTTCTGCTGGGGCGCAGGGGCCGGTTCTGCAAAAGAGGTGCAGAGGGGAAGGGTGGGGACCTCGGGAGCTGCAGAGTGGGGGTGCTGTGTACGTGGGGAGGAGGACTTCTTACCTGTCCAAAGTGCTGGGTGATGGGCAGGCGCTGCTGCAGGTGTTCTGAGCGGCTGGTGAGGGATGGGGCCCTTAGGGAGCCCACCCTGTACAGGCCAGAGTCCCCGTCCTAGGAAGAGGATGCGGGAGCTGTGGGCCACACCCCACTGCCCTTGGGGACATTGGCCATTGAAGGAGACTTACCTTGTATACCAGCAAACTCTGCATACCCTTCAAGCCGCTCTTGGCCTGTGAAAGAGCCACAGGAGTATTAGACTGAGGGTGACTGGACACTGGGCATTTGCGATCAGCCCTCTGTCCCCGAGGGCGGACACCGTACTTGGCCACCTGCCCATCCCTGTGTGTACCCAGCACATTCACTCCTCCCTCCCAGCTGCCACCTAAGAAGTTGCAAACTTTTGCCCCTCTGACTAATCTGAAAGTCTTCTGGAAGCAATGACCTCTGTGGAGGACGGAGAATAGCACAGTGACCTTGCAGGCTTGTGTCACCTGTCCCAAAGTCAAGTGAAGAGTAATGGACAACACAAGTTGGTCCCAGGAAACTTCTGGGCTTGGGAGAAAAACCACAAGCACAGAAGCTGGGATGCAGTATCCGAGAAGGACCAAAGATACTCGCCAGTGACTCTTGGTTGTCGACGTGAAATGGATACAAAAAATGATTCTGACAAAAGTGAATACAGTAAATGGAAAATAAAAGTGGGAAGAATTTTTAATGGTTTAATTGCTGGGTCAGTTCTGATGAAAATGTGTGCATTTATTGGGGTCAAAATGTCCCATTCCCCTGAAGGGTAGAAATGTCCTGTGTCCCCTTCCCCTTGTCACCACCGCTGGGAACGTCCCCTGTCCAGCTCAGCCTCACCGAGCGATACATGTTCTTGACAGCTGGTTGGGCTTTGGCTTTGACGGAATGCAGGAGGGCACCACCACCTTTCTGGGGAAGAAAGACCAAAGGACAGAGGCTGGGGTCACCAGGGCTGGACCCCAGGCCCAGACCCTCACTCCAGGCTGTGCGTTGCTGGAAAAGGCCCTCTCCTCTGAGTCTCAATTTCCTCACCTGGGTAAATGAACATAATCGTGACTCTGCCTGGGGCCTATCATGGAATCAAACTAATCTACCAAAACTAAAACCCAGAACAAGGGATGGATTGGTGTCATTACCTTTAGGTTGTCAGCCCAGAGCTGATAAGAGCGAAGGGTGCCTGGGGTGGGCAAAGAGCATGGTGGTCACCAAAGCAGGTAGGAGCTGGGGTGCCCATGGGCTGGGGGCCCTGGCCAGGCCCAGCCTCACCTGAGGAGGCCCCGCAGCAGCTGATCTCCTGCTCAAATTCATCAGAGAAGCCCTCCCCTTTGTTGAGCTTCTCCAGCCGAGCTTCTATGAACTGGAGTAGGGGAGAGGGTCAGACACTTCTCACCCCAAGGATCCCAGAATGTGGACCCCATCCTTGGTACCAGAAACCTAATTCTTCCAGCCCCCAAATCAGCACCATCCCCAGGGATCTGACTCCACCCCTCCAGAAGACTCTGCCCCTCTCAGCAAGCTAGGAATGCTGCACCCTATCTTTACGAACCCTAGGACCAAGCCCTGCCCTGAAGGATTCTGGAGTCCAGCCCCACTCCACCCATTCCTAGGACCCAGGAGGAGCTGCTTTCCAGCCCAGAAGGAGTGAACTCTTTGGAATCCTGCACTGCCCCCACCTCAACTCAGGAGGATCCCTGCTTGGGGACCCTCACCCTCACCTTCAAGACCATAAATAGGTTTTGGCCCTCAGGAGCCCAGGAGTCCAGAGGCTCGAAGTTTTTGGAACCAAGAATTTAGTGCTGCCTCTATCACTTGGGGACCCTGCAGTAGGGGGATCCCACCAGAAAGGCTCCATTCCCCCCATACAACCCCAGAAGTATGTTGTACCCTTGTCTAAGGGACAGGGAGTCTGCCCCTGTCCTACCCCGGAACCACTCTTGCCCCCAGGGACCTAACTGTCCACTACCACCCCGCCCATCCAGCTCTGCCCCCAGGAACCCAGGGATGCACCCCGTCCCCTTGAGCATCTGCGAACCTGTTTGAACAACTGCAGGTGCACAGCCCGCCGGTGGAAGGCCTGCAGGGGCGCCCCAGGCTTCTGGGCCAGGAAGGCTTCCTCACTGAAGGTCACCGGCTGGCCCTGGAAGAAGGGCCTGCATCATCCTGGGCCCCCTATGGCTCTCCCGCCCTCAGTTACCTCCCTCATCCTACCTACCCTCGGAGCCAACATACATTGGGTATTTGTTGTGTGCCTGTCCTCATGCAGGGCCTGGAGGGCTGCCGGGAGGATTTGAACTTTTACCTTATGGGAGCTGGGAGCCCTGGGAGGGCAGAGCAGGGATGTGACGGGTAACAGCTGCCCCCTGCATGGTCCATAGACTATGGGTACAAGGGCAAGAGCCTGCTTGGTAGGGGTAGGTGGGGGAGTGGGCACATATAGGTTGTGTCCTAAAAAGAGAGCTGACAAGAATGCTAGATGTGCATATAATACTCCAGTTGTTTGTTTGTTTTTGAGATAGGGTATTTCAAGCTGGCTTTGAACTCACTGTGTAGCCCAGGCTGGCCTCCAATTTGTGGCGTTTCTCCTGCCACAGCCTCCCAAGTGCTGGGATGACAGTTCTTATGGAGCAGTTGTGAAAAATGTGGAAGGGGTAGGGGCGCTCAGAAGTGAGCAGATGAAGGCCCTGGTTTCAGTACGTTTCTCCAAGCCTTAGTTTTCTCTTCTGTAAAATGGGGCTGTAAAAGTATTCATCTCAGAATATCCTGAGCATTGACTAGAAATAGTAAAACCTAGCATCAGTGGTGTGCTCGGTATATGCTACAAACTATTCCAAGTGCCTGCGGTACAGTGCCTTTTGGGTGGGTACTAGTGGGATCCCATTTTACAGGCAAGCAAAGAGAGGAGGAAGGTAAGCCCTCCATAGACGCTAGGTATCTTCCACGTTGCGACTTCTTCCGGAAGCCACGAGAACGATTTCTCCCCTGCATCGTCCCCGCTGCTCACCGGGCTGCAGATCAGGGCGTCTCGGTACCCCCCGAAGAGCAGGGCCTGGGCCTTGAGGAAGAGACGGGACACCCCTTCCCCGGGGATCAGCGCTATCTTCCTCAGCCGCAGCCTCAGCAAGGACACCTGCAGGAGAGAAGGGAGAGACGCAGTGGGCAAGTGTGGGGCCGCGCTTACCCGAGCGCAAGCCTTCAGGGGGTGGCCCTCACCACGTCCGGGGGCAGCGCGCGCACGTCGTCGAAGGGCGTCTCCAAGGTATTAGAGTCCACGTTCAGCACCACGACGTCCTCCAGGGCTTTGTCCCGCACCCTCTGCGGGGGAGGCGGGGGGGCGGCACTCAGAGCCCAGGGATGGGAGGGCATCTGGGGACACAGGGGCGGGGCTCCCGCTCACCTCCGCAAGGCTCGCGTGCACTCCGATGAGGTAGGGCATGGGCGCGCTGTGGACAGAGGGTTGGGGTCTTGCCAGCCGCCCCAGGCCCCAGGCCTTTTCCCTACCTGGGGCTGGCCCTCCTCAGACCCCCACTCCTCACCAGCAGTAGTCCAGCAGGTGCGGGGGCAGCGTGGGGATCAGCACGTGCTCCCAGTGCATGGGGTACAGGAGGGCGCAGGACGCGTGGACGCAGGAGGTCAGCTGGGGACCGATGGGGGGTCGTGGAGTCAAGGACCCTGCCTGACCTGGCAGCTCAGACCTCCCCAGTCTCCTGTCCTCTGTCCTCCACGAGTACCGGGGTAACAGGCGTCACCTCAGACCACTTTAGCAATCAAGTGCACAGGGCTAATTACAGTCTGCCTTCGGTATGTTGGGGTGACGTAGGGTTCTGCATGCCTGGATTCAACTAACCTCAGTTCAAAAATATTCAGAAAAATTTTATATCTATAAGCCGGGCATGCTGGTGCATACTTGTCATCCCAGCACTCTGGGAAGCTGAGGCAGGAGGACAGCAAGTTCTAGCTCAGCCTGCACAACTTGGCAATTTAGCAAGACTTTGTCTCAAAAAATACAAAAGGGCTGGGGGTGGAGCTCAGTGCAAAGGTCATGGGTTCAATCCCCAGAATCCCCTCCAACTACATCTGTATTGAACATGTACAGACATTTTTTCGTCACTATTCCTAAAAGATGCAATATTACATAGCATTTACATTGTATGAGTATATTAAATCATTTAGAGATGGTATTTTCCCTCTTTGCAGTGCTGAGGATAGAGCTAAGATTCAGCCCGGGCCGGTCACATTCCTACGGGTGACGCCACGATTCCATCTCACTGATCCCAGCCCTAGAAATGAGAGTCTAGGGCCGGGGATTTAGCCCAGTGGTTCCGTCGACTGCCTCGCAAGCGCAAGGACCCGAGTTCGATCCCCGGTACCAAAAAGAAAAAAGAAATGAGAGGCTATAAGTCAACCTACCGGCCACGCCCACGGGGCGGAGTCATTTAAGCCCCACCCACACTTGCCCCGGAGGGGCGGGGCTAGAATGTAGCTCGCGCGCTGGCGCACTCTTCAGGGGGCGGGGGCAGGCCTGCTCTGATCCAGGTGGGGGCGCCTGGACGCTGCGCTCCCAAAGGGGAGGAGCTGCGACGGCCCCCTTTTCCCCTAGAGCCAGGACTCTGCCCTCAGCTCTCCGTGGGAGTCAGCCCCCATTGTCGCGTCCTGCCCAGGGGCGGAGCAAGCTTTGGCCCCTCCCCTGGCCGGCCCTTTCTCACCGTGCTGAGCTTGCTGGCTGTGAGCAGGACCCGTCTCTCCGCCAGCAGCGCGGCGAACAGGCCCACGATATTCTCATCCGTCACCGCCACCACCAGCTCAGTGAGGTTTCTCTGCGCGAAGAGGGGCGCGCCTGGGAGTGGGCGGGCCGCGATCTTGCATCCCCCCTCTGGGTTAAGGGACTCGCCCCCGCACCTCGACTCTAGTTCCCTCCCGAGACCCCACTCACATTCTCAGGAATGGACGGCAGGCAGCCGGAGGCGGGAGCCACAAAGCAGGAAAGCTGTGGGGACATTGGCCAGGGGACGCGATCACTCCGGGGCTTGGCCCCCCTGGCGCCCGACCCCCGAGGGTCCCCAACCCTGCTCACCAGCCTGCTCTTCCCGGGCGCAGGGGGCGGGGCTCCGTGACCGCTGCAGATGGCCAAGCCGCTGCCCTGCGGGACAGGGACAGCTGTGTGGTCGTCAGGGCTGGGAGCAGCCTCCCATCCACTGCCTGGGGGTTGGGGGGCTACTCACCAGCTCCAGCGCCCCTGTGGCCTGGGGTCCGGGCGGGGCCTGCTGCAGCAGATTTAGGAGAAGTTCCTCGGCCTCTGAGACCTGGGTGGGGAGCGGAGGGCAGGGCCTGAGTGAGAAGCTGAGTATGAGATTCCCTGGGCGCCAGGGAAGAGCTGGGGGATTCAGGTCTGGGTGGAAATTCTGCGGGCCGATGGGGCAGCTGGTCTCACTTGGTCCTGGGCTAGCAGGTCCCCCACGGTGTTCAGCAGCTTGTAGAATACCTCAAACCATGGCAGGTGGCTGTGGAGAAAGGAGTCAGGTTCCAGAGGCCCCTGGAGATCTGGGTCAGGCCTGCCGCCCCATCCCATGACCACCCGGTCCCAGACCCCCCCCCCCAGGCCACACCTGAGGATGCAGAGGCAACTCCGGGCGCCAGCGCGCAGGCGGCAGAAACCAAATCTGCGGTTGCCTGCCAGGTCCGTAAGGGCGAAGGTGAAGTGCTGTACAGCAGGGCTGGGGGGCTCCCTGCAGGTGGCAAAGGCTCTGGGGAGACCTGGCAGCCCAACTGCCCAGCCCCCAACTCCCTCCAAGGACACTTCTGGTGCTGCGCCCACCAGGCTGGGGCCTGGCTGCACAGGGGCCTAGTTTTTCTGACCATTTAGTAGTTCATTCCGTTGTGCATGGTTTCTGGGTGAAGGGGTCCATGAGTTCCTGTGTCCCTGAGTCCCTGGGAACCTGAGTCCCTAATTCTCTGGGTCCCTGGTGTCCAGGTCTCTGGATATATGGTCCCAACTCGAGTTTCTGGGTGTTTAATCCATAGGGTTTCTCCATGTCTTCCATACCTTTCCACATCAAAGGGGAAGCAGAACTTGGGCACCATCTGCAGGGCTTCCTGGAGGTGGGGAGAAGGATAGACTGTCACTCAGGTCAGGCCCCCAGCCCAGGGCTCTGGACCCAAAGCATGGAGTGCCCTCCTGCCCACCAGGGTCTAGCCCTGGCCCTGTTCCTGAAGGAGTAAGGGGTCCCCAGAATACCTACCTGGTCCCTGAAGTCCGGGGGGAATTGCCGCAGGATGAGGGGATCTGTAGGGGAGAGAAGCTTCTAAATTCAGGGCATCAAGCTCAGTGCCATCCCAGCCCACCCCCTAGTGCCCCCACTTACCCTCCTGTAGGGAGGTGGGGCAGGTTGCTTCAAAGAACCAGTCAAACACGGCGGCAGGACCCCATCTGTGGGACAGAAGAGGGCTTCCGTGGTCTAGGACTTGCTTCTGTGTATGTGGCGTTGTATCTGCCACTCAGCACAAGTGTGTGCTTGTGCATGTGTGTGTGCATGGCCCCAAGGGGTTGTGGTGGTGAGTGTGTGGTTTTGCAAGGCTGTATGTGCAACAGTGTTGCTTGTGCATAGCAACACAGTGCAACCGTGTGTGTCTGAGTGGCTGAGTGGCTGACTTGTGTGAGCATGCAGTTGTGTGTGTGTGTGTGTGTGATTGTATGATTGTCTGGTGCCTGCCTGAAAGGATGACTGTCCCGTGGATCTGGGGGGTGGGGCTGTGTGTGTGACAGTAGGTGTGCAGGTAAATCACATCACATCCGCCTGCTCTTGAATGGCTGTGAGTGTGGCTGGGTAAGTGTGAGGATGCTGTGGCTTGCCTGTATCTCTGGGTGCTATTTCAGTTGCACACCCTCTGCGCCCATGGCTGGCCCTACATTCCCCCAGGAGAAAGGGGGCCAGAACGCCCTGCTACTCACCGTCAGCCCCACAGCCTCTGCCTTCCTCCCTGCCTCCCACATCTCACAGAGGATGCTGAGACCCGGGGTCAGGGAAACCCCAAGAGGCACATGCTCAGGGCGGGACAGACACTCCCAGAGTTACAGACGGAATCCCTGAGCTGGAGCAGGAGAGAGACAGAGAGAGGAGAGAGGAGAGAGGGAGAGACAGAGAGAGTCTGGGCTGAACAGGCCCCAGAGCAGAGACCATGAGGAGGCCGGCTGAGGTCCTGCCCTGAACCCTGCCACCTGCCCCGTGGGCCTCGGCACCTCCCAGGCCCGCTCCTCCAACCCCCGCTTCCCTTGTCCCCAGCCCAGGCCGGGGAATCTTGGTGATGAGGCTGAGGGAGGGGGTAGCTCTTACTCAGCTCTTGTTCCCATGGTCCCTGCAGGGCTGGCCCAGCTGGCCCTCTCCCCAGGGTCCTGGGGGCCTGTGCTTGCTGGGACTGGGCCCCGGCCAGCACAGCTTCCTGTGTGGCTGACAGAGGAAGTTTGACGAGAGTGACGTCCCCGTCCCCGGACGGAGGCCCCTGCCCCCACCCACAGTGAGAAACCCAGGCAACTTTGCTTCCTGGCCTTGCCTGGGACGGGTGGGCCAGAGTAGGAGGGCTCCAGGGCCAGACCCTCTGTTCCTTCCTGCCACACGGGGCCACGTCTGGTCCCCACAGCCACACTTCGGCCTGCTCCTCCCTTCTCTTTCTCAGCAGCAGGCAGGGATTCAGTGGGCCTCAAATGCTTCCCCTTCCTTTCACTCTGCTTGTCTCTTGGTCCTTGTGCAGTGGGCTGAGCTACCAGAGGGAGCTGTCCTGGGGAAAGGACACATGGGAGCCCGGGAGAAGGTCAGAACTCAGGCACAAGGAGGAAGCCACAGGGCACGCCTGTCATCCCAGCACTCTGGGAGGCTGAGGCAGGAGGATCACAAGTTTGAGCCCAGCCCAGGCAACTTGGCAAGAACTTGTCTCAAAATAAAATGAAAAAAAGAAAGAAAAATAGGGCAGAGATTTAGCTCAGTGGTTCTGCCTCCTGCCTCACAAGCGCAGGGTCCCAAGTTCGATCCCTGGTACCAAAAAAACAGAAAAAAAGGGCTGGGGATGCAGCTCAATGCAAAGGCCCTGGGTTCGATTTCTAGCACTGCTGCAGACACAATGTGCATGCTCGTGAACCACACACACACACAGACACACACACTCAGGCTCAGGAAGTCACCAACATAATCCAGAACAGGGCCCATCTCAGCCTCCAGCGAGAAGGCCTGGCTTGCTGCACCAGGAGGGGAATGAACTACAGAAACAGGCCAGGGAAACAATTCCTTTATTTATGGAGGGTGAGGCAGGGGAGAGGATGGTGGGCTCATGGTGGGCACCCCTCTTCCCCAGGGCTTTGGGCCTTTGATCTCCCCTAGGTCAGCCAAAGTAGAGGCACTGAGGGGGCGGGACTGAGGTCAGGAAAGAAGCAGAGGGCAGGGGGACTAGGGGGAGCTGGGGCTCATGAGGTCAAAGCCAAGACAAGGTGAGAGGTGCAGGGAGCTCCGAGACAGGTGTCAGAAGTCATCCAGGGCTTGCAGGTCTAAAGGTGTAACGGAGTTTTGGGGTGATCAAAAGTGAAGGGGTCTGGGGCCGGGGATTTAGCTCTGTGGTTCTGGCGCCTGCCTCGAAAGCACAAGGACCCGAGTTCAATCCCCAGTACCCGCCCCCCCCCAAAAAAAACAAAGAAAAAACCAAAAGTGAAGGGGTCAGGGGTGGGTGAAAGAGGGCTTATAAGGTTAAAGGTGGGGCCTGTAGAGCCATGAAGCAGGGCTCACGGGGATGCCAAAGTTGGAAGAGCTCCAGGAGGGCAGAGATAAAGTGGGGTTCAGGGGTCACGAGTGGGTCAGGAATGCAGTGATCTAAGGTACGGGTGGTGTTAGGGTGAAGTGATGCTCTTGGGGTGCTAGGGTCAGAGCAGCATCAGGCGGGAAGGGGACATCATAGGGCTCTGGGCGCAGGGAAGCATCTAGGGGTCAAAGCCGAGCCGAGGGTGGGGTCCAGACAAGAAGGCGTGTGAGTTCCTAGGCGACCTCCTCCTCCTCCGCCTCCTCCTCGAATTCACCCTCCTCGGCCGTGGCATCCTGGTACTGCTGGTACTCGGACACCAGGTCGTTCATGTTGCTCTCGGCCTCGGTGAACTCCATCTCGTCCATGCCCTCGCCCGTGTACCAGTGCAGGAAGGCCTTGCGCCGGAACATGGCCGTGAACTGCTCCGAGATGCGCTTGAACAGCTCCTGGATGGCTGTGCTGTTGCCGATGAAGGTCGCAGCCATCTTCAGGCCGCGGGGCGGGATGTCGCACACGGCCGTCTTCACGTTGTTGGGGATCCACTCCACGAAGTAGCTGCTGTTCTTGCTCTGCACACTCAGCATCTGCTCGTCCACCTCCTTCATGGACATGCGGCCCCGGAACACGGCGGCCACGGTCAGGTAGCGGCCATGGCGCGGGTCGCAGGCGGCCATCATGTTCTTGGCGTCGAACATCTGCTGGGTGAGCTCGGGCACTGTCAGGGCGCGGTACTGCTGGCTGCCCCGGCTGGTGAGGGGCGCGAAGCCCGGCATGAAGAAGTGCAGGCGCGGGAAGGGCACCATGTTCACGGCCAACTTGCGCAGGTCTGCGTTCAGCTGGCCTGGGAAGCGCAGGCAGGTGGTGACGCCGCTCATGGTGGCCGACACCAGGTGGTTGAGGTCCCCGTAGGTGGGGGTGGTCAGCTTGAGGGTGCGGAAGCAGATGTCATACAGCGCCTCGTTGTCGATGCAGTAGGTCTCATCCGTGTTCTCCACCAGCTGGTGCACGGACAGGGTGGCGTTGTAGGGCTCCACCACGGTGTCCGACACCTTGGGTGAGGGCACCACGCTGAAGGTGTTCATGATGCGGTCGGGGAACTCCTCGCGGATCTTGCTGATGAGCAGGGTGCCCATGCCCGAGCCCGTGCCGCCCCCCAGCGAATGCGTGAGCTGGAAGCCCTGCAGACAGTCGCAGCTCTCGGCCTCCTTCCGCACCACGTCCAGGACAGCATCCACCAGCTCTGCGCCCTCTGTGTAGTGGCCCTTTGCCCAGTTGTTGCCAGCTCCCGACTGGCCTGCAGAGGGAAAAGGGGGACCACGTGGGCATTTATGGGGAGCCCCCACCCTGCACATGTCTGCTCAACCTGCAGGGCCTCTGATGGGGTGTGGTGGTTCACACCTGTCATCCTAGCACTCAGGAGGCTGAGGCAGGAGGATTGCTTGAGTTTGAGGCCAGCCTGGGCTACATAGCAATACCTTGTCTCAAAAAACTGAAAAACAGTAGCAAAAATGATGACACAAGGTGCTGGGTGTGGGGGCGCATGTCTGTCATCCTAGCAGTTGGGGAGGCTGAGGTAGGAGGATGGCAAGTTCAAGCCCAGCCTGGGCAATTTATGACTTAGACCCTGACTCAGAATAAAACACAAAAAAGGGGCTGGGGATGTAGCTCAGGATAAAGGCCCTAGGTTCAATCCCAGGTACCACACACACAAAAAAAGATACAAGGATTAATTACCTAATAATAACTACTACTGTATTATTTACTAATGTAATTTAATTTTGGGGAGAGCAATGGGAGCACCTGCTGCCACTGAACTGCATCCCAGCTCCCCTTTTTTCTGTGGTGCTGAGGATTGAACTCAGGGCCTTTTCACTAAGCTCCATCCCCAGCCCTTCTCAAAAGTTTTTCATTTTGAGACAGGATCTGGCTAAGTCACTAAATTGCCCAGGCTGGGCTTGAACTTGTGATCCCCCTGCCTCAGCTTCCCAGAGTGCTGGGATTATAGGCCTGCATCACCATGCCAAGGTCTGGCACATATTAACATATGCCACCACTGAACTGCATGCCAGGTCCAAATTTATTTTTAAATTGATTAATTTTTGCAGGGTTGGGGATGGAACCCAGAGCCTTGTAAACATTCAGGCAAGTGTTTTACAACTGAGCTACATGCCCAACTCCCAAATTTGTTTTTTAACTGAAAGAAAAAAAGCCATAAAAATTGTACATATTATCTGGACATGGTGGCCCATGCCTGTAATCCTAGCACCCAGGAGACTGAGGCAGGATGATCACTTTGAGTGGAAGGCTAGCCTGAGGGAAATAGTAAATTCAGGGCCATCCTGGAATAGTCAGACCCTGTCTCAAAAAAAAAAAAATATATATATATATATATATATATATATAATGGGGTACCATATATGTTCTGACACATGTATGCATTGTGCAATATTTATACCGAGTTAAACATATCTATCTTTTCATGCATCGGCAAAAAGATTAAAAATCCTTTCTTCGGGCTGGGATTTAGCTCAGTGGTTCTGCTGCCTGCCTCGCAAGCGCAAGGTCCAAGTTCGATCCTCTGTACCAAAAAACAAACAAACAAAATCCTTTCTTCTAGCTGTTTGAAATGTACAGCATATTATTGTTGTCTATAATTACCTTATGTGCAATAGGATGCTCACTACTACTAATTATTATTATTATTATTTGTGGTGAGATGGAACTCCCCCGTGCTGGACAAGTGCTCTGCCATGGAGCTACATTCCCAGCCCTCCTATTATTACTGTTTTCCTTGCCTCCACCCATGTCCCACCTTTGCCCATCGGGCAGAAAAATCCTAGGAAAACTTAAATCAAATCACATACTCTTTAGCACAAAATCACCACCAAATTCCTTTCTTGACTAATAGCCCAAGTCCTCCCTTCAGCCAGAGGGCGCCCGTGAGCACGGCGTCAGGTCCTCCCCCTCTGCCCTTGGCCCTCCACGGCTGCCACCTCCCCGGGGCCAAAGCCCAGGTCCTCCCTGCAGCCAACAGGGACCTGCACGGCCCCTGGTCCCCTCCCCGGGGTCCCCTCCCCACCTACCTCTCTGCCCCTAGCTCCCTCTGCTCCAGCCAAACAGGCCTCGATGTTCTAATCTGTAGGGCTCAGTCTTGCTTCAGGGCCTTTGCATGTGGACCATGCAGCTGCCTAGAATTGGTTTTCCTCAAATCTCTGCATAGCTTTTTCTTAGTTGCCTTCAGGTCTTTGCTCAAAGTCGCCTCTTCAGAAAAGTCATCTGACAGTCCCCACCCCTGACCTGTGATGGCCCCTCCTTGCATTCCCATGCCCTTACCTTGTTTTATTTTTCTTGGCAATACTTGCCACTACTCAGTCTCTCTCTTTTTCTTTCTTCAATACTGGGGATGAAACCCAAGGCCTCCACACTGAGCTCAATCCCAAGCCCTTTTCATTTTTTATTTTGAGACAGGGTCTTGCTAAGTCACTAAGTTGCTCAGGCTGGGCTCAAACTTGCGATCCTCCTGCCTCAGCCTCCCGGAATGCTGGGATGACAGCAGTGCACCACCACATCCAGCTCTGAGTCCACACTTTCACCACACCCCTCCCTCTCCCTCCTTCTCCCAGAGGCTGCAGAATCTGTTGGCCTCATTGGGGGGCACCCATGGTCACTCTATGATGCCTCACACCCTCTGGCCAGTCTCACTGGTATTTCTTCACAGCCATGCCCACGTGGGTACAGCACCATCTTTCAGATCTTTGAGCAGATCAGAGGGGGAGTCACTTGTTTGGGGTCACTCAGTGTATCTGGTTAGTCCCTTGGCTTCAGACTCTAAACTGCCATGTGTGCTTGGACAAGGGGTGCAGAGTGCTGATGGGGGGAGCCTGGGGTGGGGGACTGCAGCCAGCCTGAGGCAGAAGAGGCCCTCGGAAGCACAGTCAACAGAGTAAGACCACCCCCCTGCATTGAAATGCTGAAAATGTGCCCTAATAGCAGCAACAATGAATGCTTATTTACTTTTTCCTGGGAGCTAGCGACCATCCTTAACTCTTTTTGTTTGTTTATTTGAGACAGGGTCTCATCATGTAGCTCAGGCTGGCCTTGAATTCACCATGTAGCCCAGGCCAACTTTGAACTCGCAGTGATCGTCCTGCCTCAGCCTCCTGAGTGCTGAGATTACAGGTGTGCACCACCACACCTGGCAGGGCTCACTACTGATGGAATTCATGAAGTGGCAGAGCTGGCATTTGCACTATTCCAGTCTGGTGAATTAAGATGCCACCTCCTGCAGTGGTTCACAACTGTAATCCTAGCACCCTGGGAGGCTGAGGCAGGAGGATGGCAAATTTGAGTTAGCCTGGGCTATACAGTGAAGTGAGCTCAAGGGCAGACTGCACTACACAGTGAGAGTCTGTCTCAAGAAACAAAACACAACACAACACAAAGCAAAAGATGCCGTGTCTGAAAGCCTTTCCTGACTTCTCTGCTGTCTCCAACACTGTTCCCGGAGTGGCCTGCATGTCCCCAGCACACACTGACTCTGTGGTTTTATGTGGAACATTTTCTTTCCTTCCTTCCCTCTTTTCTTTCTTGCTTGCTTTTTTTCTAGTCCTGGGCGTTGAGCCCAGGGTCTTCACACTGAGCTCCACCCCAGCCCTTTTTTATTTTGAGACAGGGTCTCACTAAGTTGCCCAGGCTGGGCTGGAGCTTGCAACCCTCCTGCCTCAGCCTCCCGGAGTGCTGGGCTGACAGGCGTGCATCACCACTCCTGGTTTAGGCAGACCATCTTCAAGAGGCACCTGCAGTGAAAGGAATAAGGAGGCTCCCCTTCCGCTGCTGCAGGAGACTCACCAAACACAAAGTTGTCAGGCCGGAAGATCTGGCCGAAGGGGCCTGAGCGGACGGAGTCCATGGTGCCGGGCTCCAGGTCCACCAGGACCGCGCGGGGGACGTAATTCCCTCCTGCCGGGAAGCAGATGGAGGGCAGGTGGCATGAGCGCAGGCAGCCAGGCGCAGGCCCCGCCCGGGAGCAGCCAGTCTCCCCCGGCCACCCCACAGCAGAAGGCGCCCCGGCCCTAGCCCTACCCACCGGTGGCCTCGTTGTAGTAGACATTGATCCTCTCCAGTTGCAGGTCGCTGTCCCCGTGGTACGTGCCAGTGGGGTCGATGCCATGTTCGTCGCTGATCACCTCCCAAAACTACAGGCGTGGGGAGGCGGGACGGTTGAGAGGGTGCCGGTGGCCAGGCCTCCCACCTCCCACCTCCCAGGCTCTATCTCGCTCCCCCAGCAAGGTGACGCGCGGAGTGGGGGGCAAGGATGCGATTACCCGAAGGCAGAGGCGGAGGCGGGGTGAAGCAGTCAACAACCCGTGCGGCCCGCCAGTGCCAGTGCCGGGCTGCGGCCCGGGGGAGGGGCGCCGTCCTTTGTGAGCGCCCGGGCACAGCGGGCCAGCTGTGCCCCCAGCTGTGGCCGGCGGACGAGGCCGGCCCCTGCCCCCGTGCGTCCTCGGCCTCTTTGTTCCCAGCCTGGCCCCGGCCCGGCGCCCCTCCCCCGCCGTCCGGGCGCTGGCCTCCTGGGCACCGCGCCCCGCTCAAGCACCTTGGCCCCGATCTGGTTGCCGCACTGGCCGGCCTGCAGGTGCACGATCTCCCGCATGGCTGCTGGGGACGCGGCGAGGCTGACGCTGTCGCGGACGCTAGGAGCTGGGGCGACAGAGTGGCCACAGGACAGGGCGGGCGGGCGGCGAGCTCCGTCCTGGCGCCCCGCGAGCGCTTCTATACGGCAGGCGGGGCGCGCGTCACCACCCGGCCCCTGTCCGCTCCGCCCCCGGCCCCGCCCCGGGACGCAGCTGGGTGTGTGGGGGCAGGGACCTCCCTCCCTCCGGACCCTCCCCGAACTCGGGGTCCCCTGCGTCGCCCTCGGCACCGGCTCCCCCTGCCCAGCCTGGTTTCGCAGGAACCGGGGCCACCGTGTAAACAAGCAGCCGCGAAATCCTGGCGCCCCCCATCCCTGTTCCCATCCCGCCCCCGGCCCAGCCTCAGTTTCTCTGCTCGCAGCCTCCCTTCCTATTCCACGTAGACCTCTTGTGCTAGTACCCGCGCTTGGCCAGGTGCTCCTCGTGGGGCCGGGCTGAGGCTCCAGGTGACGCTGCGCCGGGGGCGGGGAGGCTCGAGGAGGGCTCAGCTGGAAGCTGCAGCTTCGAAGCGCGCTTTTCCTTCGGTGCTGGCCAGGGTTGCTCGCAGAAGCTGGCGGAGGGTGTAGGGGTCTGTGAGCGCCCCCGGAACACCTCTGCTGGGCTTTGGGTCCCTTGTGGGTGGGGACACCAAAGACAGATTGACAGCTGGATTACAATGGGGGGTGGTGGAGGGGTCTTCCCAGGTCCAGGCTTCGTATTACAATTCCTCCCTCCCTCCCTTCCGCTCTTCCTCTCTCCTTTCTTTCAACAGGTCTCAATATGTAGTCCAGGCTGGCCTCACATTGACAGTGATCCTCCTGCTTCAGCCTCCCGAATGCTGGGATTACAGACATGGACCACCGTTCCTGGCCTCCAGTATTACAATTTCATTTCTTTCTCTCTCTTTTTTTTGGTACTGGAAATCGAACTCAGGACCTGTGATTGCAAGGCAGGCTGGGTGCCACTGAGCTACATCCTGGCCCTCTTAATTTGCTAAGCGGCCTCAAGCTTGCCACTCTCCTGCCTCAGCCTCCCAAGTACCTGGGATAACAGTGTGCATGCCGTACCCAGCACTCTCCACATCTCTTATTAGCTCTATGACCCCACGCAGGCCACTTCGGTCTGCATTTTCTCCTCTGCAAGGTGGTGTGGCCAATGCCTGCACTCCAGGGCTGCTGGAGGGACCAGGATGATGGTGGGAGAGCAAGGTGCCCTAGCGTGGAGCTGGCAGAACCAACAGCACATTGTATCTGTACAGCTTATACTTGTTATCAGGAGCCTGCAGGACTTCCGGAGCTGCCTGGAAGCGAAGGTCAGATCTCTTCTCTGAGGGCCACTTCCCCTAGGGCAGCCTCCTCCTCTGCCTCCCGGGAAGCCGTCTCCTCCTCCTCCTGCTCCTGGCTCACCACTGGGCCTAGTACTATTTTCTTGTTCCTTTTGAGACAAGGTCTCCCGTGTAGTTCAGGCTAGCCTTGAACTCACAGTGGTCTGTCAGCTTCCTGAGTGCTTAGATTCCAGACGCGTGCCACCTTACTCCTGGGGCCTGGGACTATGGGGGGAGGTGGGAAGCAATGCTGGCTATGTGGTTCTGCCTGTGATTTTTTAAATTAAAAAAAAAAAAAAAAAAAAATATATATATATATATATATATATATATATGTATGTTTTGTGTTACTAGGGGTTGAATTCAGGGTTGCTCTACCACAGCCCTCCACCCTCAGCCCTTTTTTTATTTTGAGACAGGATCTTGCTGAATTGCTCAAGCTAGCCATGAACTTGCCACCCTCCTGCCTCAGCCTCCCAAGTAGTTGGGATGAGAGGCGTGCACCACTGTACTTGTATTGTTAGGTAGTTCCTTTTAAAATGGCTGGACAATCAGAAGTACTCTAGGTATTCCAGGTCTTTTTTTTTTTTTGGTACCAGGGATCAAACTCCGGTCCGTAGCAGGTGGCGAAACCACTGAGCTAAATCCCTGGCTGTCCAGGTCCTTTTTGAGACAAGGTCTCGCTATGTAGTTTGGGGTGGCTATAAACTCACCATGTAGCCCAGACTGCCTTCAAACTTGTGGTGATCCTCCTGCCTCAGCCTCCGGAGTACTAGGACGACAGGCGTGGGACTGGCTTCCAGGTCCTTCTTGCCTTGAACAAAGAATTGGGCAAGACAAGTGAAAAACGGTGCCGAAAATTTATTTGAAAAGTGAGAGGTGGAAGGATAAGGGAAAAAGTAGCCCTGTAGATCGAACTTCGGCTGAATAAAGACAGGAAAGGATAAAAGCAAAGAGAAAATTGCACCCTGTATCTGGGAGTCACAGGGCAGGCTACCAGTGAGAAGTCTCAATAGTGGGCTCCTTGTGGTCTCTCCTTGCTTTTACACCATCTACATCTTTTTTGTTGTTGTTGTTGTTGCCTTTTTGGTACCGGGGATTGAACTCAGGTCCTTGCGCTTGCACAGCAGGCAGCGAAACCACTGAGCTAGATCCCTGGCCCTACACCATCTACATCTTAAGGGCACCTTTGGGAAGTTCCACATATGGGGCCCTAAGAATTATTTGGTGCTGTCCTGGGATCTTGTAACTGACAGGTCCCATGTGTTTCCCCAGCCAGCTTTGCCACGGCCTACCTCCTATATCACTTCGTTTTTTGGGAAAAACAAAAAAAACCCCTTTTTAAAATTTTTCTGAGACAGGGTCTCACTGTGTAGCCCAGGCTAGCCTTGAACTTGTGGTGATTGTCCTGCCTCAGCCTCCTGAGTCCTGGGATGACAAGAATGTACCAGTGTGCCTGCTTGTATGTGTGTACTTTTTAGTAAACCATTTTTATAATAGGTCTCCACAGCCGGGGATTTAGCTCAGTGGTTCTGCCGCCTGCTGCACAAGTGCAAGGACCCGAGTTCGATCCCTGGTACCAAAAAAAAAAAAAAGAAAGAAAGTAGTTATTTATGTCTCCACAGAAAACCAATTTGGTTTAGTACTGTTCGGTCATGGCTTCAGTGCCATCTCTGAAGCATCCTGGGGTTTTCTGGGCCACAGCCTAGCAATACCCTTGCACCCTACCCTTTGCATGAATGTGTGAAATCTACAGGTTCTCTAGCAGTGATGTCTACCTGATTCAGTGTTTGCCTTCATTAAGCAAGGTCTGCTGATAAAGAGGGTAACTAATGTCGTGAATTTGGCTTAACCAATATCACTGGAAGACTAAAGAGTGATTTCGTTATTCTGAGTTGTATTTGCAGAAATCAACTGTGGTAAAAATCCTGCCTGATGTGGTAGTGCTGGTGTGTAGTCCCAGCTACTTGGGAGGCTGAGGCAAAAGGACCTCTTGAGCCCAGGAATCTGAGACCAGCCAGGGCAACATAGTGAGACCAAGTCTCATAAAACAAAAAACAAACAGCAAAATGACCAAGTCCTAAAACAAAGGAAGCTAGAGGTTGGATGTAACCGTTTAGTATGATTTCAAAGTGTCATTAAAAACTTAGTCCAAGGCTTTGTGTGGTGGTACACTCTTTTCACTGTTTTGGTTTTTTTTTTTGGTACTGGGGATCGAACTCAGGACGTTGTGCTTTCGAGGCAGGTGGCGGAACCATTGAGCTAAATCCCCGGGCCTGGTCTTGGTTTTTGAAACAGGGTTTTTGTTTGTTAGTTTTGAGACAGGATCTGACTGTGTAGCCCATGCTGGCCTTGAACTCACTGATACTCCTCCTGCCTCAGCCTCCGGAGTGCTGGGATTATAGGCCTGTGCTATGATGCCTGGTTTAACACCATCCTTTTTGAGGTTGCTTCTGGAATGCTGATCAGCAGCACATGGCTCCCAGGCAGGGCAGTCCCAGCATCCCAGCCCTGGAGCAGAGGACGCCCTCAGGCAGCAGAGGCTGCACCCTGCTGTCTGCCCCAGGGAAGGACCTGGGGACTGTGTCTGCTTCCCGTGGCTGTTGTCACAAACTGTCACCAACAATGGCTTAGGACGACACAACTGTATCATCTTGTGCTGGGGAAGGCCCACGTCCAGGATAGGACACTCCCTGAGATCCAGATGGTGCCTTCCTTTCAGGGAGCTCAGGGGAAACCCCATTTCTTTACCTTTCTGGCTTCTGAGGCACCAACATCCCTTGGCTTGTGGGCCTCCCTCCATCTTCAGAGCCAGCTGCATAGAATCCTCTCTCCCCTCCATCTCTCACTGCCCTCTTCATATCTTATTTATTAGATGCTGGGGATGGAACCCAGGGCTCTGTGTGTGCTAAGCCTGCACTCTGCCACTGAGCTCCACCCCCCTCCCTTTATGAGGCTTCATAAAGACCACTGTAGCAGGGCATGGTGCTGCAGGCCTGTCGTCCCAGCCCTTGGGAGGCTGAGGCAGGAAAATGGCCTAGAGTTCGAGGCCAGCCTGGGCTACATAGCAAGACTCTGTCTCAAGACAAGCAAAACACTAAAAAGTAAAATCACAAAGAGCTGAGGATGTCGCTCAGTGCAAAGGCCCTGGGCTCCATCCCCAGTGCGCCCCCGCCAAAGAAACATGATGACAGTGGACGCCCTCCAATGATCCTTCCCCGGAAGCCCCAGCCAGGACCTGCACACGGGTCCCAGGGACCAGGCTGGGCAGTTACAGGGGCCTCATTCCCCTCCCAATGGAGGAAACCAGGGTCCAGGAGGGATGGAGGGAAATGCTGGCCCAGCCAGAGCAGGCGCTCGCTTGCTGCTCCTCAGTCCCCGAGTCCCAGACACAGAGCTGGCTGCAAGGTCCCTGACCCAGCCTCTGCCACTGCCACCCTCCCCTCCCTCCAGACCCTCAAGAACCGCTGGCTCCAGCAATGCAGCCACGAGTCGGCCAACCCGGGGATCCTCGTGCTCCTGGCCTGTGGCACCATCTCCAGCACCTGCGGCCAGATCGCCAGCTATCCCCTGGCTCTGGTCCGGACCCGGATGCAAGCTCAAGGTGAGAGCTGGCTGGGAGGATGAGGCAGGAAAGTCTCCCTGCTTGGGGCCCACCTCTTCTTAGAGGTAGCTCCTTAGAGGTAGAGTTCTGGGCTGGGATCCTCCTGGATTTGGGAGGCCTTGGTAAGTTCCTCTGGGCTCAGTTTACCCATGCTTGGTATCTCCAGAGGCAT